TATTATTAAGAATCAACGAGTTTCTGACAAACATACATTGAATTTAAACAACATATTCTGATGTAATACTTATGTTTATACTTTTATACATGTATATATATAATTTATAGTATATATATTTTATTTGTTCAAACATTAACCAACAAAATGGAATAACATTATATTGGAACTAGATTCCGTGGGCCTGTATTTGGACCCTGCCAGATACGATCCATCAGAAATAAAACACTTTCAATTGAAAAAAATAAAAATACTTTCTTTTGAATTAATAATATCGAATGAACACAACGCTCTGCCTTGTAAGTATACACACATATGTATTTTCTAGTCATGATAGCTATAAAATACTACATTATCCACGTCCGCTTCGCCCGGAGCCGTAGCCCAAGCCCATTTCATTATAAAAATGCGAGTACGCAAAGTAAGTACTTCTGGAATGCCTTCCAGCCCAGGGCACACCAGCAGCTGTTGGTTTTATACAAACGCTTATCGCACTAAAAATTTTATTGTATTGTCAGCAATAACAACAACAGCAACCGCTACGATAGCCAAACAGCAAATAGCGACAACAGTAAAATATGAGCATCTCAAGAAACACAAATAGTGAGCACGATACGTACGTACTTGTATATCTGACGAATACAAAACACACACACACACAAGACGCACTACGCTCAGCCGGCAACTTCCTCTTCGAAAGCATTGTGTGGAATTATTTTTGGCAAAGAGGCAGGAAGGAAGAAAGAACAAGGGGGTTAGGGCAGGACAAGCACACACAGCCTCAACAAGTAATGAATTGCGCGCAAAAAACAAATTGCTGCCGCACTCTATGAAAAGATCTGCAAACAAAAAAGCGACTCAGCAGCTGTGGAAAAATGGAAGCACTTGCGAGATGTGCATGTCTGAAAGGTTTATCAGAGAAAAAGGCATGCTCCAAAGTTTGTGCATTATTTGTTATCAGGAGAAAATTAAGTACAAAGCAACCACCAAACTTTTGGACAAAAGGCCATCGTCGCTGTGCTTCGGAGTTGTCGGAGCTTTGTTGCTGTAATTTGTTGTAGCCTTGTGTGGTAAGAAAACTTTCCTTAAGGTTCAGGACAACACAGTACATTCTGATTCAAGTGCTAGTGTTAAAAGTGTTAGCTACCGGCCATACGAACAACAACAAATTACTGGAAAAATACTGTCTATGGAGCAATAAATGTACTGGTGTGTATGAAAGTTGAGTGACAGCAATCTAACTTTGTTTATTTATTGCTCCATAGAGATAAACTAAATGATTTTTGTTAAATTTTACAAATTTGGGCTCTAACGTTTAAATCTGAAAAAACAAACCCCAAAGTTTCCTCTTTTTTTTTGAGCTTAAGACGGCAATGCTGAAATGACGAATCGCACTTATTATAAATTGGAAGATATACGATACGTATGTGCTGCCGATACAAAATCGATAAGATATTTTTCGCTTATGCTTAACTATTAATGCATAATTTCAAAATGAATAGAATAAAGCGGTTATGAATAGCTCTACAACTATAACTAAACATGCTTGCCAGTGTAACGTTGAAGCCCCAAAAAATTGACATACATACATATATAACTATTACATTGCCATTTTAATCACAATGTTTAAATTACTTATGAAAACTAAGAGGCTATGATTTAAAAAAAAGATTGACAAACTATTAAAAATTCCAACGTACATGTCGCCAAAGAATATTTGTTATTTTTTACAACAGATAGAGAAATGTATTTACTCACAAGTCCATATTGGTTTCTTTGCTACCAAATGTATTATGTACATTTCAAATAGAGACATATAAACATATTTACATGTATTTACATACTAAGAGCATATCTTTTTACTGCATTCTTTATATCTTGGACAGATAATTTGCCACTCTATTCTTGCAGGCTTATGTGACACAAAAACCGCACACTCTTCGGCTGAGCATTAGACACTATACATATTACAATTGCAACATTGTTGCTTTCTACGTGCTCATGCAACTTACAAGTCTGATAGTGCACCCTCAGCTCTCGACGAAGCCATTCTATCATTTGCACTTCCGTTTGAATTGGCACCACTTGATTTAGTAACGCAGTACTACGTGCCTGCCCAAACGCACACAGACACACAGTTATAGTTAAAGACACACGACTGCACTATATGAAGTCACATTAGAATAGCAAGTGCTCTTCACAAAAACCACTGATCCCATGCGCCGCGGAGCTTTAAATGAAAATTCTTCGATCATGTCACAATCAAAAGAAACGTGCACATTAGGCCTTGAGAGCTTCGTTTCAAAACGAGGAAAAGAAGGTAAGAAAAATAGGGGATAACATAAAAAAATAATGAAACTGCAAATCTTCTTAAACTAATAAACAAGCAAGCTTAACAATATCAACAACTTGTTCAACATGTCAGAGTTCTGCCCATTGTTTAAATATTTTTACTGCAATTATTTCGAGTCGCTTTTTATGACAAGCGGTCTGAAATACGTGCACCCAGCCTCAGACGTGCGAAATTAATAAAAGATTAAACAAATGCAGAGATTTGACTTGGGAATTTCTTTGGCACCTCGAGCACAGCTGGGTGCCTAACTTGGTAAGAATGGCGAGTTGCTTTATGGGGTCAACGTAGGCATTAAATAAATCAACACCAACAGCCGCAGAAGCAGTGACAGCAACAAAAACAACGTTACAATAAAGGGAGCGACTGGGCAGACATTTAAATCAAACCATGCCGCATGATGTCAGCCTTCCTCCCATAATATGTTTTTGATTAATTTATTGAAATTAACATAAATGGCAACAACTTTAACTTTTACTCGGCCAAACCATTGACCATTGGCGCACGTCTGCAGCTGACCACGGGCGGTCAGCTGCCTCCCATTTCCCGCTGCCCGCGCACTAGCCGACATCAATAATTAAATTTAATTGCCATTGCTGCTTCTTAATGATGCAAACATAAAAGACAGCACATCACGGCGGTGGCAAGTTGTTCGTGCTAGGTGAGAAAAACCCGTTTTTGAAATGAAAATCAAATTAAATGAAACCCGCGAATGATTGCAACACACAACAACCGAAGGTGAATTACACATAAATGTATGTATATACATATATTTTATATATCTATATACATTAAATAAATGAATACCATCCTTGTGGTATGAGAAAATGCTTCCACTGTTATGAGTTGAAGGTGCCGGAACGTAGAGGAAGGTGCCATTAGATGCTGCCAATTAGGGGAAACTTACAGCTGGGATGCATCACACGTGCCACGAGCCAAATGTTCTACACATGGGAGGGTGACTAGAAACTACATTCAGAGCACGACCCTCTCAAGTGAGTGTGCGGCCTCTAACTAGCAATAGTAGGCTATTTGGGTTGAAAAGGTGAAAAGAGGGGGGCACAGGCTATACATAAATGCTTGGTGGTTGGCAACTCTAATCTCAACTACCCCATTGTTAACAAAGAAATCGGTTAAATAAAGACTTACTACTACAAGGAACACCTGTGTCTGTGTACATATGTACACGTTTAAGGGATGGGTGTAGCACAAAAATGGTAGACTAATTTTAAAGGGACTATATAAACGTGGGAAAACAATGTTAAGTTAAATATTACAGAACTTAATCAAACTATGCATTATATGTAGGTAAGGCACATCTTCAAGTACGGAAGTGAGTGTTGACATTAGACAACGCCAGGAACTTATGGTATGTGTTAAAAAAGAGAACCAATGAACCGAATTAAATTAGTGAAACATGGTTTATCTACTAAACAATACATAGTTAGTACGTATGCATATAATAAAATAAAATAAAATAACTAATCTATTCAGTACTCCTTTCGTTTTGTGTAGTTGCTGCATTCAAATCCAAATATCTTGTTATTTAATCTTCTCCATTGAATGAGAAGCAGTCTATCCGGAATTTGGGCCGTTGTCGGTTGTCATTCACTCACAAAAGAGCTGTGTACTATAGTATGTATGCCAAATCCCACCTGGCGACTTTCTCATGCCCTGCCTTTGATAATTAATAAATTTGCTCGATTCTAGGGCAGCGCATAATTGCCAAGCCCAGAGCGACTGTATAACAGAAAACCAAAAGCAAAACAAACCGGCAAAATTACTAGAACCAAACAAACACACAACATAGATATAGTATATGTATATGTATGTATGTATAAATACCGACCAACGAGGTCGCATTGTGGGCGTCGCGCGCCTCGAAATCCTTTTTACTAAGGCTAAAGCAAAAAGTCAACTTTGCCTGCCAAGGAAACGGCGGGCGGCCAAAACAAAACGTCGACGGCAAGGCATAAAAATCAAATGAAATTTATTGATTTTCCTATGCAATGGCAGGCGAAAAGGCAACAGCAAAAGCAGCAACAACAATGAACAGGCAAAGTAAAAATGTTGCCAAGGAAATGGCCAATAAAAATAATTTGCAAGCAAAAAGCAAAAACACCAAAAACATATTTGTGATGGCAAAGTCAATGCACGACTGAGAAGTATAGTAGAAGGAAAAGCGGCTAAAAAACCAAAACGTGCGATGCGAACATGCAAAGGCAACGTCAACTGAATACACGTAGCGGTGGCAAGTGCGTGCGTGCGTGTGTGCAGTCCAGTGGCAAGGAGCATACAAGTAAATAGAGAGGGGGGGCCGTCGCAGCAGTTGCGGCGGCATTGTAAATGTCAGCTCAAGTTAACGGGTCTGAGGCGCTAGCAAACCAACACGACAGAGACGAGCAGAAAAACCGACAAACAGACATTCGAAGAGTGGGACCAGCGGACTGATGGACAGACAGACAGACAGACACGCAGGGCACGCACGGCAGCCGGCATGGCAGCCAGCACACAAAAGCGACGTTTTGTTGGGGGCGCCAACAACAGAAGTCTGTATGTAGCAGCAGGTGCCGGTCTATAGCTATAGCTATAGCTATTGTTGTCGTTGCTGCTGATATTGCATTTGATTTGAGCGCGTGGATAAACTTACTTGATACAGCTCATCAGGCGACGAAAAGGTTTTGCTTCAGATTGAAACACTTCTTTCCACAGTTTTGAATTTGCTGTCAAAATATTTACTTTTAAATTATGCTTGATTGGAATCACAGATGCGGATGCGGACGCGGGCACGCACGGCACAAAACCGCAATGTAACGGATACTTAGAAAATAAACGTCCAAACTCGTCGATTGATAAGCGCCTTCGGATAGCGGCGAGATAGTGGCCGTAGAGAATGGCAATGGGCGCGTTTATCAGGAGTGTGTCGCGACAAAATTGCGGACGAGGGACGCGGAGTGAGAAACGCGGACACGTATTCTCTATTCATACATACAGGCGTACATATGTATGTACAAGTGTATGTCGAGCACTCTGGTTTTTTCTATTTTGCACAGCACGCTTTAATTTCATTTGTGTATAAAATAAATATTCACGCTATTAATTTGTAATTTATGCTTATTATTTCATTTACATTTATTTTTCACACATTTCTCTGCTGGCAAAAAGACGCAAACTTCACAGCTGACTCTGATTTGCTTTGTGTGCACGTTGTTGTTGTTGCTCTTGTAGTGGCGGTGGTGGCAGTATATAAGTGCTGCCCGCTGTTGTTGTTGTACATTTCACGCGCCCTCTCACACATACGCACGCACACGCAAACACACACTCATCCACAAACACCAGCACCCACACATAAAGATGCGTGTACACTTGTTTGTGCCTGTATGTAACGTTGTTCGACAATTGCAATGTTGGTGTGTTTTCTGGCTGATGTTGGTGTTGGTGTTGTTGCACGCGCACCTCGTCCAGCGACTTCGACGGCCAAAAATGAACTGACAAACTGAAGCGGCCCGACGAATCCAACACGAACAGCGAGCCAAGCTAGCTCAGACATGTTGCACGCAACGGTTCGATGTGCTCACATTGGCCATGTTCCATGTTCCGCCGCTGATAACGGCTTGGGACCTTAAATGTACTTATAATGGATGTATATCGATATCATATAAAATATACATATATTTAGAAAACTCTCTTAACGAGGTATCTTTGTGGCTAAAGCAAGAAGGCAGCTTACAAAATTAGTGATATCCATTTTGAGTATGTTTATTCCTTTTCTTTCAAGCGGCATGGCGGGGAAGTGCCTTATTTGGAATGTTGCATATATTTACTTAAGAATTCATTTCAATTCAATAGTTTAAATGGTAATGCTTTTACCAAGAGGGAAATTGTTCAAAATTACATTAAGCCTGTAAGTACCATCCCAGCTTCAACAGAAATATCCTTTTATTAATGTTATGTTTCAATGCTCACATTTTTGCATTTTAATATGCATAATTACGAAAAGAGTTATTTGCATAAGAGCTTTGAGGAAGAACTTTGAGGAAAGAAATGTAAGCAGGTAGCTCGACCCGTTTGTTTCCAAGTTGTATTAACGTGGCATAGTTGTGGTTAGTGCAGCCATTAAGCCATTAAGAACAAACTGTATTTTTGACAAACTTAGTCCCCGGTGATTAGCTATGCTTTAACAAGAACCGTATCAGTTATAAGAAACCTCAAACAGAACATAAATATACTTATGTGGTTTCAGGTTTTTGGGCTCAGTCTGAATCTTAACAGACAATGCAATGATTCCGATCTCTTCTACTTAACAAATTGGGCACTATACTATTTTAGGCGCTATACCTACACAAACGGAAATTAGAAATGTCGTTCTATTTGTGTAAGTTATAGAATCTGGTCAGTTACGCTGAAACCCTTTTTACACATTTGTCTTTATAAGAAAGGCACAGTCTAATGAAGGTAGGTCAGATGCTGCACCATTCATGCTGACCTGCACCTCCCATTACTGTTAATATGGATCATTTCAGCTGTATTTTTGTTAACGTAAAAGCTTTATCACTACACTTCTAAATATTCTTCTTTATATGACGTATGTATTCATACAACTCGACGGCCGAGCACATGAATTTGGATTTTGGACTAGTTGGCTGCTGCAGCAGCCTTTAAAGTATATAATGCGTATAAACTCTAGATATTTAAACATACTTATTTAGCAATATAAAACCATGCCTAAAGAAACATAACGATGACAATCTAGTATAATTTGGTATAGTACATAAATAATTGCCATCAGAATGACAAATTGTTAGACGAACTGCCTAGTCTTATCTGTTTCCTTGTATTTTTAGAAGCAAATTTATGGGTATGCCGTCAGATATCGTTCCCATTACCAACATGTTTTGAAGGAATATTTTGCATGTGAGTTACTTTCTCCACCACCACGAGAAATGTGATAAAAACGAACGGAAATGCAACCATGAATTCACGTTAGTGCACTTATGTGTAACGAAATAGATTTTATAAAAGACCCTCTTTTGAAACAATGGTTTCGATGCTGTTTTATTAGTAGTATATTCTTTTAATATACACTTACTATATTGATAAATACTTATCTCTAACGTGCTGAAAATTGTGGATGAGCACTTGAATAATTAAATGTTAGATAGTTGTGTATGTCAAGAAATGTAAAATCTAAAGTACATGCACTTGATGTAGCCTGACATTCAAGAAAAGCTCACATTTAGTTTTCATCATTATACTTTTAGTTTTGAATGTCGATGCGTATTCGAGGACATACTTTACACTTCACAGCTGATTTTTGCAGTTGAGGCGACTCATTCATAATGATCTTGAAAAGCACTTTACGCATTTTGTGTAAATGGATTTGCATTTTTGGCCAATATATGTAAAGCGTTCCAACAACTGCCAATTTGTGGTTATGAAAAATGCATTTGTCCTCTCAAAAAGGACACAAACTAGGCACTTCCTTACACTTTTCATTTGTTTACACACGCTCGGCAAGTTTCCATTGTGCTCCCAGGAAGAGCAGGCAAGGGACTGGACATGCAACTGCAGCATTCTTTGTGACAGCAATAAACTTTTTGACACAATGTTTTCGTTTCTTGGTATCTATGTACGTCTACCTCTCCACTTCTCCCCCTCCCCAGATACCGCTGGCTAAGCAGAATGCTGCAAATAGAGCCCAAGTTTTTCACAACTTTGTCGAGCGCTTGTTTTGTTTGTCTCTCTCACTATGCCATTGACATTTTCAGCTGTGCACATAAATGCGATATCTTTGAATGGAAAATGCGTTTGTATTTAGCACATTGTGCCATTTGAATTCAGCCAAGCAATGTTTTGTTGTTTAGATCGTTAACTATGTTTGCTCAACTCACATAGTTGTGCAACAAAACTGCAGCTCAGAGTCATGACAGTCGTGTGGTAAACCAAAATAGTTGTATAACAGAATGACATTTATGTGCACATTTATAAATACGTATTTAATAACAAGAGGAGCTCCTAGCATAAATAAATGTATAATAAAAATTGTATGAAGAAAACTAAATCATGCATAAATTAAAATTAAAAATTAAATACTGGGTCTTTGTACTTCAATTAAAAACTTAACCGAATTCAAGATCTAAAGAATAATGCTATCTTTTTTGTGACGTGAAGATCTGTCTGACGCTTTCTGATCTTAGCAATGGAATGATATGTATTTTTAATTCTTTTTCTGCTAACTCATGCATATTATACTTGTATATATTATGGTTCACCTTTAATGTATTCTTTGTGTTATTACCAACTAACATTTATATAAGACTCATTTATTACAAATGGAGGGTTGCATTTGTACGGGTCGCTCCTATAAGTACTATGACAACTATATAAAATAATAAACCATTGCTGGGTGTCTGATAAGATTGGCTAACGGATGGATCTGTCGATTCTACTTACAAAGCAAATCGAACAATTGAATCACTTAAATGTTTATATTTCCTCATGTTAAGTTTGTCAGATTAATTCTACAACTCCTAGCGTTACATTTTCTTTTTATATTAGGAAATCGTAGTCCGCATGTTGCGTGCCCCTGAGTCATTCTTTTTTTTTTTAACACAATTACTGGTTAACTACATGAATGTTTATGTACTTAAGTATATTTTCTACTAAATACTTTTTTGCATATTTCGATCATAATTTAACAATTGATTTTCATGATTCGCCCATCATCCCATCATCTGCGACCTGCCTGTGGATAACAACTTGGCAGCAGCCGTCATTTTACAGCCTTAGCACACTTCATTGATTTTTTCCTTAACGCTTTCGAGATGCCACGTTAAACCCAAAGAGGCGACTTCAACAGAGAGCGCCTCACGTAGTGGGGCAACTGCAACTTCAGCAGTAACGTGTCAACCGCATGCAGATGCCAGCTCTGTGCTTTTGTCTGAGCATTTGCATCGATTGCTAGTTTAGGTAAATAGCTGTTAGCGTGCACAAATATTTTCTTCATATCGACCTGGTATTGTTGTTGTTGTTTTTGCTGTTGTTGCTCAGTCAAAGTAATTGCCGTTGGCATTTGTGCCGGGGCAACTTGGATAACGATCTACATGTCGCTTAGACGCAACACAAATGTCAGATTTCTAGGCGAACTTCTGGGCACCCACAACGTTCCAGACCTCATGCGAATCTACCCCAGCCTCTGCCTCACTGTATCTCTACTCTTTCCCTAGCTAGTACTACTTGTAGGCTACCAATTTGCAGGCAATTGAAAATGCAATACACGCTCAGGCAAAACCTCATTTGCAACACTTCACGCAACGCAGGCGATTCCGATTTAGCAAAGATCAAGGGCGATAATGCCACGTAGTCCAAGCGTCGAGCAAGCGACCGCATTGCGTGCAACAACGCCAAGCTATAAATAGGCGGCATTGCAGCCGTTGTAGCAGAAGCAACAAGCAAGCAACTTGGCCTTATCCCAAAGCACTGATCTTTACGCAGCGGCAGCAATAGCAAGAACTACAATAACAAGAACAATTGCAGCTACAACTACAACAACAGGTATAACATTCCTTTCGACATTTAATTAACGATCGCGATTGCAATCAAGGCAATGGGTGCTCCACACCGCCAATTTCAATATTGTTGCTGCTGCTGCCGCTGCGCATGTGCAGCATTTTGTGGCAAGTTAGGCACTAAGCTGACAAATACTGTAATTAAAGTTAATTGCTGCAATTGGCGCTTCGTTTCCGACTCATTAATACTGCTCTCTCTCTATATATACAAGTATACCAACTGATTAGTGCGATAAGCGCCAACCCAACACAACTACTCCCCCCGCTAGCTCACCGGGTTGCCTGTCATATGCGCCAGATGTCGTCCATAATTTCAGCCTGCCGATAAAGACGTCGCCTTCGACGTCATTGTCGCTGTTGCTACTGCTGCGTACGTGTTTTTGCGCTTAATTGCAAGGCACGTCGTTTGTCGCATGCCGCTAGTGAAACGAGCCAGAAGTTGAAGATTTTAAATTGCTTTAATATTCCTCCTCTTGCTTTAAAAGCGTCGCACACACACACACACACACACACACACACACACACACACACAAATACACTGGTATTGCTATAATACCACATTTATTTGCGCCACAAAATATTATAATATTATAATATATATTGAAGGGGCTGTTTTGCATAAAGCAACCGCTCAATGGAGTGTGCCAAAACAGTTTGCCAAACAATAAAATGCATGGGGCTGAGCGGCCACATTTGCAATAATATTGTAGTACTCGTATAAAATACTCTTAGTGCAGTTCATTGAACGCATACAAATCCAATTAGATTTTCTACTCTAATGCTCAATGGCAGCCATAAATATGCGCGCACACGCACACACACACACACACTCATACACACAGACGCACACTCGAGAAGTCTTTGCGAGCTTCTGTTGACTTGGCATGCAAATCAAGTGCAAATGTGTACGCATTAAGAGCGATTGATAAAAAATCATAGCATACTTTTTAGCCAACAAATGAAGTAACTCGTACAGGTCTATTAGCTATGCATCGGTGGGCGTGCGCGATTGTGTGTTTGGCCAAAAGTTTGGCTGTTAATTGTTCTGACATGCAAAGTTGTTACGCCATGCCTTTTATTGATTTTAGGAATTAAAATTGCGGCATATTTGCAGTAAACTTTCGCATACCAATGTTCTCATAATGTTGATGGGTATTCCTATGTAATTTATGTTGGCATTTTCTGCATGCATATTTTAATGGTTTAATTATGCATGGAAACGCTAACGTAAATATTTAATCATATTATGCAAGCTTAAAAGAGTTGTAATCAATTTTTTCATGCATGTAAATGACTTAAAAAATTGACTATGAATTATGGCACATGTGATAAGAATTTATTCATTATTAAAATTATTGAAAAGTTCCTGCTGTGAACAGCTGCTGTAAAAATTGCATATTAACAAAAGACGTTGCTATGTGCCATAAAAACAAAATTGAAGCTCTTTTTATTACCTGCCACAAAAAAACTTTCCACACTCACTGGCAATTAAGAAGCCATAAACAGAGTAGATGGTAACATAAAAAGCGCAGGGGCAAAAGTTCCAAAGCACAATTTGAAAAACAGTAAATATTCCAGCTTACCGCAGGAGTCCCAGTACCAGGTCGATCGCCAGGCACGTAACTGCGGGACTTGGCACTGTGAATTGCAGTCACGAAAGGATTTAGACAGATGTGTGTATGTACATGGGTGGGCATATAGTAGAGAGAGGATACACAGTCATACCTGCTTGCATTCACTATGCATACATATGTACGTGTGTATTTACATACGTATATTATGGCCAGGCAATAACATGACTTGCCAGATATATTTTTGTGTGCCACTCTTCGGCAAATAGCAAATGTGTTGTGACAAATGGAGCAAAGCAGGTGCTCTATGGCGAATACATAAATGCATGCAATAATCATAGTGAACGGCAAAGTGGGTGCGCCCTGGACATGTGGCATCCGAGAGCACGCACGGAATATGCCTCACAGACATTTGAATGCTTGGCTAGTTTTGAGGCAAGAGTTGCCTGGCATTAGCATACGCAGCATAACTCTAGCAGATAGTTGCCTGCATTTTCTGCTGTGCTTGGCGATATGAGTTGGAACTGATGATGCATTGCCCTTTATCCGACAACATCAGCCAACCAACCAAACCAAATACATACTAAGCTTGTGCAATCGATTACCCCGAATTGCAGTTGCCAAACCAATAATTTACTGTTATTTCGTAAAGACTGTTGAAATACCAAAAACAAAAACTGCTAGGATTATAAAAACGTGCCTTACAGACAATCGGGTACAACTACGATACAAATCGCAGCAGTGTCCATATCTTTCCTTAAAATTTTAGAACACGGTTTTTTAAATACATTAGGATTTATTTTTAAAATCTAAGCTATAGTTTGTTTGAATTTGAATGTACTCCCAACGTCCATATATTTAAACGCAAGCAAACACAAATATAAATCTATATTGAAAAATATTCCTGTTTATCACGCACTTGATTTACACCGTCTTAGTCGAGACTTCAATTTCATGAATTCCAGTGTATCTACATATGTATGCAACAACTTTAAAACACCCCTTTGCCACGATGCCACTTAATAAAAGTTCGAAAACAATGTTAATAAAGCTGCGTTGGTATTTCGCACTTGCCATTATATGGTAAATAATTTGATGAATTGGAATTTGCTTGCAGCTGAGAAATTTTGTTTTTCAGCTTCCGGATCCATAAAAAATAAAAAAGGAGCAGCATTTCGCAAATAGTTAATACATTTAATAGATCATTTTATGAACGCGTTAGCAGCTGTTGTTATAAAGAAAAAATATTTTTAATACGGCATCAGATACTCATATAAAGGCCAGTGAATCACGGCCTTAGTACCATACATTTTGTATAAGAAGGTGGACTTTGAAGTTAGTGAAGAAGATTACCAGATGTTTATATTATAAATGGGTTGCCTGCCCCAAATATGCCACAATTATAATTAGCATCCTGTTTGACACACATGTATGCAGACATGCATATACTTATATACTTATATATATATATAGTATATACATATAAATGTGTTTGACGTGATTGGCTGTGTGATTTCACAGCTCACATACACACGAGCACACACATGGCTTTATTTGCCAGCATGATATATTGGCATTTAAGATGGCTTGCGGCAAATTATTTCAATGTCTGGTATCTGCTCGAAAACTCAGTCCATATAATTTGTGCATACTATTCGAAACGAAGCGGCAAAGCTTTCACAAGCTCAACTGAAAGCCAGAAAAAGTTATCACTGAACTGTAAAAATGGAATTAGCACTTGGGGGATATTAATTAATTGGAATTAGAATGTCATTAAACGGCTGACACTATTCACTGCATGCCCAAACATTAGTGCCTTTTGCTGTCATTTTGTCTAAATAGCAAATACCAGGAAGAATAAAAAGACCAATGCAATTAAGAGTCAAATGGATTTTATTTTGATCTCACTTTATGTACACTAAGTGGATAGATTTATTAGATCCAATAATGCTTTCAACATTAAATACACTATTTGAAGACTCTCTTTATGGAAATTGATGTTTAAAACTGGTCTAGACCATAGTGACCTATTATATAAACGTGGTCCTCGTCGACGACGGCATACGTAAAAGGCGTTAGAGCTGTAAAAGTAGCGTCTGCGTCTTCCTTTCTGTGTGAAGGCGTTGCTTTCGCTATAATGCAAAAAAAGGACAGAAATAAATTTGAATTAAATTGTCATGGAAACACTTATAATGGTTCGCCGATGCATAGGTCAGAACTTTTTCACAATAAATATGTTGTTACAAGACAATCTAAGTTTTAACTTGAATACAGCAAAAAATGATTCGCTTCATGGGTCTTTCTTAGTCTTAATTAATTACGTATAAGTAGGAAAGTTTCGAATGTTTCTAATGAACTACTCTTTGCTGTGCTTTACAGTGAAAACTTAAAGCCCTCATCGTAAATATCTACTATGTCCAAAAAAAAAGGAATAATCCAATTTTCATGTAATCATATTTCTCATCCGCAACAACTTCCCATGATTGGTAGGGAGAGCTTCTACTACTAGACAAGTGAATTGGTTTCTTTATTCACTCGTGAGTTGTCAAAAAGAACGCTTATTAACTCACCTGCTAAACGTTTCATGTTTATACCGTTCCGGCCTATTTCGAAAACTGTCTTGTGGTGCAGTCCCTTTAGGTATTCGCCGCTCTGATCTCCGATTTTGTTGAGCTGCGCCTCCCCTGCCTTGAAAATACGTTCCACGCCTACTTCGGTCAATGGCTTCTTCAGATCTAGCGTTGTTTCGTGGCGAAACATTGGCACAATAAGATTTACCAATTTGACTTCCAATGCTTTGAGAAGCTGGCGCAAATCCAACGTTTCCAGATTGCCCTTCCATCTCTGGAGCAACACCAGATAGCTCGTCGTATTTATCAGTGGAAGTGCCACTACACTGTCTCCAAAAAGGGCGGGCACTGAATTTGCCCGCATACACCTCACCTTCTTTTTTGGATTGGGATAAACGGTGAAATCGCACATTTCTTCGGTAGGGAATTCGTTTGCGAAAATCGCGCCGTAAAAAACCCCGTTTACGAGCAAAACTTGGGTGTCCGGCTCGAATGTGTGATCTGAGACAATCGAACGCACTGTGTTCTTTGTAGCATGATACACACCGGAATTCATTACATTTGCCGATCTTTGTGCAGATGTAAAATTTGTTAGCTCCACAGCCGCATCTCCATATTGAGTGACTTCTGAGATATACTCTGGATCGATTGTCAGACCACTTTGGACTCCCAATGTTGTGAACTGGTACAGCAAGTGGTTCTGCTTTAGTTTCACTTTGTTCTCTTGCATCCGCGGCTTCAGAAGGTTCTCTATCTCCAGTGCGCTGTCGTCGCCAAGGGCGGGCACCAATATACCTAGGGCCTGCTTTATTCCTAGTGGTGAGATGGCAAAGTCTTTGTTTCGAAACAGAGTTTGCTGCACGGCGCTGTACATCCGAACCGGAAAGTGATGCTCGAGGTTTGCGGTATCTGCTAGAACGCTGCAAATGAGCAGCTGCAGCAATGGGAATAAGAGCAGTGGACGTAGCCCCTGTATCATCTGATCTGTGAAAAATAACAAGATCAGTGGTGCTCTTCACAAACAATCCAGAGAATAACCCACCTCCCATGCTTCTACTTAGCATGGGTGTAAAGGAAGAAATGAAACTGAATCCATGTACCCAAAACGCTCAAATTCCGTCATCACAACTCGATTAGTTATACTTGCATAACCATAACCTTTGCTAAATGCACACGTAAGTACATATTGGTAAATCAACTTAAAACGTTTTGTCATGCTTTAACACGTGCTATCGCAACGTCATGCACCAAAACATGCCCTGCACTGCTGCTCTTTCACATTGTTGCACTTTATAATATATCTGGGCCACATGGCAGAAACAGCATCCAAAAGTGTGCACAGTGGGCTGACAGACACCAAATGGCTGACCTAACATGTCACATTATTCGCATGAGATACAATCAGCCTTAGAGATTCTCTATGTTCTCTCTCTCACACACTCTCTCGGCGAAATTGTATTACCATTATAAAGATAAAGTACTCTGAATTATTCCATTTATCATTAAATATTTTAACAAAGTTCGACTTTTTAAAAAATAGTTAGACTCTGCGTGAAATACCCGGAATGACCCTTTCTTGTGTGTGTGAACATTTGCAAGACAGTCAGCATAAACAAATTATTATTCTATATATTATTCAATTCAAATTAATCCATTCAAAACGAATTAAATTTAAATTATTCCGGCTCTGTTTACGTACAAGGACTCGCCATCTACAATCCTACAATTCTTTTATATATATTTATCAAATTTTCAAAACCCTGTATATTTCGGTTCATGTAAGTAAGCAAATACTTAGACATTTGCTTACTATGCTGTTGATTTCATCTCAATTTCATATGGAACAACCCCACTGTGCTGCAGAATAAGCAAACATTCTGTATACGATAATGGCACACATTTCTGCCACGCTTATCCACGTGGCCCCGGCTTCGTACCCATGCTGCTTCTGTCAAGCTCCCGTTGCCCCAACACTCAGCCCTTGCTGCTTGTCGCAATAAATTTCAGCGCCAAAGTGATAATGAAAGTGTTTCCTTCCGTTTTTGCCAAACAATGTGTACAAGACAGAACAGAAGAAGAAGAAAGGAAACAACGTGGCGTATGAGTAACGTGGCAGGAGACTGCACTCTCCAGTCAACCATCCCTGCCCCACCTGTTTTGGCATTGTTCGCTTATTTTCTCCATTGCTTGTTTATTGTTTTCCGCTCAGCAAGAAATTCAATTTCAAGCGCAAACACGAAGGGTAAAAAATGAAATGGGATCAAACGCAGCCAAATGTGCGAAATGAATCGCTCCTACAACTCCTTTGGCATAAATCGCTTTCAGCTACTGGCACAGCAGACCAAGCAGAGCTGAAATTTTCGTTTCTAAGGGCAATAACAACTAGCACAACTACTATGGCTTGTCTTAGGACAGACCTTGTGTCTGCCTAATTGTTCGTTTAAATGTAGCGCAATAGACATGGAGAGACTGGACACTTCGAAACAATTAAAGTTGCACTAGAGTCAGGCAAAAGTTTTTTTTAAGTGTTTTGCGCCAAAATGAAAAGGACCAAACAGTTTCCTAGCTATGTATGTATGTACCAGCTACCAGTTTTTGCTTGGCGTTCAAGATACTTGCCCAAAATGGACAACGGCCCGCCAACTGGCGACGCTCTTACTAAACAAAATGGCTGCCTGCCAGTTTCGACTTTTGTTTAGTTTGTTTGTGCGAGTGCGAGTGTGCATTGCTGCGGCTAAAGTTCCTTTGTGTATAGAACATTTGCTTTCTTATTCCTTTTTTTTTTATTTATACTATATACACTTTTTTTTGGTTGAGGCCAAAGTTGGAGAAGTGCCGCAGTCCGTAGAGGAAGAACCGTGAAGTTGTAGATGGCGCGCAGCAACTATGACAAAAGATTGCAGTGGCCAAAGTTTGGCACAACGTTAATTAATTTTCGCTGAGCTCGAGCTCTCAATTCTGTAACACAGTTGCATTTATTTTCGCTAATGAAGTCAGACTCTAGCGGAGCATAAGCAAATTCGTTATGTGTCTCACTTAAAATATTCATAGGAAGCGCCAAAGTAGAGACATTCGGAATTTAATTGGATTGTGAAGGATGTGCTTGATAAACATTATGCAAGCATACTATAGCTTCAAAAATATACAATTTATACTCACAAGCTATACTGCTTTCGGTGAAGCTGAACTAAAAGTTTCAGGTAAAATACCTCCCAAAAGACTGAAAAGACATTTCACCGGATTAAATATATAATATACTTGTATGTGCTCTACTTTCTTAATGTGAGGCCCTAGTTGTATTTATATGAAATAAAAAAACCTATATGTATGTATATAGTATAGTATATACCCATAAACTCAAATTAAGAAATTTTACTAATTTAAATTTTATAATTTAAATGTATAAATTAATGTGTATAATAGGAAATATTTTCAAAGGGAAATTTTTGAAATTTTACATATTTCCAACAACTGTAAGCCAGCCACCCACGTACACATTTACTTTATAAATGCACAGAAGTTTTATTTATCAGCCATTGTAAATATTTCAATTCAATTCTTTGCATTACCATCCCACATTATCAATTGATTGGAATAGCAATTCCTCATTTGGAAAGAGATTTTTTACATCAATTGATTGTTAAATTTACTTGATACTGTAATCAATAATATACGTATTTGTGCCGACACTATCTGCTCAAGAGTGCAGCAATATCAAAATTCTGCTTAAAAAGACGCAAACGTTCCGTATCCTGATTACACTTGCACTCGGTGAGCTGCATAACAAACAATATACAGAAGCAGACACAATCAACTACCAACACGAGCAGCAACACACACACACAAATCCACCCCCATCCACGCACACAAGCTGCAATCAGTGTGTATGCCCCTAGCTTAGGTTCGGAGCGTGTTCCTCATACTCTGAACTTTTGTTCTGAAATTGTTTGCGCAACCACAAAAAGAGCAAGAGTTCAAAAAAAAAAAACAAAAAAAAAAACAGACACACACTCTCACCCCACAACAATGCCAACGCCAGTTGAAACAAGTTGTTAAAACGGGTTGCATAAATTTTACATGTTCTGGGCTGTCCCTGCTGTTGTATAGCTTACTAGGGCTATGGACCAGAAGTACAACCGCCTGGAGGGACGATAATGGCACACATTAGAATGCGTAATTAAGCGCCTCAGACGCAGCCTCGACACTGCATCGTCCATTTCGGCTTTTATGCTAATGACCAGAGTGAATTGCTTTCAGTTGCTGCTGAGCACACATCAGATATAAAAATGTTTGCCACTTTACGACAACCTGCATTGTTAAGGTGCTAAACCTGAATGTACGGATTCAGAAATCCAAAAAAAAAACCATTTAGATATTATTGAAATACGTATATTTGAAATTACAAATAATTGTTATCACAATATTATTCCTGAATCTGTATATTATTTTATGTTTTTAATTTAAAGTCAATAAAGATCATTATTGGCAAAAATATTGATCATATAAAAAATCTGTACAAACATATTGTTTCTAGCATCGCTAAATCGAAAATCGTAATTCGGATTCGTACATATTCACAAGATGTAGGTTTCTATTCTTTATAGTTCTGTTATAATTAGAGTGGGACTGAAAAACAATAAACGTTTCCCTATGTGAAGAGTATAAAAACAAGATAGAACGCTACAGTCGAGCAAGCCCGACAGTAAAATAGCCTGTACTCTCCACAAAAAAGAAAAATTAAAAAAAAAAATTTTAAAAAAAAATTAAATTATTAAAAAAAATTAATGAATTAATTAATTAAATTAAATTAGAATATATGTTTATGTTCAGTTTTAACAGCATACATTTACATCACGTACCTATACGTGTTTATATGCGTGTATGTATGCAGCACAAAGTTGAACCAAAGCAGCAACAACAACAACAGCTGCGGGCAGCGCTGCCGACAGAGGCAGCGCATGAGCAGCGATTTTACTTATGGCTATAACTTTCTTCAGAATTGACCTATCATGATGAAATTTGGCACACGGACACATTAGTACTAACTGGATGTACCTACCAAAATTGATTTCAAAATTCCGAGAATTACGGAAGTTATAAGAAAAAATACGAATTGCGGGGGAGTGGGGGGGTGCATCGAAAAAAAACTCAAACTCGTACTTTCTCGGTCTTAGGAGAATATGGAAACCAAGTTTGGTTATTCTAGCTCTTATACTTTCTGAGATCCTTGCGTTCATACGGACAGACAGACGGACAGACGGACAGACGGACGGACGGACAAGGCTATATCGACTCGGCTTCTCATCCTGATCAAGAATATATATACTTTGTGGGGTCTGCCACGCCTCCTTCTGTGTGTTACATACATGCGCACAAAACTAGTATAGCCTTTCACCCTTTGGGTACAGGCTATAAAAACTAGAGGGCAAACAACATCATTTAAAGAAACATTGTGTCGCCCATAAAAAATGCATGGCATATGCATTCGAGTCTCAGATTGACAAGAAAATTGGTATCGAAAGTGCATCTATGTGTTGAAACAAGAACCAGCAAAAGATTGAGCAAAAGATTGGATATACAAAATGCATTTGGTTTGCATTGCATAAGCTGTGACAAGTGGACGGAGTCATTATTATTTGCCACATGTGCTATTAATGTTAAAAAGTAATCTCCACCAACGATGATAGGTAAGCATCTACTTATTTAATGCCAAGAATCCGTAAGAATCTATTTCCATTTTCAGTTACAAGGACTTTATGTTTGGCACTTTTATTTGTGGCATGGGCGATAAATGATGTTACGGGACAACAAAACCAGCACATTAATACTATACGAAATCAAATAAAAAGATGTAACCTTTTGAGGTGGGAAAAAATTTGCAGCAAACAAAACCGGGCCGTCGAATGTCCACCACGACAGTGGCTAAGACGCTGTGAAAGGCAGCATCAGCAAACATGTCGAAAGCTTACTGGTCGGCCGTGCCCAGTAATTGTTCAAGAGACCGTATTACTCCCTCATATCATATTAATTAACAACAGCGCCTCCCTGCCTCCTCCCAAGCCGGATAGGGTACTGAACGTCCACTGGTTCATGACCAGCTCCACGAAAGAAAATGTGTTCTTCTCTCACACAGCTCTGCAGCTCGCCTTCAAGATGTTAAGGCAGATTACTAATGGTGCAACTTCCTCAGAAATAGAAACTGCTCTGCAAGTGGACCGCTATGACAGCCAGCAGCTTACGGGGCAGCCAACTGAAGGATATATGATTGGTATTTTCAATGGTATCTTTCTGAAAAGCCCCGCAAAGTCATTCAAAAGAAACATAAATAGTCGATTGGGTTCGATTGAAGCAATAGACCAGGAACACTTCCCACAACAGCTGAAATTTATCAATAGTCGTATTGCTCGGGAAACAGATAACAAAATAATCGATCCAGTGCATATTGAAGATTACATTGAATTGGATAAGCCCAATAAAGTTGTTTCGATCAATGCGGCTGTTCTAAGTGCCCAATGGGAGTTCCCATTCCAATCACAAAAGACTAAACCTAGAGAATTTTACGGCATTGAAAAGCAGCTGATTGACTTTATGCAATTCGACAAGATCCGGCTTCCGTACGCCAACTTGGAAAGCCAGAAAATAGATGCGCAAATGTTGCTAATGCCATTCCTTCGCACCACCCGCAATCTTAAAATGATGATTCTTTTGCCCTCAAAGAAGAGTAACCCTGCAGTTATTGTATCGGGTCAAATGGCATTCTTTGGCAAAAGTTTGGTACAAATAGCCAAACTCGCCAAATACACGGACCTAGAGGTTCAAATACCGAAATTCGAATACAAATGCGATGTTGAATTAGTGCCGGACATACTCGACGATTTGAATATACGAAACATTTATCAGGAAGGCAAAGCTGATTTTAGCCCAATATCCGAAAGTCCAAACCTTGCCCTCTCTAGTATGAGGCATATAACCTACATTCAATTCAATGAACACGGCATAAACATCGATAATGCGAAGAAGCAAACACGTAAGCCTAAAAACTTTTCGAAACTTAATAGATTAAAAATAAGTTTTATCTTTCAGTTAATGATGTGGCAAGCTTGGGTGGTAGCATCATTCAATTCCATGCCAATCGTCCTTTCTTCTTCGCCATACTGGACGATAATGAAATTTATTTCACAGGCCAATTCGAGAATTCCAGTTAAATTTGAGAATCAAACTAACGGTTCTTCAAGAAAAACACCGTTAATTTTTTTTTAATTTTCAGGCAAAGCTAGGTGTTTAGTTGGGAGAAATAAATCGTTGAATTTTCTAAAAATATTATCGATAAATTAGTTAATTTAATCCAGTCATAAGTTTCTTCCTTCTTCTTTATCGCCTTCGACTATAAATCTAATCATCTAATGAGCATGATAATAACTAAAATACTGGCTTATGTTATGTGTAACTCCTTAATGACTTTTACAGTGAATTCTTGTAATTGAGTCGCCTAATGAATGGCTTTAGCACTGCAATTGTAATCGCTTCTTACTATTCATTTTATACACCTGAAGCAAATCTACAAGCCAACCAAATAAGCCCTGCCTGACTAACCACTTTTATCGCATTTCTCTGGCAACTTACGAGTATATGTGACTGATTTACTAAGATTGTTTGGTTAAGTAAAATGCACAAGTGACCTGCATTTAACATATGTAGCTTACAGTAACACATCCTTGGCAGCCAATCAACTTGACTTTAAAATACCCATGACCTCCTAGTAAGCAAAATGCACCTAACAGTGGAAATGTGCAACGCTGCCACAAAAAGTATAAATTGATTTCGACATACTCGTACATCAGCAGCAGAAACCCAGTTAACCAGTTTTAAACAGGCACCAAGATATGGCCGTAGGTGACAGTGGGGGTGAATGGCAAACGAGTGATTTTCGACCGGAATGCTGCCAAAACCACATCAAATTTGTCTGTGCACTAAAAGTTGGTTAAAATTGGCACGTAGATGGCCCTTAGCCCACATACCTACACCATAGTCTTTAGACACATTGGGAGTTGATATTGGAATTTCACTTCTGTTTCGGACAGTTTTTGCATTTCATTTGAAACTCAGCCCGTTAACTAGTATTGGCTAAGTTACAATTCAACAACTTCTTCGATTCTTCCATCGTTTAGCCAATATTCCCACATTGTGGCACACCTTTTCTCTTCAGTCAAGACTTTTACCAAAACTGGCTTACTATTCTTGTTAACCTTTAAATGTGTTTCAGCACCAAGCAATGAAACTTGTTTGTAGCCATTGGTGCACAACTGCAGGCCATCAAAAGCAATAAAGTATTGGTTTCACTTCTTCTGGAGAAGAAAATAAATGGGAGGAAATCGCTCGCAATCAGTGGAGTGATTCTAATTCAAAACAACTACACTCTCTCGAAGCATTTGTTTATAAACTAATTAGAAAAAAAGCGAAATGTGGGATACATAAAAACAATATATATAGTTGGGACTTCTTTACACTAGATCAATTAATATATTAATAAGCTGGATCACTCCAAGTAAAAGTTTATAAATAAAACAACTTTTGTAACATTTAATTTACGTTCGGTTACGTTAATATTCCAAAAGTTGTAAGTGATTCTTTGTGTAGTTTTTAACAATGGAAAACAACACAGGTACGCCGCAGCCTATGTCTTTAAGCCAAATATATCAGTTAATATAGATATCACTTATTTAGTTTACCAATTCACTCATTTACATCTCTTTGCATTCCTCAACGCCAACATATAATTCGATTCTCTTTATTGTTTTTGTGCAAACAAAATTAAATTTTTATGTACGAGTATTAATCGAAATAAAAGTCAAACAGAAATTCCAAGCACAAATTGATGTTCATGTTCAACAAAGTCAACAGTAAACTCGTACAAGTGAAACAATTTGCGGAGTTACTCACGCAATCATCTAGTAACTCCGGCAAAACAAAACAACATTCTTTGTTATTTAAATTAAATTGATTCAGTGATTAAATTTCTCGAGCATATCTTTGTGTCTTTTTTGTTTTTTGTTTATGCTGCTTAATTTTACTTCCGTTAAGTAAAATTAATGTTAATTGCAAATATGCCGGCTTTATGACTCGCCACTGCAGATGTCAGCCATTAAAGGCCATATTTAGCTTGACGCGATGCTGAATACGCAAATTTATGCAAATCACGCGTTGGCAGCCATTTTGAAAAACACAAAAACTTGCTCACATTGCGAGTGAGAATTGACGCGATGTCGCTCTTGGTGCCACATGCTGAGCCAACACTACGCCATGATTTCTGTTGCGCATTTCAAGGACCTTTTGTGTATTAGCGTGTGTTTATGTGTGTGTTTGCCTGCACAGGCATTAACATTTTGTTGCCTACATTTTGGCGCGCTATCATCGAACTAAAGTACTGGTATAAAAAAAAAAAAGCAACACCATATATAATAACAGCAAATCAACAACGGAGTGCCACAGTAATGCAAATTGAATTATATCCCTAATAGCACCAAAGTCTGAAGCTGCGCACTGAAAAGAAGTTGCTCAGATTTTTGTAATTTACATTTTGTTGTCATTGCTGTCATTGTTTGTTTTATGTCAGAATTTTTTATGTTTATGCTTATATTTATGAGACTCATTTGCATTTTATTAAAAGTAAGCAGTCGCATCATAAAAAACATTAGAGAATGTAAGTGAAAATACTTGTGGCATGTTTCCACATAAATGTCAAAATTTTGAAAAGTATCACCCATTCCGACTAAATTGCTTTTACTATAAATAGTTTTGATGATTTCATTTTTATACTCTGTACATGAAATATACAAGAGTATATTAGGAAGTGAAAAATGTAAGGCAGAAGGAGGCTTGGCAGACCCCACAAAGTATATTTATTTTTGATCAGCATGACAAGACGAGTCGATCTAGCCCTGTTTGTCTGTCCGTCTGTCAGTCTGTCCGTCCGTATGAACACCTAGATCTCAGAGACTATAAGAGCTACAGACACCACATTTTGCACAAAGATGCCTTATGTGTGTAAGCTATACGAGTTAGTTTTATTTTTTTGATTTTCCCCCCACTTCCCCCCTATGGGGGTATTTCCGTAACGCCGTTCGTATAATCGTCTATATCTCGGCCACTATAAGACCTAGTCATTTCAAATTTAAAGTCCAAGATGCCTTATATGAATACGCAGAAAATGTGTTTTTTGGAATTCATCTCCACCCCCCACCCCTCTCTTCGAACTCCAATTTTGGAAATACCCCCAATTAGTGATTATGTGTCTATATGCCAGTTTCATTATGATAGACCTATTTTACAAGAAGTTATAGCCATAAATATGTTTGCTGCCCAAGCGCAGTCCGCAGCTGTTGTTGATACTGATGAAGCTGTGTTAACCATTTAATTAATAATTTGCAAAGTATAAGTTTTCCCTTTAACTTGAAACTATTTCTACATTTTAATTGTCAAATTTGACAGGCAATGGGAAAGTTGCAGATAAATTTTGTCAGGTATCAATGGAAGTGCAGAGGTGCACGAAAGGACAAAAAGATGAAGACTACTATTGAAAGACAAACTAGTATATATATAGTTGAGATTTTGTATTGTAGTCAAGTCATCCATGTTTTCTCGACCTCCTCTCTGGTATTTCCGCCGGTTTTTCCACCGTTTTTGCTACCGCATGTCGTACGCCAGACCCATCATCAGGAATATCAACTATCGCCTTTAGCAAGAGTTCATTGTTATTTTCTCTTAAGTTTAAATATCCTTTGCTAATATCAACTGTGGTTGTTGGCGGCTCCGTCTCTTGAACACTCTCGGCCTGCTGATCTTCGTCGTCATCACTGTTATCGCCTCCTGGACAATCTTCTATTTTGTGACAGCCTCCATTATTTCGAACTATGTAACCATCTTTTGGACCGCAACCATTCCCGCATTTATAAATGCATTCGACGTCCCCACCGCCCCCGTGGTCACGGCAATAATCCTGACAGTCTAAATAGGCGCTCCCCAGGCAGGCGACAACACGATCCGCATATGCGATATGCACTTGCCATAGCTCAAGAAGCAGATATATGAGAGCAACGTGAAAGTGATGTTTCGGCATAACAGCAACAGTGCAACTAACTTTTAAATATCAGAGACGAAACGACACGGACGATGTAATAATATTACACCGTGTAAAGTCTATGGACAATTCAATTAATATTATACGTTAAATATGAACTTATCTTGTTATACCCTTTATTCAAAGAGGGGGAATACTAGTTGGATGCAAATGTATGTAATACTCAGAAAGAGGAGTAGTTGATTCTTGACATTTATCTTTCATTTCCAAAGTTATTAATTAGATCCCACTCTTGTTTCTTTATCCTCCTGTGTGTTTCAGGGTTAATTCTTAAACGTACTTTAAAATAAATATCGAGTTTTTCTAGTATTTTGAAATAAGTAAATTGTGTCAAAAAAAGAAAACGTGTACGTATATGTATGGTATAACGAACATCGTACTTCCATTAAGAACCATCAGCATTTTTCGCTTTCATAGAAAAGAAAATAATCATTTTATTATAATTTTAATCGTATTATTATATTTATTTTTTTTCGAATGTTCATTTTTACATTAATACTTGCTTGGCACATAAGTAACTGCCGCTTTCGAGTGGCAACGCGCTCACTCAGCTGACCAGCAAAGATGGTTGCAGGGCCAGCTGCTGTAGCGCTTGTACTCGTATCTATTTTCCAGCTAACGCAGAACTTGTTAGTCAACAGATATGTACTGCAGGATCCAAATCAAGATGCTACCACTGCCTACATTCTGTAGCGATACTCTTGCACCTGATGCCAATCAGCTGCTGCAGAATCTGCGTCTAGTGCAAGGGAATTCGGACGTGATGCTCTCGCACAGACCTGTGCCGTATAGGTTTAGGGATCGACTACTCGCGAGGCGGTGGACCACGTGGCCGTAGCACACTTTCGAGCAAATTGGGACCTGGCTGGTTCTTGGGCCTGGGCGTGGGCGTGAGTGAGCGGGTGTGTGGTGGTGCCTCCTCCTTCTTGTGGACCGCTGATGTGGCGGCACGACGCTGACGTATCTTCTCCTCCATTTTGCTGGGAACCATGAAGCAGTTCGACTCCTTGTACACTGGCTTGCGACGATCATTCCATGGGAAAGTCCACTGTATGGGTGTAAAGTCACGTCGCCAGGGCTTGCGCGGCTTAAACCAGCAATCGCACGTCCAATCCTCTTCGCCAGGAGTATCATCATCTCTGCAAATAGCAAGCAACTGAGTCGACACGTCTCCACAAACTGTAGCTCAATACTCACCCGCGAACATAGACGCGAACATAACGGGATGACTTCCGGAACAGTTGTAGTGCCTCGTTAAAGGTCATTTCCAGGGCCGGAACATCGTTGATTTGCGTGATCTCATCCCCAATACGCATGCCCGCTCTCTTAGCCAGCCCCGTGGGCGAAACATTTATGATGGTCAGTGGCTCGAATTGGTCACTGCCCCCGGACACTTCAATTCCCCACATGGCATCGAAGAAGCTCATGATGCGGCGATCCGTTTCGAGAGTATAGGTCATCTGCAGCTCATACTCGACATTATCGAATGCATCCGAGTTATACTTGGGCACCCTAATTTTCGAGTCAAACATGATGCTGCTCCGATTTGTTAATTCTACTTCTAAGCACTGACGTGGCGCGCAACCCGTCCTGTTCAAAGATTGTGGCGATTGCATCACTATCTGATCGCTTTTATAGTCACTTTTTTGGCAGCACCCACCCGCACTCTCTCCCCATCGATACTCGACCTGAGTACTCTCAGTGGCCGACAGATTGGCCCATTGTCAATGTCATTGACGGAGTCGCCTGCCAAATTGATTGCAAACGCATTGGCGCACAATTGATTTAGAATTAATTGTAATTACAAGTATTTTTAGAACTATTTTTTGCGGAAATTGCAACTACAATGGTGTTAGATTGCTTTCATGTTAGTCAAGAACTTAGCGAGCATCGAGGGCGGACAATCACTGTCAACTCATCGCACTGCATATCGCTTGCTACAACTTTTTGTTTGTTTCTTTTGGGGCCACTCTACTATATGTATTGAAAACGGAAATGTCGCCTTTGAATGTCGGCCAGCTATACAACGCCCACCGTCCCACACACTTGTACTTGTATGTACGTACATACTTGTATGTATGTAAGACAAAACGCGCATCGTCCGATGTGTCCACAACGCTAGGCTAAGCCTAAGTTGTTTTGCCAGTTTTCGCACAGGCCGCTGAGCAGAAGAAGCTGCCTAACTGCAAGTTTTTGAAGTGCTAACGAGATGTCTTGTCGCCATCCATATACATGTTCTTTTTGTTGCTGTGCTTGTCGTTGTCCAAGCGATTTGATTTCACTGACCTCAATTATAGCCATCGCTGTGGTTGTGGTTATCCCAGTCGTCGACTCTGTGATAATGCAGCTTCAGTTTTTCTGCCGCCTACTGAATAATTCATTTTTGCGAATCCAACACAGCACAAGGCCGTAAAAAAATATGTCACTATGGACAATGCCTAATACTTGTAGTTTTTGCCTCAGGCCACTCTTTAGATTCAGCAAAGAAATCAGCAAGAGTCAGAAATAATTACATTTGGACATTGGCAAATCTAACAGCCACACAAAATTCGACCTGATTAAGAGTGGGACTATTGGAATATGCAATGCTTTTTAGATATTTAAGAGTAGGTTGCAATATTTATCGGTAAGTATTGGATATGTGCCTTTCAAAACTAGTATAATTCAATTTGACTCAACTATAGTGCTTAACACTTTTGGTCTACATATAGGTATATGGTAAGGGTTTCAACTAACCCCATGCTTTTTAATTAAAATGTTAACTACAGTTAACATGTTTTCGCTGCTTTCCAACTAAAATCTTAATCTTCTTTCCAGCACCTTACTGCACACACATTTTTTCAGCCATGGTCATGGACCGCCAAAAGCTATTATAAATAACTTTTTTAGATTTTAAGTACTATTTCCAGATAGATAAAAGAAATAAATTATCAATAACTTTTTAGGAGAACTCTTGAGTAAGGAAAAGGTTTTGAGATGTTTTCAATCGAAAATGCTGGAAACTTGTACTAAATATTTACGAGAAAACAGTTATAACTAAATCTTGATTATGTGACCACCCAGCTTTCTGAATCTTAATTTTACATTATCTGTGCACTAATAATTGCTTACTCACGTATTGCTCGTAACTTGGAGTCATGCAGCTCCTAATCTTCTATCGTGCCCCGAACCTTAGCCTATTGTAACTATAAAAGCGTCCAGCCGTTGCCTATTACTATACATTCTAATCATGAAAGTCTTGGGAATTATCCAATTGTATTGTAAGTTTGTAAAGTGATTCACAAACTCTAAAATGAAGATCATATGTGTCTCATCTTTTAGTGATCGTAGTGCTGGCTCTAAGCAATGCTAGCGCCGATAAAGAAAAATGGACAGCACGTATTGGACCCAAAATCTTGAGATAGATAGATGCGTCAATATGTTCGATGCTAAACAAATACACTAACTATTTCTGGAGCAAAACTTGATGAAAGTTCGTGAAACTGATGATGATGAATATACTTGATAATTAAACACAATTTCCAAATTAGTAAAAGAAATGTAAAATGTCAAAATTTAGTTTATTATCATTGCTTATGTACAAGTATGTAGTATACGTAGTAGGCAAATAAACATTTGATATTGACATTGAACGTCTCATTATTAGTTATGTATCTTTATAACTGCAGCTACAAGACAGTAGGTTATGCTTTAAAAGCACTAAATATGCTGCCAACAGTTGTTCGCCTCAGCTTTTTCAAGAGAAGGTTTCATTACTCCATAAAAACTCTTAATTGCATCACCTATGCAGCTAAACTTTTCAATAAGTGCCTTCTTCAATATAACGTAGGCGTTCTTCACGTAAAGGTTCAGTTTTGAGCCCGGATTAGGATCAGATTTGGCACCAACGCATTTAAGAAAGTCCTTGGAAAATGGCACTATTTTTTCAGCCAAGGGTTTTACCATGTCAACTAATGGAGCAAAGCAACTAGCAAGTTTCGGAAAATCTGGAAGCGCAATTGATGTCGTCGCCCCTTGACCCATTGTAGAGGGTATGAGGTACAGCTGTTGGTGGAAAAAGATCGAAATTGAGGTTATATCCTCCCTATTGAAAAATATACTTACCGTCAATATGCTTAGACACAACGTGGCCTTAATCGCGTACATTTTTTTCTTGTATGCTTTTAGGTAAAACAGTTACTCTATACTAGGATCATTGCTTCAAATTGCTGACAATTTATAGACTAATGCCTCGAAGCTTACGAAATTTGAAATTTCACACCCAAAGGTCAAGGTGAAAGTCATCGTCTTCATAAAATTCCTTATATAAGTCGTCTTCAGTAATTTTCTTTGCACACATATACTGAAGGGCGTAGGCAGGGGGGCCATTGCTCCCCCTCCCCCTCCTACAAAAAATTTTGCCATATAAAGCCGAGCACAGGCTCATTATTATGAAGCACTATTTCGCCTTGAAATGGATCTGAGTTGCATTTGTTGAAGTTTTTTCATTTTTCATTTTTCAAATGCATCGTTCATTATTTAATCAAAATATAAATTTTTTGGCCCCCCCTTTGGTAAAAGCTGCCTACGCCCTTGCATATACTCATATAATACATATACAGCATTCGTCATCTACTTTATTTCTGCAATATTTCTATACTTATTTGAAACAAAAGAGTTGTGAAACCGTAGATGTACCAATTTGTATATAAATATTGTGTTTATTACATAGTATTTCCTTTTATACTTAGTTTAGGAGGTTAGTGCCCTTTTCCACTATACAACAAACTGAATACAAACCATGTCTTTCCTGAGAAGCAACTAAGTCAGTCAAAATAATGGCATATCCAATAATTTTGTAAAGTTATGCATGTGAAAATTTTAACACTTTAGATTGTTATGCAATTGTTATTTAAAGGCTTCATTGATTTGTACATTCCTTATTTGTTTACATTTTGATTGTGTAATTTTTTATTAATCTAAACTGAAAATTAAATGACAAAACAATTTACAATTTTCAACTCATTTGATACACACATTTTCTATAAAAATGTATTTATTTATTTTCGTGATTGCTGGAATACGAAAATATTGGAGTTTCCTATTCATGAATGCACTCGCATGCTGCGAACGCACTACAAAAATTTCCAGCACTCGTTCGCCTCGAACTTAACAAGACTAGGCTTAGCGACCTCATAGACTTTCTTAACCAGTGTTTCCGCGCAACTTAACTTCTCTAGGAGTGCTTTTTTCGACCAATTGTAGGTATTCTTCAGAATAACAGCCAGTTTATAACCCGGATTAGTTTCCTGTTTAAAATCGACACACTTGTAAAGCTCTGCAGCAAGTGGTATCAATTTTGTGGCAAGTGGTAGCACCAAATCCCTTAATGGTGCAATGCAAACAGCAAGCTTAGGAAAATCTGGAAGCGTTATTGCCAGAGTTGTTCCTTGACCCATTGTAAAGGGCAACATGTAGAGCTGTTGATGAAACAAGTTTCTAGTTGGGGCTATATTCCACGTTATTAAAAAAATACTTACCGCCAATATACTCAGACACAACGTGGCCTTCATAGCGTACATTTTTATTTAGTATGCTTTTAACTAAAACCGTAATACCATACTAGGACCAATCATCCAAATTGCAAGCAATTTATAGAGCTTAATACAAATGCCTGGAGGCTTAGAAAATTTGAAATTTCACACATAAAGGCCAGGGCGAAATATACGAATATGTACACACTTCTTATGTAAGTACTTATATCAACGTAACGCCATTTTCTTGCCTTAATTTTCTCCTCGATTTATAATCTTACGACAATAATACTGAAACTATTGATATTAGACATGGGTGTGTTCCATATTCGTATTACCATAAGGGCATGTTATGTAATATACATATCATCATATGTATCATATGTACGTAACATATATAGAAAATATAAGATGAGAAATGCAAAGAACATTTCTTAGAACAAAAAACACACCTTTAAAATGTTACCAACAATGTAGCTATGCTTTTAAAGAGCCCATATATATTCATTGCTTAATGAGAAACTAAAAATATATATTGTAGATCTTTCTGTTCAATCACAAATTGTTGGATTTATCATGCTCTTTAAGATTTCCTCCAACAAGCGAGAATATAAATAAATAAATAAATATAAAAATAAAGAAAATTGAAGTATTTCCTACTACCCAATCGGAACTCAGTTGTCGATAAAATAGGCTCTGAGGACTTGTATTTATTTTACCAGTATATTTATAAAGTATATTCAAATATCATTTTCGTCCAAGCAATTTAAATCCTCAAATGCATCAATGTGAGGCTTCACCAAAGATCCTATTTTCTGAATGCTCTCTATTAGGCAAACGACGTTATTAAGGAGAAGCCTCTTCATGAACTCGTAGACCGTCCTTATAGTTCGGATTATGCTGCGTTTGGGATTTGGCGGTGCCTTAAAATCAATACATCGAATGGCGTGTTTAATTATCCCAATTACATTAACAGCAACTGCAGCAGTTCCCTCAATAGCGATTTGGCCGCATTTGAAAATCTTGTCCCAATCGTATGGTTCCGCCGTAGGTTTGTCTAGACTATTACGATCTTCAGCAAAACTTATGGAAGAGAAGAGCTCGAAGTCAAATGTTTAATTATAAATTTATTGCTTTTAAATTGATTTATGTACATACTGATAAAATGCTCAAGCACAAGATGACTTTAATGAGTTCCATTTTCCTGAAGTGATTTCCTCACAAGGGCTGTACTGACGGAACTGTTTAAGGTATACAAATAGGTAAAGTAATATATCTTAATTAGCATGGCGACTGGTTTCTTTTGATTTTTATTTATAGTTTAAACTATACATAATGCAATTACAATATATATAGGGTGTTCTTTATTTCTCTAAGTCATTTTCAAATGTTCATCGTTTAACGACAAGTAATTTATACGGAAAAAAGAAACGTACTATTGGTTGAGTATGATTGAATTGAATTTTGAAGCAGCACTTGGGAGGTATTAAAAGATCATGACGATTATAACCCTAATGAATAACAATATTAAATCTTGCGGGGCAAACGTGCCAGAATAAAACAGTTTGTTCCACTTACGTAATAACTGGAAAAGCCTCATACATAAGGGCTCAAGAGAAGGTTAAATAAAAATGGCGAGCAAACAATATCTATGGGTTATTCTCCTTCCGTTCTGCCAGCAGCCGGCTTATTATTCTAATTTAATTCCCCCAATCCATTCTGCTGCCTTGTTTTTCCCATCAACAATTTTTATAACCCACCCTGCGTTACTTGGATATAATTTGATTTGATTTTATCTACAAGTATTTAGTCTTTTTACGATATCGCCAACACAAAAATAATACCAAACAATAACATCAAGAAAATACTAACAAAATGAGGTGATTTCTTTCTTACTTAAATCCATATATAATGTAATTATATATATACCATATATATATAGGGTGTTATTTTATTCGTTAAGTTACTTTCATTAGTATATGAAATTTTAATTTGAAATATTCGCATATAATTCCAAAAAACTTATAAAAGCTGCTTAACTTAAATAACTAAACTGAAATAAAAATATCAGTTCGAAATTTGTATCTACAAGTATTACCTCCCAGAATAATGAGTCACCAATGATTTTATTTAAAGCCTTTTTATTTTTATATATATTTGTTTAATAGTGATACGCCCACGTATATATCAATATTGGATTAAATATACATATAGCATACATCTTTTTTTATTGGTTTGTCACTCTAAATTAAATCTTCCAACCATTTCTGGTGTTCTTGTTTTCCTATCCACGATTTTTAAATTGGTTCAGCCAATTTTTTGTAACCGAAACGAACCAGTTTTTTTCGCTTATTCAATTTGCACGCATTTTGAACGCTGTTTCGACATTTGCATACATATACTATATAGAGAGAGATTGTATTTATATGTGTAAATTCAAATGTACTGTATTCATATGTATGTATAACTTAAGTGGCTTATATGGTAGATATACATATATATATATATATGTGTATAGTCCCAATGCATTCATGCATTTTACTTTCCATAGATTTTCCGCTTGTGTGCATTTTTAAATGTAATACTATATGGAGGTTAGTTAAACACCGCAAAAAGGGAAACATACAAGTATAAACATGATAGAATAAAATATTGTTTGTTTTTTGGTTTTTGCAAATTACGCTTTGTATTAATTACAATTCTCTAGTATTTTACAATTGGAAATTATCTCAATAGTTTAACAAATGTTTACATTTTGCTATAAATAAAAAATGCGAATTCCAAACTCAGCACCCTCTCCGATCTGTCCCCTTAACGTTGTGTGTTCCTCAAAGTCAAACACGAACGAAAGCAGACTTTTTAACAATATTATGGCACGCTTATATGCATTTAGAAGCGTCCAAATTGTTTTAACCCTTATGTGTCCTGCTTGCTTCAAGCTAGAGCTGGGCAGAGCCTTTTTCTCTTGCTTATATATCTGGTCTCTGTGCTTTGTTTTAAGTAGAAATAAATTAATTGATCATTAGCGCAAATTAATTGGAATCGAAAACATTCGAATATAGTATAAAGTACGTAGTAGTATAATTTAGCATTTGCTCGTTATTTGTATGTAAATAAATACTTACACACCATATATTGCATTGAAAGCGCATTGTTTTACTTGAAATATACAGGTGGCATTGCATTTCTTTAAGATTCGTTTAAAATTACTTTTAGTTTTGCTTTAAGCTTAGCAGGTGGTTCTCATCGGGTTTCAAGTAACAAACCAAATAGGATATAAATGAAGCGAAGCCAAGCAAACATTGCAAAGCGTTGTTAAATTAGCCATATTAGCAGTTAAGTCGTGTTTTTTCTTTGATTGGTAGTCGAACTTTTGTTTTGACAGACAATTATAATTGATTAGCATTGTTTTGAATAAACATATACAGTTTTGGGTTTACCTTGATTTATGCTTAATAAGAAAGTGTCACTTTATTAATGGCCCATGTGCCATTTACATGTTAATTGTTTACGACTTTCGTGTGGTTAACAACATTTTTCAAAATTATAGTTTATATTTAATTGTATACGTAGACACGTATGAATTTATTTCTAAACTTTTAACAAACTAAACACGATACGCAGTTTGCTGTATGCTGAGCTTTCTTTATTCGCCTGATTAACTTGTCGTCCACTATGTCTATATACTGTACGAAGTTCCATTTTTATATTATCATTTAATTCAATTGCGTTTCCATATATCTTGCGTCAATGGGTTTCATTAAACAATACATAAATAGTTCAAAATTTGTGTATAAACAGCAAATATATATGTTTTTACAATAATTGTTATACATATTTATATTGTTTAAATAAATTAACTTTGGTTTGCTTGCTCTTTTAAAATGCATATATATTTATAAATATACGATTTTTGTGTGTTATACGGTGTTTTTATTTGATTATTTATATAAAGGTATTTAACAAAAGCCCTAATAAACAAGTTGTGGTTTAAAACTGCCTATTGGTCAACATAATATCCGAATATCACTTGAAAGCATAAATATAAAAAATGTAATATGTAAATTTAAACTAAGTAATAGCAATATTTTTACAATCATAAACTATTTACAAAACATATAGCATATGTATATTAAATGAATACATTACAAAAAATGGAGGAAAAATCATTATCTACAACTTAATGCAGGCGCATTTTGTGTAGCCTGGCTAAGCTGCACCTTCCGAATTTATATTTCAAATAATTATTGCATTTATATTGTTCATTAATATGCACTACTTAATAATTACGTACTGTTTGCACTTAGTTATCGCTTTTAGCTGTTGCGTTCCAACTTAAAAACAACTACAAAAAACCATTACGCTTCTCTCAATTAAATTAACAACATTTCCGATGGAATCCTACTTCAAATGTTGGCCATTTCGCATTGGAATCGACGCGTCCTCAGATAGTCTCGGTCTAAGTATTGTAGTTCATCAAGCGCCTACCTATCCCAATACGCTGCAGCCAACTGTAGCCTGCGTCTCAGTAAACCAAAACGGATTCCATCGTAATTGTATCTCATTTGTTCGCATTCGCGGAATTTGCAGTTGTGGTGGCTTGTATCTGTGAAGCGGTCTGCGAGGCTGGCTCCAGGGTGCGACGTGCCAAACGAGATCTGCAAGATTATACAATCCGTTTCACCGAATATTGATAAGAATGTTGCGGCATCAAACTCACTTAATTTGTCCAGCCAGCAATGGATTAATTGCATAGAGCCAGTCATGCACCTCCTTGTCGCCGAGCGTTTGCAGCAAGTAGCCGCGATGTTTGGTCACCACGCTAAAGCAGAGAGTTGCTCTATATTAACTAAATAAATGCAGCAGAAACAAAACTGGATTTACCTGAATGTGTTGGGTATCTTAACCATGGCAGCCTGATCCTCGCTGCATTCCACCTGTGCCGTAGCCAAATTCAAGACTGCACGCTCCACGGGATCCTTTTCTGACCGATAAATGAAGACATAAGGACGACGCACAATCTAAACGTGCAGGAAAATTTGTATTTTAAATATATTTTCCAACATTTGGGCATATTTGTGTTATTTTGCATACCACCCAGCGCTTTTTCCAGCCCGAGCCCCCATGTTCCAGCACATTAAGCAGACCCTTTCGTGCCACAACGGGACTAACGCGTATCTCTTCTAGTTCGGGAACGTACAGGCGCAATGGCAAGGCTGGTTGTGTGGCCGGCGCAGGTGCCTCCCAACCATTAGGCGCATCAGCACGATCTGGCGAGCATAATCTGTGGAAATAGAAGGCAGAATATTAAGTGGCAGTTTTCATGAGTTTCGAGTAAATGCGACAAGCAAAAGGTACTCATTATTTACATAAGCATAGGCATTTTATTAGGAAAAGAAAATTACCTGTGTCGAATTACAAATTTGTTGTTTCTAATTAAATAAAAGAAACACAAACAGAAATAAAAATGGAAATTGTTTTTAAGTTTTCAGTTTCCAAACAATATTAGGATTTGTAGTATAAGTGATGGAATGCGTGAACAAGATAGAGATTGATTCTTAGATTCGTGAAACACACTGCTATGCAGGGATATTTCTCAAAAAATATATTCTTTTCGACAATTTGTACACCTTAACATATCTTTAAGTAATGGGAATTTTACAACAATTTGTTCCATGAAATGGCGTAAATCGAAACATTTATTCAAAACGAAATGTTTAAAGAATGGTATATATTGGGCTTAAAACCTGGCATTATTCATAATGCTTATTCAAATATGCATTTGCTATGCAATTGTCGTTGCCAATTTACAATACGGGATCAGTGAAGCGAAATGGCCTTCGAAGACATCAAAAAGAGCAATACAAGTAGCTTGGCCTTGGGATGTAAAAACGGTTACAAGGATTAATATTTCTTCGCTTTCGAAATATCATAAACCTGTGTCATCAGAGAGGGCTTTTCAGATATTAGCTACATCAAGCCATCCCCAAAATTTGAAAACCAGAAGCAGACCAGCAAGTTTGAAAAGTAATGTGTCTTTAGCGAAATTGTCTGATACGATTAAAGCGAGCAAATTTCATTCAATATTCCCTAAAAGACGCAGCAAAGGTGCAGACCAGCTCGACCAACTTAAATTGATTGACCCACTGTACGAAGAAGAAGAGTTTTCCCCGCTCGAAATTCAATATGATACCGACGATGAATCGGACTACGACAGCTCCTCAAAGCAAAGGCCCCCTCTAAGCGAAAGGGATTGGATACAATCGCCATTTCCCTCTGACTGCGACAAAAATTCTACCAATGTTGGCTGCGCCGGAGTCTGCCCGGAGACCTGCGAATACCGTTCAACATACTGCATTCCATTGTGTGGTCCGCCATGCAAGTGCAATTCTAAGTATGTGTACAATATAGCCGCCAAAGCCTGCACGCTGCGCAGCGACTGTCCAGCGGGCGTGGAGCAGAGCTATGGCGGGGTGTATCGGGTGTTTGAGTGATAAGTGTATGCCTAGGGTGGCCAATTTTGAGTTAATAAACAAGGAAAGAATATGAGCATGCGTTGTGTACACTACTTCATGACTACTTACTCCATGGAGTTGCTGGATATGCAACTGACGGTCATGTCGGCGCAACCTTCGTCGCTGGGCGATACATCTGACTGGGTTTGTGGGTCGACGGGCTCGCTCTTGTGGTAGCGACCTACGAACACATAAACTTGAGCAAATTTATAAGAAAAATGTAGAAGATTCGATTACCTTGGACCAGCTTCAAGCATTTGAGCATCAGATCCTGTTCACGCTGGTTATACTCACGCTCCGGCATGATTTGTTGCGGATCTTTGACGGGCGTCTGTGGCGATGGTGGTATGACCATGTGCACCGGTGAGGTGGCAGCGCGTGCCGCCAAATTGCATACATCCTTTTCGGTTTTGGTTGTCGGATTCGGATTAGTGTCCATGCCCAGTCGTTCGCGCAGCAAGAGCAAATGACGCATGCGTCCCACCTCCTCGAGACGGGTCAGCTTTTCTAGTTCCCACTGGTGGTCGAAGATAAGGGAATCGCCGCGTGGTCGCCAGCCATGTAAGTTCTCTTCACCACGCACATAGGTGGAACTGGTATCGAGGACACGTCGCTGCCGGCGTTGCACACCTGCGAATGCATTAAGGAGAATTAAGTGAGGATTGAGTGCATTGCGAACAGTTAACACTTGCGTGCAAACTCAAAGATTAGAGCAAAGATCAACTACAATAAGAATTGCTACCTGGACTACCTGCTTCAGATGCTCTACGCAGCGACAGCTCATAAACTCCCGAAAGGCGGTTCGCCTCCGGATTGCGATACTGGCCCGAGAACAAATGCTTCAGTGAGCGTGGACCGGTGCGAGCATCGCGTCCATAGATGACCATACTTAAATCCTTGGTAATAATGGCGGGGCGAGCGCAGTTCTCCAACTGTAGGTGGTTCAGTAATGTAATACTAGAAAAAAACAGGTTGGTCCTTGAATAAATTACCTCAAGATAGGCGCTCAGTGTGATGTAGATAGTTTCGCCACCCTGCGAAACACGATTCAAAAGTGCAGAGTTATGCAAGCTCGAGTCCCAAGCAGCTTCAAAACGATAGAATGCGCGATCATCTCCAGGAACTTCTAAGAGCTCGCCTGGAAATAGACCCAGCGATAGTACACAGGCATCCTCGTCCTGCTCATCCGAAGATTCTGGCGTGTTGCGAATACGTCCGACGACCAACTCATTAATATCCTTCCACTTCACCTCAGGCGTGGGCTCATGCACAATGGTAATGCGTATGCGCCGCTGTATGCCCTGATGCAACAAGAACAGGCCACGGCACGGAAGATCGTCGCTATGTTCAACGACCTGCAAGAAAGAAAAAGCCATTACAAATGTTGCAAACTAACTCCAGGTCCCATTAACTTACCGATGGTACGTACTCTCCATTTGGCGCTAGCTCACAAATCTCGAACCACACCAGCACATCATGCTTCGCCAAGACCGTTGACGATGGCGGACAGGGCAACGGTCCGAATTTAGGACTGCGCACTGGCTGACTTATGGGTATGCTTGGTGGCAGCATGCGTCTTGGTGGTGGACGAGACACGAACTCCTGCTTGGCATCCTTATGCAAGGGATGTGTCTGGTAGTGACCAAATATCTTGAACATGATGGGCTGAGTCTTCAAATACTCGATAAAGGACTTTGTAACAGGCACCGTTATCTGCAAATTTTCGATTCCACATTAAACATCAACTTGTGTTACGTAATAATATTCCTTACATTCTGAACATGGTAAAAACCAAGGGGAGCGCCCGAGGCTGAGTTCTTCACCGGCTCTGTGGAAAATGCCTCCTCATGTCGATGCAAGAAGCTACAAATTAAAACAATTGTTACTCGCATTATGTTGACCCTAAGTACTACAATCAACGCCTCACGTACTTAAACTGACAGAAGATGTCCGCGTACTCTGCGCCAATCCCCGTAGCCTGCAAAACGGTGACGCGGAAGGTAAACTCCTTGCCCACTTGCAAATGCTCTCCTGGTTCCTCTGAGTTCTCCTGGCACTCTGAAGCGGAATTGGAATCAATACCACGTCCCGAGTCAGCATCCTCAAGTTCTAGGGTGCATAAACATTTTATGCTGAGACCAGCACTAACTAGAGCTAAGACTTACCGTCCAGCTTGCTGTCCATACCGCCATTGTCAATATAGCGCTGCACATCGTCCTTTTCGTTTAATGCTCGATACTTCGGCTTGGCATCGTCCTCGTTGAACACCAAGCGTGCCGACTGTTTAACACCATTGTTGAAATCAATGGATTCTTCATCCAGCACTGGTTGCACTGCAATACGCAAGTAGCCCCGCACATCACCACGTTCGTTAACGATGGCCACTTTGTGGACCAGCGGTACCGGATAGAGCAAGTTGCTGAGATAAATGAACGATCGACCCACCATACGGAACCAGGGGAAGCGATCATAGAACGGATCGCCGCCAGTTAGGCTCTCAACATTGTAGTCCGGCGAAGTTGGGCTAAGCTCGGCTTCATTATGATACATTTCCCGCATTAGTTCGAGACGTTGCCTGCAACAGCGAGACATTGGAAGGAAAATGTTGGAAAGGCTTGTAAATAATTTGAGAAGGCTCAGAGGTGACACAATATGATGGTTTTGAATAGTGTAATACTTGTGCACATCTAGATTCTGTATGTCCAAATTGAAAGCAGATCCACTATACAATATACAGGAAAAATAATAATGCCGATACAAATAAATGTAATTATTTGCAAAATTAAGCTACATTTGTGCTGCCTACAAAGGATAAAAAACCAAACTTTATAAACAAAATGTATTAAAGACACTAAGCCACAAGTAGATAAGTACACAATAGTATATAATTCCCAATTGGACAGCTTTAATTTTGATTTCTAAGTTCAAATCATATTTTCCCGAATGGAACACAAAAACGTTCGAAAAATAGGCACAAGTTGAAGCGACGGATTGACTATGAAGCCATGCTAAATCACTAAATCGGAGCTGCATAGGTAATGCATGCATATTGTGGTTATGTAATCAAACAAAAAAATAAAACATCAAAAACTAAAAAAATAAAGAAAAATCTATGAAAGCAAACCTAGAAGGTATTAGATTGGCCAATGTTAAACGTGATGGATGCGCTCTGGCCGCCTGTCTCAACTCCGGCTGCTGCTCCTGCTGTTGCACATACGTATATGGATGGGGATGCGCCACTAAATGCTGCAATTGTAATTCAAATGGCGCATTGTCGACCAGTCCTTGGCCTGTCGCCACAATGCTGGACGTATCGAATAGCATGGATGATGGTGGGCTCTCAACATTATAAACTTGCCGCATTAGCTCGAGACGATAGCTTTATGTGAAAAGGTAGCCATTCGAATTTAGGCACAATGATTGGGATTTGGGGAGTTAGGGGGTTGTAAGAGAAACCAAAAATTAAATTCAGCAGATTTGCCTACCGATTACTTTCTTGATATGGCGATGAGTTGAGGCGTAAATGGTGGCAGTGATTTCTGGTGCAGAGCAAACGCGGGCAAAACAGAGCGACTTTTACGCTCGAGCTTTATTTTCTTTGCATACTTCATTCAACATTATTATGACAATAAAGACTACAATTCATGAACTTGAACTACAACCACCATGCACGTACCAAGAAAAATAAAAACTAAAAATTACAAAAGGCATCTTTTACTTCAGCTAATTGGCAACTTCGTTTACGTCTGAAGCCGAACGAAACCAAAAAACCAATGTGCTTAGAAAAATGATTGTGATTGAAACGTAGAAGAAACTCGGGATGTAACTTACCGCAATTTCTCCAGAGACCAGTAGTGAGTAGCGCCATTTTTGGTGTCGGTTACCTCTACAGCCACCAATGTCTTGGACACAGGCGGTGCGCCAAACTCGTCTTCTTGCTGCAGTGGCGCCACGCTTGAGGCCAACTCGGGTGGCAACGGTGAATACAGAGTGTCGGTAAGTAGTGTAAATTGGAATTGGACCTATTGGAAAGAAGAGCAGTGATTGAGGCAAGTCTTGAAAACCCAAAATACACCGTACCTTCTTCTTTAGCTCCACCGATATGGCATTGGCCTCTTTCAAGAAAATAGCATTGCCCCAAAGGTCGTCCCGCAGCGAGGTAAACTGATGAAAGCGCCACTTGCGGAAAGCCCAGGCAGCCAGACCTGCCTCCCGCGCTGTCCAGCAGGACTCGTACAATGGGTTGGCTGTGAACGGTCGCTGTACTTAAGCATTTCAGATCTTAAAAGCGTTTCTCTGTAAACTCACTGTATACATCTTCCTCCTGATGGAAGTCCTCCGGTGAGTAGCTGCTATACATAGACATTGTCATCGATTGCTCCTCCACTTGCTTTTGCAGCGCATCGATACGAGCCTCATATGTCTGCAAGGTAGAGGAATATTTAATAGGATACAAATTTAGAATTGATGTGCAAATGATATGATATTTTGCGTAATATTCTGACCTTGCGCTGCTCTTCGAACTGCTGATCCGCCTGCATTTTTTCACGCTTGTATTGCTCCTCCAGATTATCCAAGCGTTTCTTCATTTCTGCCTTCAAGTCAATGCCTTGTTTCTCCAACAACTCACACTGCGCAAAGTTCCAGTCCACTTGTTGAGTATCTTTCTTTTCCACCTCATTTTCAGCGTTCTCTGTGATCTTTTCACGCAGCTCGCGCGCTTGCTCCGGGTTGGTAAACCGAAAAACATGGTTTTTGCCCAGAATTACACGTGATCCGGTCTTCAGCACCTCCGGTTCAACTAATTTACGTCCATTTACATAGATAATTGCATCTTTGTGTGGCATCAGTGTGACTGAGCTATTACGATTCTCAAAAGTGCAGTGCTCCTTCAATATGTGCGAGCCCGAAAGCTGTATATCCTGTGGAACGTTCGCTTCGTGGGTACCAAGACGTGTAATACCATCCTTGATGTAGTACAGCAGACATTCTGACAAATTGGGATCTTCGTTGAGATTGACCAAGTGAGGAGTCTTCTTCGGCGAGAAGACACCCACGGTAATGCCATCCTCTTTGACGGCCACACCCATTTCAGCGAATACAGCCTCCCGCTGGACGCGTATCTCCTCGGTGCGCTTGAGTTTCTCCTCCCAGGTCTCATTGAGTTCTGTGCAAACGTGGATTTTGTACCATATACTATGTGTGCGTCTGGAAATGCGACTTACCGGCTATTAGCTTTTCGCTGGCCTGCAGTTGATCCACAGCCATTTCCGTGGTGGAGCCATTACGATTGCGTCCCTTGTTGGGCGACTTAATCACCGAGGATTTCGTAATTTCATCCTCTACAAATTTATTTGATCATGATAGTTTATTAGATAATTTAGTCACAAGATGTGTGCCGCAAGCGCAGTGATAAGCGTGCTTTGATTATTTAATTGGATAGAAGTTTTTAATTACAAAGATTACGGATATATGGAAAAAATTAACAAGCGTGGCCAATATGGTTTGGAGCGAGCGGACAACGACAATATAGATTAGAACTGTATCAATATGTTGGAATTGTTGAGTACAAAACACTAAGCAACTAATCTCTGGCATGTTCAGGTGCTGTCTTCGAAAGTAGCACCAACTGTTAGAGACATGTATAGTAAGAGTACAAGTATGTGGGCTTGGGGCCACAAAGTGAACAACGTATAGTAGTCTACTATCTGAATAGATAATGCTATTCTTTTGCTTAGGCAACAAAAATGTAACTTGAAGAATTCCATCAAAAAAGTTTGCACACAAATGAGAGACAAAAAGCAAATAATTTGTTTAATTTTTTTTTTTAACAATATAGCATTGGCGATCAATAGGGATCTTAAATTTGGAATAAATATCTCCCACTGTAGCAAATATGTCTTTGGAAAAATGCAACGTAAATGGACCTTGGGTATTTTTTTTATATTTAAAAATATGTTTCGATTATATGCAATCACAACGGTCTAATAAGATACACGTACTTACAAGTAATTTTGTAAGCTTTTTAAGTGCATAGCTATGGTTTAGCTTTATTTGGGGGATCTTGAAGTGGGAAATATGGTTGTTTAAGCCTTGCATATAATCGATACTGTCCTCAAGCAGTATTTATAGTACTTATGTTATTAAAAGCGACAAATTACAATTTGCACAAAAATACACACGCACACACACACTTGCACTTTAAAGAATGTGGATTAAATATGCATTGATGCAAACATACACACATGTACTCGTTTCGAATAGTAGGCATGAATATATATATAGTAGGTATGCATAATATATGTGTTTATTTATTGCAGCTCAAATTATCTTTTTGCAAGTGAAGGCTTTGCATCGCAATCGTTTGCTTGATGGTTCGTTTTACTTACTATTCGCATCACGCTTCTCACAAACTACTTTGCCATCGGGTCCTAAAGGAAATAGGTTGTGATTCGTTTTTTACTCACAGCAATGGGAAATATCTAACTAATGTCTAACTTAGGTGATGTCAATAGTTTTTGTGTAGCAGGAGACTTTTGAAAGTGTCATTGGCTTAGGTTTAGGCTTAATGCTGTTCGGCTACAGATATTATTGCAATAGCCGTACTTACCTTCCTGAACCTCAATGCCCTCGGCCTTGAGTAGATCCCGCAACTTTTGTATTTCTTCTTTGAGCTCTCGTATGAGCTTAGCATTCGCATCCTCATTGACCACAGCCTTGCAAACGATTTGCTTAGCACGATCGGCATAACTATAACGAAAAAAGTTCAATGACAATTTCCGGAGGCCCTCGGCCATTACTGAAAACCCCCAACTAACCGTAAAGTACTGAGAGTTTCGTCATAGTTGATATCGGCCGGTGAAATAGCAGCTATCATAGCAGTTTTTGAATTGCCACCAAGATTTTCACGAAGCAGCCAAGTTAATACGGAATCGCGATAAGGAATAAAATCGGCTTTCTTCGTGTTCTTTTTCTTCGATGCCTGTCCGTTAAAAAATACGCAATAGCTCTAGAAAAAACTAACAACATCCTAAAAGAAAAGTACTTACGGACTAAAGTAAAGAAAACATTATAAGCTTTAATTAACGCACTCAAACTTTTTATAAATAATTCTACTCACAATTTCGGCCAGTGCTGAGATAACTTTGCCCAATGTGGTTAACGACTTATTTATGTTGGCGCCCTCCTTCAAGCGAGTGCCTTTGGCACCTGTCGAATCGGCGCGCTCAGACCCAGCCAAATCGACCAGACTAATCTTCGACACCTTCTCTGTGATCAAATCGGTCATAGCATCATGACGACGCTGAGTGAAGAAAATGGTGAAAACGGCATGGGAACGAGAGCTTGTCTCGTTCATGTTGGTAGCAGCCACGGTTCTATAAGAGAAGCGATTTTATTGGACGGATATTAACATAAAAGACTGCAACTAATTACCGGGCCTTGTTGCCCTCATCAATGAGGTCATGTATGTCCTGGTAGTCGGTCACCGCCAACTTAGACAAGTCCTCCACATAGGGACCCAGCAGTGGATGTTCGCGCACCCGTAAGTTTCCCTTGTTCTTTGGATTCAGCAAATCCCGTACTCGCTCGCAATAGATTTCCATGTAGGAAACCTCGACCTAAACATGGCATTGGAAAGGATTAAAAGCTGAAGCTTCAACAAAGGGTTTATGTTATCTACCGAATACTTAAGGTCATCCGTTTCCGTTTGATGTATGCGCCCGAAGAGATCCTTGCATATCATAGGGATAATGCCCTGCTGATCGTGGTCCTCCTGCTTGCCCATCATGGTGTAGGACTTGCCAGCGCCAGTTTGTCCGTACGCAAATATGCAAACGTTATACCCATCGAACGAATGCTGCAGCATCTCTTCGCCAATGTCCTTGTATACCATCGCTTGGGTGGAGAAATCAGCATCGTGAGGCTGTAAAAAATATACCCGTTAAATTTTGTTCCCATGTATGCTTTTGTGTCTGGGTAGCTTACATCATGGGACCAGTAGGAGTAATCAAAATTGAAACGCTTTATGGACTCGCTGGTGTTGGGTGGCACCTTCGGGTTGGTTATGGCTGCAAAGCATTTAAAATGTGGCCATTAGTTGGCATTAACGAGTCAACTTTTGTCGGTCTTGCTCACCGGTTGTAGCTCCACTCATTTCAATGATGCATTTCGACTCGCGCCCAATCTCGCGCGAGTTAAAAGGGCGCACTCGCACTGCCACCTTAACGGACGACATCTTGGTGCAGGCTTGAGATCCACTCGGGCAGATGTTGTCTTAGGTTGCTGTTAACTGGAACGGAAAAAGCAAGTGGCACAATCAAGAAGACGATTTGGCATATGCTCCTTCTGGCCGCAACTCATGTACCAACAGCCTCACATTCCCATTGCAGGAAAAAGAACAAAGGTCGACCTATTTGTACATACAACTACATATGCGTGTTTGTATGCCCTTATGTGTGAATAGTATTTCATTTTCTGGCTCAAATCACAAGGGGGTGGGCTTTAAAATGTTCATTTCAAATAGCATCAAGAAATAAATATTTTAATTAGCCAAGAGCTTACACTTATTTTATGTAAGGCCAAAAGTAGTTCAACCAACCCTCTAGTATTACATCTCTCTTCTATCTCTTCTCAGCTGTTTTTCTACCTTCGGGGACTGTAATAATATTTTCAAATGTGTGGTTTATATTGATACAAAACCGCATTGAACGTGTGTACTGCAAGAGTCACGCCACCGACCTTTATTTTATTTCATTTGTTTAATTACATTTCAGAAGTTATAACAATTTTCAATAAAAGGAGCATCAAAAAAAAGAATGGCTTTAGTAGGAGAAGCCTTCACCACACAGCTTCGAAAATAAACTAAATCGTGACATTACTTCAAATTTTAAGACTGTAGCTTTAATACTCTTCGAGATACTCCAAATTTCAACCAAAATTTTGGGTGGGGGTATTATGAATTTAATATATATTGCAAGGTAATTGTAATTATAAGTGTTCTATTATTTATTCAAGTCCTGTATTACATAATGCTAAAAACATCAAATCTTTAAGGATTAAAATATCGAATTCAAAGATTTTAGTAGATTAAAAAAAAAAAGTTTTAAACCGACCTTAATTAGTTTCAATAGCGGCATTAGTTTATGTTTAAAATACTTAATTATATTAGTTTTGTACGAGTGTACATGGAACACACAGAAGTATATATATTCTTGATCAGCTTGACAAGCCGAGTCGATATAGCCATGTCATTCTGTCCGTCTGTTTGTATGAACGCAAGGATCTCAGAAAGTATAAGAGTTAGAATAACCAAACTTGGTATACAGAATCTCCTGAGCCCGAGAAAGGACGAGTTTGTTAATTTTTCCCGATGCACAGAGTTGAGCCTGCTCGACTTTAGCATTCCTTTCTTGTTTTATATAGTGATATGAATTGGTATTGCAGCTGAATCTAAATCTTAAAGCTATACAAAAACGTAGAAACAGGTTTGTGGCGCAAATTTTATAAATTTTTTTATAAGCAAATAAACACTAAAAACGTTTTATATTGCAGAAGAAATCGTTAAAATAAACCTTATTGTACATATGTATGTATATATTGTGCACATACATTTTTTGATCTTTAAAAACATATAAAAAACGTACCACGCTCTGGAAATATGAAACTATACATAGGCTACCAAAATTCAAATCAAATAACAACCAAATATCTCATTGGCTTGAATGACTCATCGGCGAATAGGAGGCGGAAAACTCACACTCGAAGCACAAGTACCTAACTTTTTACTTTTGAAACAAGTTAAGTTTATTAATAACTTTTACTTTAATTTAAATATGCTTCACATTTTCTACAAGTATTTATTATATTTACCTTCGATTTATGGGCCAAAGCAATTGGCTCAAAATTTGTTAAGCACTTGACATTTTTAACACTCCAAAGCACTCTTTATATATTTATTATTTCATTTATAAGTGGCGAATTTCATGTATTGTTCACATTTGTGTGGCTTTTTTATTTTAATTTTTTAATAGATAGCACTGCGTTGGTTTGCACTAGCGATGAGTAGCTCTAGAAAATTAAGACATGTCCTTTGATTACATCCATAAACTCGATTGAGATTTACGCAGACGCCAATCGACGCTCTACCACTGTCTCTCTACCGTTCTCTCTTTTGCTCTTTCTTGATTTGATTCAACTTTTTGTTTATGTTTTTTAGCGAAAATGCAACAGCCTGTATCTGGGGGCTGCTCGAAACATAAAAAAGAAGACGTCAAAGTCTACAACTCGCTGGGCGCATGTCTACGTAGACATTCACGCAGAGGGAAAGAGAGAAAAAGCGTGAAGGGGTAAAGAGAGTGAGAATGAAAGAGAAAGAGAATGGCAAAAATATGCAAAATATTTATACATATTACATACAAGTACTGTTTTCTTATGACAAATGAATTTACGCATCTGCAAACAAATGAAAAAAATATACGAAATTGGCAATTTAAAAAAGGAAGCATACATCCAGCGACCTTCTAGAACTTGTAAGGATCGTCTGCTCAGACACCTTTCGCAAAGCAATTCTGAATACCTCACATATGCTTTTATGGCCAACAACCGTTGAAGTATATTCGTTTTATGATGTCGTGTGTAGAGCCCTTCAAACATTTTCAACTTGCATGGCATATGTAAAAAACAGCCCATACACCATCATACTCTCATGTCGACGTATCCTTCGCGGGTTTCGTCTTGACCTTTATTAATAAATTTTCATGTTGCCTTCAGCACGAGTCAAACAAACTCTACAAAGAAAAAACTCTACATGCACGACGAACGCATTATGGTGATTGTCACTGTACGAAGCAGTGTTTTTTTTTTTTAACAAAAAATTGGCATTATAGTTTTTCCTTAAAAACACTGAAATGATAACTTAATGACAATGTTGATGCATCTTTTTTAGCTTTGAATTTTGAAATGTAATATGCGAATTGATGAAATTTGGGAAAAATATATTATACATATTTTTGAAGCAATTACCAATTGAATTTTCACTTTATTTTACTAAAACTTCTTTAATTCAAAACAATTTCGGTTTCAAAAACATCTGCTGCTCTGGCCTTAAATGTTGTTGTTCTTGTGTATAATTGAAAATTAATTTTAAACTATCCAGCAAAGATCTTTTGGATGTTGTGGCAAAAATTATTGAAAGTACTAATATTGTTGTTAGGAACAGAGCAAAAAGTAATAAATAACCAAAAGCGCACATTCGCGTACGATTTTTTTACGATTGATCCTTGAACACGCACTAAAACTTTTCCAGCTAACATATACAAATACTGTATAGTATAGTATGTGTGTAATAAAGTTTTGTAGTTGTTTTTGCTTTCTTCGGTATAACAGCGAAAATTTTCACACAGTAGTCAGAAACGTTAAAAGGAAGCTCTTTAATGGATAATCGAAATTTCACGTATATGCCAATATACCAAAAGCTTGGGTGGAAAATTAATTTGTTTATATATTAGTTCACTGCTTTCACAAAACCTTTATTTATTGTTATTTTGCCCATATAATAAATATTCTAAAGTTTCTGCACAAAATCGATGACGAGTCACACGGCCCAGTACAGCCCGCACACGATTCCGAGACGTACTGCACCCGTTGAGGGTAGACAACGTATTGAGCTTTCATTACAAATTATGCCGAAGTCCAGCTCGTCGGGCCAGCCCTCAATGGGCAGCGCATGCGCCTTTTTTTGGGGGTGGCTGTTGTTAATACTACAAGTACATTGGTATTACATTGGCATGATAGCTATGTGGAAAATTTCATAAAGGCCCGAGCGCAATAATAACAAAGCGTCACTGTCATATTTCAGCATAATGGATTGCATTACCGCTGTGCCGCTTTCCTTGGCCACCAGTGTGCCATGTAAATGTCTGATCTTATTATGGCCTGCCGGCACATCCTGCCTGGCCCGACCCGCTTGATGACGTAAAATGAAATTTCTATTGATTTCTATATGCGCTGCGGCAGCCGAGAGACAGCAGCAGGACTTGCAATGGGGCTGATGAGACAGCGCGCTGCTTTTTATGTTAGTTCCATTGTTTTAATGTAATTACTTTGACATTGAAATTTGCCGCGCCGCCTCTATACTTCTGATAAAAGAAGGTAATGGCTCAAGCAATTGGTAGGTGCAGAACGGTGGCGAATAGAGTGCTTGTATTTAGAATTTCATTTAAAGGCTTGACTCAAATAGTAGTACAAGTATATAGGAGAATTAAGTAACACAAATCAAAGAAATCGTAATAGCTGTCGGTTCATAAACTCAAACTCCATTCTCATAGCTTTACAGAATACATACTTCTTCTTTATATTCCATATATCGCCATTGTGCTTTCCTCTTACACAGTCTAACAGCTTTAATTTATATTCATATTAGCACTAAATTTGAGTAGTTTCTACTTTCTATTCTATGTTCTTTATGACCAACTGCCAACTAACACTTCTCCTGTTAATAACAACAACAGGAAGCCAGAGAAAAATAAGTATTCACAATCAAAAAGAAAATCTTATGTCTTCAAATAATAAGTTAAAACTATCTCTATAACAATTTTAAAATTGTCTGAATTGAAATTTTACATTAAAAATATATTTTAATGGACAGTCAAAATGTCAAAATGTACATATAAAAGCCAAAATAAAAATTACGAAAGAATAAAAAGCAAATAATAAGTTCTGTTTTAATCTCGGTTACCTTTTTTTTTCAAAAAGGCCTCAATTGAAATGAACAAAATTTGTAATGAAATTGGTAATGCCGTGGCAGACTCCACTAGTGGTATACGTGATTCAAGAGTGACTTGATTGGCGATAAACATGTTGACGATCTAAGTTTCGAGAATACCGAAAATGCAGTAATTTTACACTGAAACTGAAAAATTTAATTTGAAAAAATCACAATTGAAGTCAATGTCGATTTGTCTCCTCAATTTGAAGAGAACTATTCATCGGTAATTCATATCAAAGCTGTGTTTTATGTTGGGGTTATTAGGGTTTCTTAAGCGTTTGGTTCATCGGATGTATGAGTATCTAAATCAAATGCTCAACATAAAAATCGTTACAAAACAATTTTTCAATGAAGATGTCAGACTGTACAAGTTTGACTTATTGGTGGCGTGGAAAAAATTATATTACTGCGTAAAAACAATGAAGCCAGCACGCAAACATCAGACGGGGGGGACTGGCGCGTGCGTGGGCACACGGTGCGAACAAAAAACCAACCCAAATAATATCGAACGTTTTTCGACTACGCATCGAAACCCCGTCTGTTAGACAGCTAACGAGGGTTTTGCCATGTGTTTTTGTTTGTGGTTCGCAACGCATGGAAGTCGTTGACGTTTTACTGTTGGCTGCGCAATTTTGTGCCAACTTTAAGGTACTTTGTTTGGTGCGTACTCTGAGTCAATGACAGTTCATCTACTGTGGTCTCCGTGCCGCATCATGCTTGACCCTTGGTGGAGAGTGTTGGGTCATTGACACCAGTGAAAAGTAAGCAATTAAAAAAAAACAGCGCCGACAACTTTAGCCAAACACTTGACAATCCTTTGCCAGCAAGCAAATCACATCAAGCGCATGACTCACCACTTTCGAGGAAGCCATGCCAAGAAACCAAGTTTGCCTTGGGCCCACACTTCCGAATTCAATTTAAATCAATTTCAATTCTATTTGCAACTTCAAATGATTCAATTAATGCGAAGCGTTGCCACATTTTCAATTAGAATTTAAGTAGAAAAATGAAAAAATAAAACCCGAGGGAGTTGAGTGTCTAACATTCATGCAGAACCAGATTCTCTAATATTCGCAACGTCAAAGCCCACACAGCACGCGGCATTTTTGTAATCCATTAAGTCTAGATCATAAACTAAATGCGATTTTGTTATTTAAATTATTGGCAAGCGCCAGAGTCGAGTCGGCAGCATTAAAAATCCCACGCAAATATTCACATTTCCTTTTCCTCTACCCACAGGCCGGATGACTCATTCAGACACATACTCATACACATATACAGAGACACAAAGGCGAATGTTCGTGCCAAGCGAAGAGAGGGAAACAACAAAAACAAAACCTCTCACTTTTACAGTAGTAGTTACTTGAGCGTGCCTCTTGTTTTTGTTGTTATTTTGTAGTGGCAGTGGCCATACAGTCGCGTCTGTCACAATGTGTACGCTTTTTTGGCACCTACAACAGTCCTAGCGAAGGAAGAAAGGGAACGTGCGGTGGCGAAGTCGAAAATGGTGAATCATACTTTTGATGCGCGTGTTTCCTGCTCCTTGCTTCTTGGTCTACGTTATGTATGTAGGTATTTGTATGTACGTATATTTATGTATGTATTTATGTATATGTATGTATGTATGTATATGTATGTATGTATATTTAGGTATGTATGGTTGAGGCATACAAGTTTCTTTCTTGCTGTGGCTTGTATGTTTACGCTTAAGCCATTGGCATAAAACCAAACACTACGCCTCAGCTTATTGAATGGGTGTATACAATTTTTTTATTATACATACCAGACACAAGTTTTTCAAGGTTTATTCACTGCTCTTTTTTCTGCTCCTAATGAAGAATCTGGCAATAATCTTGTAACCTTTGGTGCCGAGCTGACGGCGTGTGTGTCGCAGTAGGCAGGAAACAAAATAACAAAGTTCGCTTATTAGAAACTTTTTGTAGCATATTATCAGGCGCACTCGATGTCATAACTAATGGTATTATGTATGCGTGTATGTATGAATGTACTTAACTCAAAAGAGCTTCTAAAAAGTTTCGCAAGAGGTTGAATTGATAAAATGTCATACTAGCAAAGAATTGTACATTTATAAAGGTCCGGTGTAAAACAAACTATTAAAAACAAGATAGAACGCTACAGTCGAGCAAGCCCGACAGTAAAATAGCCTGTACTCTCCAACAAAAAAAAAATTTAATAAAAATATTTAAAAAAATTTAATTATTTAAAAAAATTTAATTAATTTATTAATTTAATTAAGAAAATGTATTTAATACATACATAGAAGACATCTTTATGTACAGTTTTACATTTACATCACGTGTCTATGCTTGTATATATACGTGTATGTATGTAGCACAAAGTTGAACCAAAGCAGCAACAACAATAACAGCTACGGGCAGCGCTGCAAGCAGAGCATGAGCAGCGATTTTATTTATGGCTATAACTTTCTTCAGAATTTACCTATCAAGATGAAACTTGGCACACGGACACATAAGCACCAACTAGATGTACCAAAATTTATTTCAAAATTCCAAGAATTACGGAATTTATAAACAAATACACGAATTGCGGGGGAGTGGGGGGGGGGGGGGTGTATCAGAATAAAAAATAAACTTGACATACCTAGAGCTTAGGGGAACCTCGATACCAAGTTCGGTTATTCTAACTCTTGTACTTCCTGAGATCGTTGCGCTCATACAGACAGACGGACGGACGGACAGACGGACATGGCTATATCGACTTGTCATCCTGATTCATAATATATATATTTTGTGGGGTCTGCCACGCCTCCTTTCACCCTTTGGGTACAGGCTATAAAAATTATGTTTCACAAGTTTTCATTATTTTCATGAAGTTTTGAAAAAATACAAATTGCTTTTTAAATTTTAAAAATACAAAAAGCTCCTCTTTTTTTAAGCATAATTGGAAACATTGATGATTTTGATTAGGTAGGCGTCTAAGCCGTGAAAGCTTAGTTTTTTATATTAGTTTAAAAATTCGCCTAGTTTACAAATAAACCTATCAAGTGGTATTTACATTCACAAAATCGGTTTTCTTCTCATTGGCTATGCAAACTTTTATTTTTTCATAGAATGAGTAATATACATATCTATGTATATAGACAACCGCAACGACCCATAATAGTAAGACACGTCTACCAAACAATGAAGCACATAAAGTGAGGCCACGCCTCACCCAACAATGGTATCCAAAAGTGGTAGCAACGAGCCCAGCAACCACAATTTAAATGTAAGTGGCTGCAACAACAGCTGCAACGTAAGTGCAATTTTGGCAAAATGAGAAACGGCGACAGGCCGTACGAGCCGCACTGTTGGGTTTTTTTCCAGCTCTGCACAGGAACACATAAAAATGCAGGGTGAAGGAGCACACATTAAAACCAAATACGCAGTAGCATAAATCATCCACAGAGTGTGCCACAAAAACCGCAGGTCAGCGTGAGGAGGAGTACCTATTGGGAGCCCACTGGTCCTGCTTTGCTAGTGCTTCTAACAGGAATTTCCATTAAAACCATTTGCAATATTTAATACAGAGCAGTTAGCCAGTCCTCCGAGTGGCAGGAAAGAAAATGTCAAGCTGCGTTGCAACCATGCCAGCGCCATCAGGAAGCCATTCTGCGGCAATGTGGGCGTAAAGTGCACACAGGCAAGGAGTTAGAGGTGTGAGTCGAGTAGAGGTGGTCAGGCAGGTGCCTGCGTGCAATACATTTTCTCTTTTTCCCTCTCCATGCACAACATTGGTGTTTTTAGTTTTGTGTTCTTTCCGCCCTATAACAATAGCTACTTAGTAAAATATTTTTTTTTAAAAACTGTACTTAAATATTGGAAGTGTGTTTCTGCTTTTGGTAGGCATCCTCTCCTGGTATTGGTATGTATAGTATGAATATAATGAACCAATAAGTTGAAAGGACCTTATTGAATGTTTTTATATATCCTATAGGGGCTGTATAAATTACTGTTCAGCTGATCAATGTGTTAATCCCATTCAAAAGGAAGAACAAATTTGGAATGCCATACAAACCAACTAAAAACTCTTTTCCATATTGCCTAAAAATATTAAGCCGACATTTATTTGTAGCTACATACATACTTGTACAGTAAGTAGTATGAAGCAGGGCGACGACTTTTGAAAGCACAGAATGAACTTTAAATTATAATGCACCATTATATATGTACACCATATATGTACATATTATCTACGCATATATTCTACATGCTTACTTGGTAAATACGAGACGGGATCCATTTGCTTTAGTGACGACGCATCCTGAACATAACAATGTTGACCCGCTATGACGCACGAGACGAATTGATGCGTAAAAGCGCACTCGTCACCCACGCTCAGATAAAGAAGAGACAGACAGACAGACAACAACGGAGAAAATAAACATCAGTTATGTATGTACATACATACATACATATGTACCCAAGTTAATAGATAGGTATTTTCATACAAACAACTGCGTTTTGTAAATATTGAGCAAACAAAAAGGTCATAGGTTAAGCACGCAATATGCTTAATCAAGCTTTTGATTGCCATCAAAGCTTAGGCACACCCACTTGGGACCAAAACTGGGAAACCATTCACACACGAATGCGCAAATATTTGACTTATTCGCATGTGACGTCAAAATATGCAACACATCTGGGATATGATAAAAATACTAACAACATTATTGTCATCGACAACAACATTGCAATGTGCGTAGGCGACACAAGCGCCTGGCAGCAGGCAACACAGATCTATCCACCAATATCGTCAGTTGGTGCGCTTATACGTAAGTCTGCGCGTCTGCTGATGATGACAGGTTGCACCATATGCTGTGGCAATTTGCAAAAACAAATATCAGAGGTTTATTTTTAGTACAAATCGAAATTTGAGGGTTCAGTATGGTAGTCAGTATCATGCACCCACTTGAGTTAACAGCTGGCAACAACAGCAACAGGATAAAAGGCACCACCTTGCTCCTCCCCGTTAAAAGTAGTTGGCATGCGTGCGCACACTTTTTGCTAGATCTGGGCGCCTTTGGAATATCGATTTTTCGCACAATTTCTTAATACAGCCAAGCAATCTTTTTTCACCAAGCATTAGTCATGCCAGGCAGAAGGGATATTTAAAAAAAAATTGTACAAATAAATAAACTTCTTTAAGTACTTACCTAATTACACAATTAGTTGTCTGCCCTTTCACTGCAAGGACTTGACAACTAATCGACAGTTTATTTATTTTTTTTTTTTTTTTTTGTTCTTCAGCACCCACTGCACGTTTGAAGAGGATCTTAAATTAATTTTGATTTACTTCCGTTATGTTTTGCACAGTTTTAGGCCATTTTATTGTGTTTGCAGGTTTAAATTTCATTTATTTGTAACGCATTGCAATTTTTACTTTGCGCCGCAGATTAAGGCAGCAATACCAAACTGAACAAAACGCACGCACCAAATGACAATAAGGAATAGAATTTAACTATATCAAGTTAGGCTGGAAAAGGGCTTGCACTTGCGCACGCAGCGCGTGGAAAAGTTTGGGAAAACAAGTGAGTTTTGTTGCTGCACCCACCCAGCTTTCGTTTATTATTGTTAAACAGCTGATTACCACAGCTGCTGCTGCATTAGTGATGGACCTTCAAATATCGCGCTGTTAAGTTAACAGCAAGCGAGCATGTTAACGACCGGAACAGTGGCTGCCAAAAAATGGACAAGCAAGTAGAGTATTGAATACCGATTTATTCGCCGGTTCTGTTTTACTAACATACATACACTACTGGTTAATGCAAAGTACAATTAAGCATTTAATTTTTTAGCCTCCTGGTAGCGGCATGAGATGTCATCCCAGTTAGCGATGTCCCAAATGGCCTCTACATAGGAGGGGCGCACGTTTTTATATTGTAGGTAGTAGGCATGCTCCCAGACATCGATACCAAAAAGTGGAATTAAACCTGTGAAGAATGCTTAGCATTGGGCGTATCATTAGATTGCTTTTGGGAAGTACTCACCAGTCGAAGCCTCCAAGGGATCCTGGTTGGGCAACGCAGCCAGCTGCAACTTACCCGTCTTCTTGTTGTAACCCAACCATCCCCAGCCGGAGCCTTGCACGGCAACAGTGAGTGTGGTTAACTCTTTTTTAAACTCTTCGAGGCTCTTGAACTGCGACTCGATGGCCTTTTTCAAGTCATCGGTCGGTTGGGTCTTATTGGGCGAGAGGTTCTGCCAGAAGATGGTATGATTGATGTGTCCGCCGCCATTGAAGCGCAGGGCCGGAGCCAACTGAATGATTTTAGTAGTGTCGCTCTTGCACTTAGCCTCCTCCAGTTGTTCCTCTGCTGCGTTCAAATTGTTCACGTAGGTCTGATGATGCTTCTGGTGGTGCAGTTCCATAATCTCACGACAAATTATGGGCTCCAAAGCAGCGTAGTCGTAAGGCAACTTTGGCAAAGAGTGCTTGCAACGCACCGCGAAACTGCAGCACCGAAAAAAGCACAAAGCAAATTAATTAGAGTTCATTGTCAATGCACTCTTGTTGTAGCTATTTATGTAATCAGCACCGGTAGGGACAAGCGCCCGGCAACCAGTTCTTGTTTTTTAACTTACCGTGCTGTTTTCTTTAAATTGCGTGCGACAAACATCTTTGGCTAATTTATGGCGCTTCAATGGAAACCTTCAAACTGTAAATACTACAGATTTTGATTTTACAATAATCTTTTAATTATCTTTTAGTCGTCAGATGCCTGACACTGACAGAACAACCGATAGGGGAAGCAAAAATTCAATAAATTTTTTGTTTCTGTCGCAGACGGTATAAAGACGCATGCGTGCGAATGAGATAAATAGCTGTTGCTGCAGAAACAATATGACAACAGCTGTTCACCACTCTTAGTTAACAGCCGTTCTGTTTTACAGGACAGTGCTATCAATGTTAATTATTCTTACCGTTATGCATTTAAAAATGGGCATACATATAATTTTTTTTAAATACTATATTCAATCGCCTAATACATAGAAATTTAAACAGACAGCACATATTCACATTAAAAATATGTCCAATTTTGTTTTGCCTCCGAAAATACAAATAGACATTTCCGATCGACGGGCACAACAAATTATATACAAATCTCTAAAGCACCGTAAGTTTTCGGTGCTATTTTAAGTTTCCTTTTGACTTTATAAGATTTTCTGAATCTACAGCCGCCGCCAGATTAGCAATGTTCAAGGATGAAGAGCTTGCGACAGCAGTCGTTATTGATAATGGGTCTGGTGTATGCAAGGCTGGTTTCTCGGGCGAGGCAACACCGCGTGTTGTTTTCCCCTCTATTGTTGGACGTCCGCGCCATATGAATGTGCTCTTCGATTCATTGATAGGCGACAGTGTAATAGGCGAGGCAGCAGCAAGCAAGCGCGGCATACTTACGCTTAAGTATCCTATTGAGCATGGGGTTGTAACCAATTGGGATGATATGGAAAAGATCTGGACTCACACATATGAGCTTTTGCGCGTCGAGTCCGATGGGCATCCGGTGCTGTTGACCGAAGCGCCTCTCAATCCGAAAAAGAATCGTGAGAAACTGACCGAGATCATGTTCGAGACATTTCGCGTACCAGCACTCTACGTAGCTATACAGGCGGTATTATCACTTTATGCCACCGGACGCACTATTGGCATTGTCGTGGACTCTGGCGATGGCGTAACGCACACAGTACCTATCTACGAAGGATATGCTTTGCCGCACGCTTGCATGCGCCTCGATTTGGCAGGCCGGGATTTGACCAATTATCTAACCAAAATATTAATGGAACGGGGTCACTCGTTCACAACCAGTGCTGAGCGAGAAATTGTACGAGATCTGAAGGAGAAACTGTGCTATGTAGCCATCAACTACCAGCAGGAACTGGAAGATTCAGTCAATTGCAGCAAAAAGGATAATGCTAATGGCCTTAATAGCACGGAAGAGGCATATGAGCTACCCGATGGCCAAATTATTATTGTTGGTAATGAACGCTTCCGTTGTCCAGAGGCTCTGTTCCAGCCCAGCATGGTGGGAATGGAGATACCTGGTATACACGAGGCAACCTTCAACTCCATACAAAAATGCGACATGGATCTACGCAAGGAAATGTATGCAAATATTGTGCTCTCAGGAGGTTCGACTATGTTCAAAAATATAGAGCAGCGCCTGCAACAAGATATTGAACGAATGGCACCGTCATCCGTAAAAATCAAGATTTCAGCCGGTCCGGAGAGACGTTTCGCCGTGTGGTCTGGCGGTTCTGTTCTATCATCTTTGTCCACGTTTCAAAACATGTGGATCGACGGCGCAGAATACGATGAAGTGGGTCCTAGTATTATACATCGAAAGTGTTTTTAACTTACCACATTTGCAAAACCGTCGTTTGGCCGAAGCAGGCTTTTTCAAGAAACTTATATATATTTTTTTTATGTTAAAATGGGTTTGATTGGCAAAAAGTACTAAATTGTTTGATAAAAGTAAAAATAAAGCCGTGTGAACATTTTTTTTTTTTAATAAAAACTTTAACCATAGGTCTTTATATTTTTCATATTCTGACGCGACATTACCATTCTATTTGATATTAAGTCAATTTGGAATACAAAATTAGAGCTCTATATATTTATTATCTTATTCAGATTAGGTTTCCTTTATTAATATTCTCTTTTTATCCAATAATGATAAAAGACATTCGAATGATTTGACGGCCCACCAAACAGAACCAAAGATTCCACAATATAGCTCAACTGTCAGCTTTGTTTTAAATAAGCACTTCAAATTATCATTACCAAAGTACATTATCGCCATGTTTTCCATTAATTAATTGCGAATTTATTAAAACACTGACGCATACAAATAAGGCGCTTGGATTTTGCAATACAAAGTGCGAGTGCAGCGGCAACCTTCCCCTTCGCCATCTTTATGCCCCGCAGTGCAAACACGTGCAACAACGGTGACAACAACAAAAGGCACAGTCGCATTACCTTCAACATGCCACACAATCATCAGAGCTTCATCATCAAGCGTCGCCAGCTGCACTTGAGGCGCTTTTTGAACACGGATCTGTGGCGGCGGCGCACGTTGCAGCATCTCAACGGCACTTTGCGACCGCGCGTGCGCAGTGCACTTCAGCAAACCGCTTCGAGCTTGACAAGCTGCTCAAAAATCATTTTGATTTGAGTTTTGGCGCAGCTGTGACTGCCACTTGGTAGCATTAGCATTAGCCCTTCTAAACGCAGCTCACAACAAATTTGCGTCAATGACGATGCGACATATCTACGACTCCTCAAGTTGAAGTGTAAAGTTCAGTAAACTTCTAGAGCCATTTGAATATTGAAATCGCGTTCAAATCAGCATGCTCCATTTTGCCAAATCGGCCGTCAACGCATTATGTCGGCCCAATGAAGCGCTAATAATTCAAAGCGACAGAAGCGAAGGGTTTGCCTCCAAACTGTGTCGCGTTTTACTCGTAGATGCTGCCACTGCAGTGTGGCCCAAGGTTGCACATTTATTTATCACTTCACTTTTGCTGCAAGCTGTATTGCCTTTTTTTATTTATTTTTGTATTACCTTATGTAGGAAATAAGCTGCAAATTTAATTTTAAGTTACATATTCAAAGGCCGATTAGACATCTTTGCAATTTTCGAAAATTGGTTTTAAAAACATGCGCTTGTCACTTTTAAAGTCCGTGCCAAAAATTACCGCAAGTTTTCCTTAAATTTATATTAACGCTAAAGCCTATGTTTGTTTGGCTTCATGCAACACATAAATATTTTCAGATTCGTGATGCTATAAATTAAAAAGGGACATGGACATGCACAAGCGTATCAACTTGTTGGCTAAACATGCTGCATTCAGGCCGTTGTAGCACGAGTTGGCGGCTAAAGAATACAAAAAATTAAAATAAAATAAAAGCTGCAACAAGATGCGCCAATTGTGAGATATTTGTGGCTCATTTGAAATGCAGGCATTGAAGCGTAACTGAAAATTGAGTGTTTCGTTATCCATATATGCATCATTTGTTTTGTGTGAGAATTGCTTTGCATAATGTGTCAACAAAGGTGTAAATCGGATCACTTTGAACTGAAATCTTTTACACAGAAAGAGTATACGAGTACAATATTTGGCTCAGCCACGCCGCTGGCATATGTTGTTGAAACAGTGATAAACAAGAATTTCAATGTCTTTCTACCACGTCCATTATAAAACTAAGCATGTCAGCTATTTTAGTGCATTGTACATAAATGGGTTGTAACATACTTACACTGAGCCTCAATCTTTTCTTACTATGAAAAGGTTTTTGTTTACTCATGAATTTTAAGACCGTGCCGAATCAAAATATTTATAAAACTAACTAATCAGTTATGATCGACTGGACCATACTATATAGTATAAGTTGTTCTGCCACACTTATTTTTTGCTCACTTCACTGGTTATCCATGGCCACCATTCGCGATCCGCGATTGATGCCACACCATTAGATCTGACATTCTCAATCTGAAATTGAATTCCAATACCGTTGTACCTTACAATATTCGATATTCGTGGCAGCAATTTGAGAGATCAAATAAGTTGGATCTCTGAGACCATATTACTTATATATTTTTAAAGTTAGATCTGTTTTTCGGTATTCCGGCTGCCTTACTTTTCCACCTTTTCCACAAAACTCGGTTGCATTTTTATAGCTTAAAGATGTGTTCTCTCCCTCTCGACCCCTGAACTTATCTGCTATTTACGACCCATACATACGCCCACACACCCGCTAGTTAGGAACATCAACAACTTTATTACCTGTTGCTGTTGTGTCAGAACGAATTTAATTTGAAGAGCGGAAAATGTATGCAACCATAAATAGCACGCATAGTTTGGGGCGGCACCGAAGGACCTTTACATTTGGTCCTGACTGCGCAGCTGCCAAAATAAGGGTTATCAGCGAACTGAGAAAAAATATTAAAAAAAAAAAAAAACTGAGGCGCACAACTGATTCCTGATGGATAAATATGTTAGTTGGCAACTCTAGGCGCGGTAGTTATTTTTTCCTGAAGGCGGGCTCATTTTCCGTGCAGCCGTTTCCACGGACAGTCGCAAAATGAAAGGAGAGGACATCCCTACGTTCGTATCTGGTTCCCGCCTGCGTATGCTCTGCATTACGGGTCTACTTATTTCCATCTATTCGATGTACGTTAAGTTACAACTGGATAGAGATGCCAACTACACGGCCATGTGTGATTTGGCCGAAAAAGTGAGCTGTACTGCTGTTTTCAAATCCGAGTGAGTAGCCAATTGCTGAATGTTTAGCTCGCAAAAATGCACGTTTCAATATTATTGTATTTCCTTTGAGTATTAATTCTTTAAAACTCGTAAGTTTAAGGTTTTTATATTTTAATAAGCCATAAAATGTTTATAGTGACCTTGTTGCTTATTTTTCAAAATTCGGGGAGTACAAGTTTCCGCTTCAACTCCATCTTTGCACATACATACATACATACACACACATGTGTCTCAAAAATAGAACAGCTTCTCGATTCGGAATTTTTAAAGTTGAAAAAACATACAATATGTATGCAAATAGTCGGGAACACTTGCCTTAGCATCCGATTCGCATTTACTTATTGTTTGGTGAACATTAGATATGGAAAAACCTGTCATGATATAATTATCGTGTTTATTGTGGCGTTATGATGTGTTGCCAAGATCTGGCTAACCCAAAACTAATGGTACTATTTTGTTTTCTTTTTAAATATTTTAAATTAAATATTATATAACTTACTCTGTCTTATCTTCTGCAGCTATGGACGTGGGTTTGGACTTACTCAACTAATTTTTGGTGCGTCATCTACATATCTGAATCCCCCGAATGGTATCATAGGCATTGTATTCTACTCGTTGCTCTTCGTTTCTTGTGCGTTTCATATGGTCCCATAGAATTTAGGCATATATCAATGAGTTTATTTATTCTACAGCATTCTATGAGAACCGATGGCTTTGCATTTTCCAACTTATGGCTGCCTTTGTCACTCTACTACTGTGCGTCTATCTGGGCGGCCTCTTGCTATTTGTGTTGTGCGAATGTTGTGTGGTTTGTTTGCTCATCTATGTGCTGCACACAGCACTCTTCCTCGAGGTGCGCGGACGTTACAAGCGTTTGTATGCCGCCAAGGCTCCAGTGGGCAACTAACCGAGAGTGAAATTCGTGTCTTAACTAATTGTAAAATATGCAAAGAAATATAAAATATATTCACTTGTTAGTGAACAGTTGCGAATTTGTCAACGCATATTTTTTATGTGGGTCAACGAGTGGGGTTAAGCTGCAAACGTGCTACCTGGCTGCCAACTAATGTGCCTCCATGGCAGGCATGGATCGTCGCAACAAATTAAACAAAATCGTTCACTTTTGACCCTGTTTTATTTCTACTGCACTCTGTGCATGGCACGTCTTTAAAACTGCTGCCGAATCAACGACGGCTGATGTTTCACGTAGTCAGGCAATTAATTTTCTATATAGTAAGCTCATGCATATGTGTGTGGGAAGTCGAAGCTCCCTTGAGGAGGGCGTTCAGGGCGAACAATGGATCAATTAATTTGCTATAAACTACAAATCCGTGTAGGCCTCAAAGCAGAGCGTCGAAAAGAAAAACACAGTAGGTTTTATTAAATTAAAACTTTGATGGTTAATTCGATTCTAGATGTGATACTTAATTCCGTAGCTTCATTTATGTAGATGTACTCGTATTTGAACGCATTTAGGGTAGAAATTAGGTATAATAAATACCACATTTCAATTGGAAACTTTTGTCTATGCTCTCGCCCAAAGGTGCATTTAAAATGTGCTCCCATCCGATACATAACTATATATATATACATATATGCAACACTCTCAATCGGGGTCGCCATGGGCACGATCTTCTTCAATTTTGACAACGCAAACAAAACGCAAGCTGCATTTTTTTTTTTTTTTTTTTTGGCTCTTCATAGAGCCCCCCTTTCAGGCAGAGTTAGAGCACAAGGCAACACACACAGGCATTCACTGCGCGACCGAGTAGACTACTTTGCGCCAACGTCAGTAAACAACAAACAGCTCCAAACGGGCCGTCACAATCACTCGCCGCACGCTGAAGATGTTCACCCAAAGAAGGCAAATCAGTCTGCGCATGCGCGTGGCAACCACTGAAACAGCAACAATATTAGTGCTGGAGCTGCCTTCACGTGCGCTCACCCGACAATGACAACGGCAACGACAACGGCAACGACAACGGTGCCGCCGACAACAACGACGACGACGACGACGATGACAGCCACGATCGTTGACGATCTAAGCCAGAGCACCATGTTGATTGAGATTTTTTGGCAGGCGGCGGTGGCGGGGCACTGACAATAGAACAACAAAAACAACACACACACACACACACACACAAAAGCTTCAAAGATGATCATATGTGGCAGCTGGTCGCTGTGGTTGCCACACGTATCAAGATGACGTCGACGCCACCGCCACCACCACCACGACCACCAACAACACCGCCGCCCCCACCAGCACAGATGAGCTGAGCAACACAAGCTCATAACATGTGTGCATGTGTGTATGTATGTAAGTACATCCTAAACTTTCAGTTTCGATATGGGAGCAAGACAAGCGTTTTATATAAATACGTGTTGTGCTTGCTATTCGAGATCAGTCAGAATTCGGCGTTAGTCTGGGGCGCTAACGAAGCATCAAGATCAAAGCGCAAGTGGCAAAGCAGCAAAACGCCCGTGGAATATGCTTAAGTTATTCGGCCTAACGCTGTTGGTGGCGGCGGTACTAGCACGCCCCGAGCCTCCGGTTAATACCTATTTACCACCTACGCCCTCCGATAGCTATGGTGCACCGGGACAAGGCCAGAGTCAAGGCGGCATTGGCGGCAGACCTTCGGATGCGTATGGGCCACCCAATGGGCAAAATGGAGGCGGCGGCAGCAGTCTAGGTCGTCCTTCAAGCAGCTACGGAGCACCTGGACAAGGACAGGGTGGTTTGGGTGGCAGACCTTCGGATACTTACGGGGCTCCTAATGCCCGAAATGGCGGAGGAGCCGGACGTCCTTCAAGCAGCTATGGTGCTCCTGAACAGAGTCTTGGGCAAGGTGGAGTTGGTGGCAGACCCTCGGATACTTACGGAGCACCTAATGGCCGAAATGGTGGCGGTGCAGGACGTCCATCGAGCAGTTATGGTGCTCCTGAACAAGGTATCGGGCAGGGTGGAGTTGCTGGCAGACCTTCTGAGACATATGGAGCCCCCGGTGGTCGTAATGGCGCTGGAGCCGGACGTCCTTCGAGCAGTTATGGAGCACCTGAACAGGGTTTGGGACAAGGTGGACCTGGTGGTAGACCTTCGGATACTTATGGAGCTCCTAATGGCCGGAATGGAGGTGGAGCCGGAGCTGGACGTCCTTCGACCAGTTATGGTACCCCCGAACAAGGCATCGGACAGGGTGGACTTGGTACCAGACCCTCGGACACATATGGGGCCCCTAATGGACGAAATGGTGGCAGTGCAGGACGTCCGTCGAGCAACTATGGTGCTCCTGAACAAGGTATCGGACAGGGTGGTGGACGTCCATCAAACGGTCGTCCTTCAGACTCTTATGGTCCACCCGCTTCTGGCGGCAGCGGTTCTGATTACGATAGTAATGTAAGTAAAAATTAACTTGGGTTGGGTTCTTACTTGGCTCCTTCCACCACAAGAACAACAACAAAAACAGCAGCTCATTCAGAGCTCGCATGCCACACGCCGCTTGGTAGCTAGTAAAATTTGAAAACAAAAATGCCACGATGCACAGCGCCTAGTTGCACGCACCAAAAACCCATATTTTTGCTCTCTTGCACTGCTCCGAATCTCGCTTTCGATTCCTTTCTATAACTCACCCTCAAAACTCTATCTTGAAATATTTCTATTCTTCTTCTCTACGCTCTCTCCGCTATTTCGTAGGAACCAGCTAAATACGAATTTAATTACCAAGTTGAGGATGCTCCAAGTAGGCTGTCGTTCGGGCATTCAGAGATGCGCGATGGTGACTTCACCACCGGCCAGTACAATGTGCTGTTGCCCGATGGAAGGAAGCAAGTAAGCGCGTTTGTCTAGCTTCCAAAGAGGACGGGGAGAATTTCATCGGTCAACAGTGACCTCAGTATTTGTTATTTCAAGAAACTCATTCTTATATTAATTTTCAGATTGTTGAGTACGAAGCCGATCAGCAAGGATACCGACCACAGATACGCTACGAGGGTGAAGGCAATGGAGATGGTGGTCTTGGCGGTGCTGGTGGCCAGACTCTAGGTGCTGATGGCTACTCTAGTGGACGCCCGGGTGGAGATGAGTTAGGATCGCAAGGAGGTCCTGGCGGGGACGGTGGTGTATTCATTGGTGGCCGTCAAGTTGGGGGACAGGGCTCTGGTGGCCAGAATGGCGGTTACTCAAATCGGCGCCCAGGTGGCCAGGACCTCGGTCAGAATGGTTATTCCAATGGACGTCCAAGTGGTCAGGATCTGGGACGAAATGGCTATTCTAATGGACGCCCTGGTGGACAGGATCTAGGCCAAAATGGCTACTCAAGTGGACGCCCTGGTGGGCAGGATCTGGGCCAAAATGGCTACTCAAGTGGACGCCCTGGTGGGCAGGATGCGGGCCAAAATGGATACTCTGGTGGCCGCCCAGGTGGGCAGGATCTGGGCCAAAATGGATACTCAGGTGGACGTCCTGGTGGGCAGGATCTGGGCCAAAATGGATACTCAGGTGGCCGCCCAGGTGGACAAGAACTTGGCCAAAATGGCTACTCAGGTGGGCGCCCTGGTGGACAAGATCTTGGCCAAAATGGCTACTCAAATGGTCGTCCAGGTGGACAGGATCTTGGCCAAAATGGCTACTCCAGCGGTCGTCCTGGAAATGGCGGCGGCGGTGTAGGTCAGGGTGGCGGTAGTTCTGGCGGATCTTCTGGTAACGGCAACGGTCGAGTTTTCATAGGGGGTCGCGAGGTTGGACAGGACAATACTGATGGTCAGGGCTACTCTAGTGGCAGACCTGGCTCAGGACGCAATGGTAACGGCTTTGGGCCCGGCGGTCAAAATGGCGATAATGATGGAAGCGGCTATAGATACTAGGGCCTCTCAGAGAACACAGATATTGACACACTAGCTAGACACACTTAGACGAGACTTTTTAAGACGTACTTAGTAGCAATACCTAATTATTAAGACTTTGAATATCTAAAAACTGGCTGCCGTGAATAATACAGGCCTGCTATGAAAAGCTTTCTGTCATTTTTTCGCTCATTGTCTCTATTACATTCTACCTGCCAACATAACTTTTCCAGCACTCCTAGCATAAGTCCACCTTGTTGTAAATGCAACTGCGAAAATCTTTGCTTAGCAAACAAAAAAAAGAAGAACGAATGATGTACCTTTTCTTGAATAAGAATAGATAATGAATACAAGTAATAAAACAAAATATATTTTGTAAGTCATATGATTTATTTCGATGGATGATGGATTATTCGTGGCAAGCTTTAAAAAAAAGGCCGGCTGCTATAACATTTCTCTGAATAAGTGCCGTTTTCGACACACTGCTCTTGTTCTTGTATCCTTTTTTGAATGTTGTTTTAAAGATATGCCGTGCCCTTGGGAAAGACAAGTCAAAAATTAGGAGCGATCGCTTTAAATCGTACAATCCTTTATTATATTCCCTGTCTTCAGCTTACAGTTCAGTTCTCGAAACCTAATTTATTTATAAAATAAGCAGCATTGCCAATCAACTAATACTGTTAGCTGTAATGAAATGTTGAAATTTAGAAATTAGTTCTAATCGGTTTCTTTGTAGGCCTCTAAATTTGATTCGTAAAACGCTTTTTTTACTTCTCAAGGTAGGTATATTAATATCTTAATAGTATAAATGAATGCATCTTGAATCTAAGCCCTATTAATACAATATCCAGACAATAAATTTCGGATTGAATTGAAACCCAATTATCTACTTTCCATAATAAAACAAGAGAACATTTTAAAGTAGTGCAGAGTACATATATGGAATCGGAGATACTTCTGTGTGCCTGTTTCATACCTAATATAGCCTCTTACCATTCGGATACAGGATACAAATACATTATTCACAACTATTTGGCTTTTACTTCTTTCACGTGGGATTCTTCATAATCCTTTTCAAATCAATCTTACAACATCGTTATAATGAATATCTGAGTCTCCAAAATTGGTCCACGTATAATTCCAATGTCTTGGTGCTCCACGTGGATCGTCTGGCTTGTTGGTGGGCGGCACAGCAGTTGCATTAAAATGCGCAAGCTCAGCTTGTAATGATTTCAAAACATCGGGATATCTGCAAAATGGATCGTCTTAGTGTCCTATCCAGCACAAATACAACTACACCTTTTACTTACTGTCCTGCCAGATTGTAATACTCGCACGGGTCGTCGCGTACATTGAACAGGCAGGGCGCCAAAAGCGGTTTGCATTCCGTGCCCTGCTGCACGTAAGTCTTATTCAAATTACAATTTACAGTTGCGCCGGCCCGTAATCTCTGCTGCTCGGCTTGACTTGGAAACATCTTGATTGCTTTAAGTGCTTTTCCCGCTTGACTTTTGGCCACGTGTTGCCAATCGTAATGTTTAGGACTGCGTTCGCCTGCTGGTCCATACCAACCATCCCAGGCGCCCTTGTAGTTGGTGCCACGCATCAGTTTCCACTCACCAACGGTCAAAGCTGCACTACCCCAGATGTCATCGATATTGTGCAGTACACTCTTGCGAGGCGAGGGTTCATCGTTGCTCAATGCCTGCCAAATGCTCTGACCGTCCAAGTTGGTTGAGGTGAGATTGTCTAAAGCCATCTTCCCGCCTGCTGCTTCAATTAGCGTGGGCAGCCAGTCCACAATGTGCATGTTCTGATTCGCAACGCGCTGACTTTTGCGTAGGAGCGGAGACCATAGCAGGGCAGCCCCTCTTACTCCACCCTCCCAAAGTGTATTCTTCACGCCTCGCAGCGGATAGTTCGAGGCAAAGTTTTCATTAAAGCCCTCGGCGGGTCCACCATTGTCCGTGCTAAACACGATCAGCGAATTCTTTAGCATATTGTAATGCTCCAATTGCTGCACAATCTTCCCGACAGACTCGTCAAGCTTGGAAACGATGGCTGTGGCCGATATGGAAATTAATTTTATCAATTAACGATTCCATTTGGTAATGATGTGCTGATAACATACAATGCGAAAAGCATCCGAATCCTTACCTGCATACCTCCGGCGCTTATAGTGGGGAATGTGCCCCATTTTGATCACAGAATCATCGCTGACGGGCAGCGGATTGTACGGATTACCAGAGTGAGCGGCTGCATGAGCTACGTAAAGAAAAAGTGGTCCCTTATCCGTGGCATTGTGCTCGGCAATAACCTTTAGCGATCGCTCCGTCACTAAATCCGTAGTGTATTTTCCATGCATGTCATATGCCACTGCAAGTCCTTTACGCATATCCAATCCCCACATATTGTGCTCTACGGCGATGTGGTCGAAATAGTCATGATGACCCGTCCAATAGCCCACATGGCTTTTAAAGCCCCGAAAAAGTGGTGTGTATATTCGTTTGTAGTGACCCAAATGCCATTTTCCCACTATATGAGAAACGTAACTGAATAATCGTGCGTTATAAGAAATCAAGAGCTGTGTTTGAAATCAAAAAAAAAAAAAAAAATGTACACCAAGGACATACCCCAAATCATTGAGATATTGTGGAAGTATTTTCTCCTTCAGTGGCAAGCCACGCGGCTCCGCGCCATAAAGAACCGTATGCTGCATTCCTGCCAACGAAATTACAAACTATCAAACCTGTAACACATTCCAGGAACGCAATTTCACCCGTATGTATAGGATATTTTCCGGTCATGAGTGCAGACCGTGACGGTGTACAAATGGGATTCACATAATATTGATTTAGTATCAGACCAGAATATGCTAAGGCGTCTATATTTGGGGTAGGTATTTGAGCGGAACCGTGAAAGCCAACATCGTTGAAACCCTTAAAATTTTTGAATATTTAATATGATTAATGTATGCACTCAATTGATCAGCATACCAGATCATCTGCCAATATAAAGATGATGTGTGGTGGCGTCTGCTTATGATTGCTTGCAGACGAGCTCATAAACAACAGGCTACCAATCCATACCTGTCGTAGAATATGGCTAATACTTGTATTGTGCATATTTTCTGAAAAAAGTTATTTATGATTTTAAATATTGAAGAATGTGATTCCTATTGTGTACTCGTACATACATATATCTGTACCTTACTATACTTTAATTTACAGACCTACCTACAAAATTTTAATTTCACAAATTTTACGTAAAATATTTAAAACGGAATAGCATGAACAGAGCAAATATACACTGACATCTGTGCATAGATACTATTTTGAAAAAAACTTTTATGCTTGAGTTTGAGAATGCTTTGCGCAAAGCTTTAATACATTGAAATGCAGTGATATTGCCGCCTCGTTCGAACTGAGCAATTGATTGCTCATTACCTTTTGAATATGCGCCGAGCCCCAAATGACATTGATTTCCATTACAGTCCATTTAAAAATCAAACAAAAATGTGCCGATTCACTTTTAAGCTTACTTATTTAACTGATTCAGCACTCAACATTGACCCCAGGTGTTAAATGTTGTTGAAAATTCTGAACAACAGCGCGTTGGGGTTTCAGTGTCTTTTATATTTAAATAATAAAGAAGATGCTGACACTGGCTCATTGCATAATACAATTAAATTTCTTAGCTACAAATTGATTTTATTCGGCTACTACATCAATTTCTTTCTTCTTATCAGCTTGCCATAACAATAAACAACGCTTTTGGCTTCTCTCACAATACTTATGCGCCCCGTATGCCAGACTTTTCAAACCTGCGCGTCACGCTTCAAATTAATTCGCGTCGCGTCGTTACTCAATTAGCATAAATTATGAGGGCGAGGTTTGTTGAACTTTTCATTATGCATATTTAAACGGGACTATCGTTAATGTGCCAAAAACTTATGCAAATTATACACAAACAAAAGTTGCATTTGTTTTGCTTTGCTTGAAAATTATTTTGATGCTGGTTTCCAATTGGGTTAAGTTCATAATTTGACTCACCACTCAGTCAATCCAGTGTCTCTTTGTTTGTTTATGTTTTAGGTAGGCACATACGGGTGTAAGTGCCCAACAGAAATGCTCTTATTGGTATTGTTGTACAACATAAACAAATAATAGCCGTTAGTAAATGCTCTTTAATTCATGGTCATTAATTATTTAAATAAAATTTTAAACACTGTATTCAGGAAAAAATATGCAAAAATTTAAAATATTTTACATATGTGGTACACTTTCGTTTTTTTAATTTTTATTTTACAAGCCACAAACCGCTTTAGGACGCGCTCAAAACGAGACTGACCGCACCAAAACGAAATAGATCGCGCCTGCGTCAACGCTACAGTGAAAGCAAAGCAACTGTTAACGGGTCTCTGTTAATAACAGCCGTATCAATATGCACAGCGAATGCAATGTAAACAAAATGAAATAAACAAATTGACTTGGCACTGATGCAGAGGCCAAAAAAAGCATGCGCTTGCAATTATGCAAATTAGTTTAAATGTGAAATAATTAACGAACTTGTAATGCTCTTTGTGAAATGAAAGTTTACCATTAAAACTAAACAAGTGATAAATTTGAAAGTTAAACCAGGCAATCTTAGCTATTGCTTCGATTTATTGTATAGTTCTGCATAATGATAATTTTAAACATATAAAGCAGATAGATCTATTAATTTATATCAGACATTATCTTAGGCAAAAAATATTCACCAAAATTGTCTCATTTTTGGCAGAAACACTATATCTTTTTTTCATTATAGACTCAGGTACACCAAACAGTATCACGTTTCAAGCTAAGTTGATAATGCGTCTTCTCTTTGTCTGTTATAACTACCATATGCTTTCTTTCGACTTGACCCTCTTCTCATGTGGTCACGACGACAATACATTCAAAAATAAATTTTAAAAAGTCAAATAAGTTTCTGCATTTATCGTGTATTTTAATTATAGACACTCCCTACGTTGGTATAACAGTAATTCAACTATATTTTAAACGTAATTATTTAAGATTTTCATTTGCCCACTTAAAAAAAACAGCCAGACAACAAAAACACTTTCAATACTTAAGAACTAAAAGAGCAGCACATATGATTTAAAAAAAATAAATAGCAGCTATACAGAGGAAAGATTTTTGCCAATTTTGGAAAACACCACAACCGCTCTAGAAGCCAGACTTAGAGAATTTCCAAATCAACGTGTCGTATTTCGGGGAAATGCGTCTAGAAGAAATATGGGAATTTCAATATTTTTCTGTGTGAGTTGGAAGTCCGGTTTACTTACGCGCAGATTCATTTCTATGCGATCAATTTCGCCACCCATCAGATCCACAATATTTTCCCCCTGATCAAGTAAAAATGCCTCCAGCTCCTCAACATTTTTGAAAGACCGGACAACCTGTTAAAAACGAAAATTGATTTATGTTTTCTTGCTAGATTTATAAAATAGAATTTTACCGCCAGTAACTTATTCAGATCTTGCTTGTCCAGATACGATCGCGTTAGCTCTCGTCCGTCGAAGTCCAGCTCGGCCTGCAAGGAATTATTAAAAGTTAAATGATCTATGAAGTATATTTTCGCAACTTACCTTGTAACGCACTCGAGCATTACCTATATCAATGCCCTTTACGTCGTATATCGCGCGAATCATTACGTCAGCCTCAAGAGCTGAATTGATCTTCTCTAAGCGTTCGGTGGATATCGAAACACCAACCAATGCATTGGCATTCGTATAGATAATGAATGAAGCTACTGCGCCAAGTAATCCACCAATCAATAGTGAACCAGCAGCGTCAAAGATCGGGGAGCCAGTGTAGCTACTCAAAGCCATGCAGCTGCCGGCGATAATTACACCCACAACAGCCGCCGCATCCTCGCAAAGGACCACATTGACACACGGATCTTTACCAGACACCACTACAATTATAAAAACCTGTAGTAGCCAAGTCACACTAAGTCCAACTCTTACCATATTCCCTGAAAGACACGTTATGTATGCGCGCCGATCGTTTTAGCTCATTGATGGCCACAACAAGAGTGGCACCCTCCGACACGAGAGAACCCATTAGAATGCAATAAACCCAGAAGAGATCAGTAATGGGCTCCGGATTTAGAATACCCTCGATGCCATGGTAAACAGACAGGCCGCAGCCCATGCAAAAAATGCCCACTCCGGAAATAAGCGAGGATACATAGCGCATGTTCATATAACCATAGGGATGATCCGTGTCTGGTAGTTGCGACGATTTGTATATACCGAATGCAAGAATTAGCTGATTAATCAGATCTGCCAAAGAGTGAATACACTCGGCAAACATGCTGTGCGATCCACTGTAGAGCCAGCCCCCGATCTTAAATAACAGATTAGCCGCATTGCTGTAGGAGAGCGAGCAAATTTATAAAAAGCAATGGAAAGTACTTCACTTTGTTACTTACATAGCTATGGCCGTGGCTACAACTTGACTGGATTTTTCAAGGCCCTTACGATCTTCTAACATTACCGTCGTGCGAGAGCCCATTTCACGCCGATAGTCTCGTAGGCGTCGCTTAACAGTAAACAAATCTGCAGAGTCAATTTCTTAAGCATCCAAATTATAACCGAAATGACACAAGGATTCGACAACTTACTCTGCTGATGCTGTTTACGCTCCACCTCGCGCTTCAGCCGCTCACGAAGAAGATTCTCACGTGAACCCCATACTTCGAGCGCCTTCGACTCGACATCACGTCGCCAGAAAACTGTCATGGGCGGCTCCTGTTCATAAGGTGAGCGTCGCTTAATCTTGGGTAAACATTCTAAGTCCGCCGCAGTTAGCATAAAATCGCTTATTGCCCGAGCGGGAGTGACAAAGTTGCGCTCCAGCGAGGCACGATAGTCAAATCTCGGTCGTTTTGGCGTTGGCGTTGGTGCAGCTGCCGTTGCTGGTAACGGAGCCTTGACCACTGCCATATTCATTCCCTCTACCGGCGTTACTACACTGCCCGGTGTAACCTTACGTGGAAGCGGGGACGGCGTGCTAGTAGGCGCAATTTGAGGCATCGACAAAACGCCATCTGTTGATGTTTCCTGTACCTTAGTTGGGTTATTTATATTTATGTTGCCTGGAACCAAAACTGGCTCATTGAGTTTCGCTATTGGGGTAAGTTCTGACTTCTCAAATACAATTTCATTGATCTTAGAGTCCTCAATGGTGGTGGTAATAGTCAGTATGCCTTTCGGGGTTTTCACCTCAAAGTTCTTAGTCTGTGTGAAGCCGGGTGCGGATGTTGTGGCCACTTCTAATGTTAGGTCACCTTCTTTAGATGCGCTGTCTTTTCCAACTTTCAGATGTAATTTGTTCAGATCTTTGTCTGTTGAATCACTGCTGTCAGTGCTTCTGCACCGCAGAGGCAGAAGCGCACCACTACCGCTTAGCCTACTCTGTGCCTGTTTACAGAGTAACGCGTACTCCTGCCTATATTGACTACGCCCACAAATGCTGCCATGGTGGATCAATTTTAGGGCGGCACAGGTGAAATTGATGTGTCTGCACTGCAACAGCTGCACGCCCCGTAAAAGCATCTCTCCTCTGAAAATAGCATAGAATTATTTTGCTTTGGGTGCAGGGTCACGGCCACTTACACGGCGCGCGCGTCAGCGGCGTTCAGAAATTAGTTGTGTGTTCGGTTTCACTTTCAGGAGACGGGCAGAGACGTCATACACAAGGTGGTATTGCTTTTGCTTTTTGCGGGCCCTTCTCACGTTGTTATATTTTAAGTCTGCCTTCGGTGGAAGTGCACTCGCTTTCGCTATTTTAATGGATTGCCAAAATAAAGAGCACTTAAAATTTTGATATATTTTTTTTTATTTACAATTTACTATGAATTTAGCAGCGCCCGGCTGTGAATTAGTGATGCAAAATCTGTTGTAGTGCACTATCGATATCAACCGAGCATTTTGCCACACTGGCCGAACGGCTGCTTGTGTTTTTCTTCACGCTCAGCTGTTTTTGCCGGTTTTGTAACTTTTCGTTTTGCTTTTTCCAATTTTCGGTACCACAGGATGTCGCGGCTACTGCAAACGGCCACGAAACTGACACGCATAGCGTGCCAAGCCTTGCCAGGCGGAACAAGGGCGCAAACATGTCTTTACTCCACAAACGTTTCAACTGGCGATGAGGTAACTGTTGAGCGCTTGGAGGGGTCGAAAAAAGGCATTACTGTTCTGGGTTTGAATCGCCCGGCAGCCAAAAACTCATTCTCTCGAGGACTGGTTGAAACTTTTAGCGAAATATTACAGGAATTGAAGAAGGACAATTACTCACGTGTTGTTGTACTACGCAGCACTTCCCCAGACATATTTTGTGCTGGAGCGGATTTGAAGGAACGCAAAGGTAAGATAAGAAAGAATTAATTACACATATTAATTATACATATTCGCTTGCAGGCATGTCTCAGGATGAAGCACGGGAATTTGTAACTAAGTTGCGCAATCTGCTCATCAGCATCGAACAACTGCCAATGCCTGTCATTGCTGCCCTCGATGGTGCAGCACTTGGGGGTGGACTGGAAATGGCGCTAGCCTGTGATATACGCACAGCGGCAAACAATGCTAAACTGGGACTTGTGGAAACACGCCTGGCCATCATTCCGGGCGCCGGAGGTACCCAACGCTTACCGCGCATTCTGTCCCCAGCTTTGGCCAAGGAACTGATATTTACGGCTCGCGTCTTAGATGGTGCAGAGGCCAAACAGTTGGGCCTAGTCAACCATGTAGTGCCGCAGAATGAAACAAAAGATGCAGCATATAATCAAGCCATTAAATTAGCCGAAGAAATATTGCCAAATGGACCAGTAGGTGTTCGCATGGCTAAGCTAGCCATTGACAAGGGAATGCAAGTCGACTTGAAAACTGGGTACTCAATTGAGGAAGTGTGCTATGCACAGGTCATACCGACTAAAGATCGCCTTGAAGGTCTGGCAGCATTCGCGGAAAAACGCAAGCCCATTTATAAGGGCGAATAATCTTTGGCGCCGAAACCAACTGCTGCATTATTTTTAAGCTGTATAGTGCATTTATAAGTTGCCTTGTTATAGTTAAACATCTGGCCCCATGTTTTTGGGTTACACAAAAGTTAATTTCGATTGTTTAAATATAAAAATTATGATAAGATCAAGTTGCGTGCAATTGTTGAAGTTTGTCATATAAAAACAGTTTGAAATGCATTCATGTAATTAAACACAAACACGCCTGCATAGTTCCAAATTGTTCGCTCAGTTACTAATGCCAATGCTAATTATTGCAATTAGTGCACTACCCTATACCTCTCTGTAGTTCCACTTTGTGGGCACACAATGCAATCGCATTCTATTTTCTCATGATTTATTTTGTATTGAATATGTAGAATTGAATTCTAAATAATATGTTATGTGACGCTAACACCTATGCAAAAATCCAATACAAGCAAGTATGCGGAAATCTAAATTTCTATAGAACTACTATAACTGTGGGGCGTTGTTTGAAACAGAAAAAGGGGAACGTTTAGGAAGCACAAAAAGTTTTGCCGCTCATTATTACACTAATCTCGACTATAACGATGACGCACGCTAAAATTTGTGCGTTTATTGTTGTGGCATTGATATACCATTTGTTTACATATTTCATTCATGATAAAAATCATTTTTATTTGGTCAAGCATTTTTTTGTGTGTGAGTTTGTATCTACAATGTTATTTCAAGTAACAAAGGGGTTTGTTTATAAACAATTCAGAGTGCTCCTGGAACCTGTTTGAAGGGAAATAAATACATAGCTAGACTGAGTATAAATGGTACTCCGAACAGCACGAATTTTAACCATTTACTTACTCATAAGGTAAACATAAGTAAGTGACGCACAGCCGCTATCCCGCCCCTGCACATTAGATGTTACCGACTAAAAACAGAAACCTTAAACTCACACCAATTAGCATGCACAAAAGTCTTTGACATGACACAAGGTCAACATTTGACTGCTTTACCTAGAATCTCTTACGACAATCTTTTAGGCTAACACCAAACGCATTGCGCATTCTAATTAGTCAATTAATAGCTAAGCACTTCATATGGATGCGCATGTGAACTTGTCGAACCGCATACTTGTCTCAGATAAAGACGACCGACGGACAGACTGGTAGTCAGGTGGGCCACCAGACAGAGGCCGAGCCGGAAATTAATTGCGGAAGCAAATCAATATTTATTTTTAATGTATGTACAACAATAATCTTAACGTATAAATATACAAATGTGCAAAAATCGACATACATACATACGCGTATACAAGTAGTAATGTACATATATTTCATGCGAACTTAAACGAGTTTCATGCATTTCAATTAGATTGTTTTGTTTTATTTAATTTGACAAAGATATGCTGAATATGTGCTCACGAGCTGCATATTAAAGAATGAGGCTGGGCCTTTAAATCGTAACACCCAACACCCAGTTTATACGTATACAAAAGGGGTTTGTTTCATTTCATGACGCATTCTTTTTGGGGAAATTTTGTTTTTTGCTTATGTCAGCCATTAAGTCGAAAGCATGAATTGTTTTTCAGAAATTTGCACCGAAAAATCAGGCACGTCACTAATTTAAATGAAGTTCAATTGTTATAAAAACTCAACGTGAGAGTAATCACAAAAAGTGAAGTGCCCACTGAACTAACAATTGACCCTGATCGGGGATTTTTCTGCAGAGACAGCACGGTCCAACACTGCCTACGAGAGCATTGCCATCGAATTTATTGTTTAATATATGTACATATAGAATATATTTAAACATTATGTAAATATGCAAGTAAATCTGATTTGGTAGAAGAACTACTTGTACTAATAACAAAAAAAATACTCTCAGAAGACACATAGGTCAGATTTTTTCTAAGAGGTTCAGAGATTTTTTTTTCGAACTTGGTTGAATAATTAAGATCCTTCAGTAAAGTAATTAACTTAATTTCATACAAGTCAAAAATGTGTTCAATATATTTTAGGGATATATATGAAATGACGGGATGGAGTTGTTCCCTATTTCCCAAGTAGAGTTAAAATAGGTAAACAATTATTAATTTCTGAAGAAATCAATTTAACATTAAACATGAATTTAACTTATTTTGTTTATTATAATATACAAATAAAAAATTGATCAACATAAATACTTCAGACTATATGTGTGTTCTTAAATATTCTAACTTTTATTATATTCGCATGCTCCGTTGCGTATACGCAATATTTATACCTTTGCATTACTTATACTTATTCTACTACAGAAGTGATGAATGAGCAGATAATAAAACTGTGGCAATTCCTGGCATTGATGTGGCTTACAAAATATTATACACTTTGCACGACACTTACGATGTGCCTGAACAAATAGTACATTAGTCAAGCTTAGGGGCTAAGCAAATAAATTTATATTCACTTAAAAGCAACAAGAAACGATCCATAAATTAAAGATAAATAACACCGTCACAAAAACGACAGCAATAGCCCCATCCACACCCACCAATTGCTCCAAATACAAAACGTTAGAGATAAATTTCAAAATGCACAACACGTGAAAATTGCATTTCGAATTTGTGTAAAAATTTTCCACTGGCGCTCGCCGCACTGCCAAACGCACATTATTTATGGATAGGCAGAAAACTGGCAACTTCAACAACAACAGAAACAACAGCGGCAGCAACAACAATTACCATTTAAAACAAGTCAATCACTGGTCGCTAACGACACCAGCTCCATAAACCTAAGCTGACTTAAAAAGACGCACAAGGCGAATGCAACAACAAATAAAACTACAACAAACACTTAATTACTGTGTTGAAGTGTGCCTCTAATTCTCATGTGACTGGTTATAGTCAGTAAGCACCAGAAAGCTGTTTAAAGTCAGTCAAATTCTTAGATCACAACGCATTTTATAATTTAACCCATTTATGGAAGTATCTAAATGTTAGACATTTATAACTGTGTTGCAGATACCGATGTCGTCTAAAAAACTGTGCTCTAATTAAGGAAAATCTGGCATGATGGTTTAAAAACTTCGTTTTCTTCTTGTGTACAAAATTCATCTGCACTTACCTTTGGGCTGGTTTAATAAAAAATCCATAGGCATTAATAATTGTATCAATAAATATAATAACAATTCAAATTAGGTGGAGTGCCTTTTGGCAAGTTGGTCAAATTAATAATAATTTCAATTTCGAGTTAGTTAGAAATTAGTGAAATTGACATACGATCCATCCCGACAGTGCCAACCAATTCTGAAATGTGAAATAGCATCCTGTTATCTAAAGGCTTCCCATTTTCCCATTTGCGAATAAATCCGAAAAGGTCGTTGGTAGCATGCAAGTTATTTTTAACAAAAACAATTGAACTGAAATGCGCTCGCTCGAACTTAAATAAATCAAAAATAATTTGTAATATTTGAAGAATTTGCGAAGCTTCTTAATGCTCTAGCTTGTTAGGCAGCGTTGTAACAGCATAAAAATTTATAAATGTTTTGCAATATTTCGCTTAGAAAGATACACTTTGTGGTCGTGTAGTTGTGTTTTCATGCGATTAGCCAGGCTTTGAAATAAAATGAAACTGATTTGCTGTCAACTGCAACTATCAAAAGATAAAGAGTTTGTCAAAAACTGCTTATCTACTCGATTAACGTACAATTTAAGTTTATCTACATTTATTATATAGAGCGCTGCAAATACAATAGTCTTGGGCGCTCAGTGCGTATGAGCAATGCCAGAGACAGACTCGTCTTGTCGCAAATGTCCAAAAAATGTTTATATAGAAAGCATAAGCGCGCACGCACACACCAATACTTATGGGCACATATATTGTATATATATATATATATATGTACGTATGTATAAAATAGCGTCTCTGTTAAGTTTATGGTCCCAGGAGTTTGACAGGTGAGGCGGGCTGCCGCTGAGAGACACTAATTGCTTGTTGCTCGATCCATATGGCTCACAGTAGCCTGTCTGTCGCTCCCTCTCCGAGTCTGACACTGTTTCTGCCTGTATCTCTGCGATATACATTATATTGTCAGCGTGCACTCGCTGACGTTGGCAGCAACAAATTCAAGCACAAACATTGGCTTAATATCAGTCACTAAGCGATCGTCGGACAGTTAACAACACGATATAAACACAACAACAAGCCGAGACGCGTAACCAAAACACTCGAATTTGAATCGTTAAAAAGATACGCCAATTTGCTTTGAGCTACATACTACCTATATTTTCAACGGGCTAAGCTCTAGTGCCTGAAAATTAAAGACCATTTCAGCAACCATTTGTCAACTGTTAGTTCTGCATAAAGTTCTGCTAATTAGTTTTGTTTGTTTGGGCCGAAATTACCGCCCAATATTTGGTCTTGCTGCCTGCCTAGCCGTCGATTAACGCGCGTTTAGAAAACAATGAGAAATCATAGACTGACGCAGTAGTGCGATTGAGAACAGTATTGTGAATTTTTAAAAACCACGTAGTATTTCATTAAAGGCAACGCATTAAAGAAATTTTCCTGCTAAATAAACAAAATCGTATATTAAAAGGTAATTAATTAATTAAGAAATAATTCGTTTAATTTATATCTATTCTATATTGCTACAAATTTTTCCATCGCCTAAAGTGAAAAGTGAGGTTTATATCTAAGCAGATATACGCGTAATCGTTTGTGCGTCCCTCAATAGCATCTCAGTTTATGAAAAATGTTGAAAGAAAGCATTTATTTATACTATATGTTTTAATTAACAGGCCAGTTGATTGTACCATTAGTTATGTATTTCAAACCTTTAATTGGGTTTGAAAATGTAAAGATAAATAATAATCTACTCACATAAAAAAAAATAAATAAATCTGAAACCTAAAATTTAAATAAATAAGATTTGTTGCCAAAATGGCTATATGTCTTTTAATAGCCATTCTAGGTATATACACATGTTTGAATATTCAATAAAACTAATAACCCCAACAGTTGCAAATGGTTCATTAGTTTTGTTTTTTTAAGGAATTTTTTAATATTGTATATCGACAAAAATAACCTATACACTTTTTATTGAAAATGAAAAAAATGTTACTTTCTTAAATATCTTAGATGAAGAGATTTTAAATTACTTTAGCTCCTTCAGAATCCTCCTGATCAGCACTATGAGGTTTATGTAGCGTAAACTCTTCAGATCATACATATATACATATGTAGTAAAAAGTGTTTGCACCTATCCATTTGGCATATAGTATGACTATGTCAATAGATAATAGGAACGGCACAAATGATTACTGCATGACAATGTTTGTAAAAATGATTGAGTTTGTTTAGCTGGCAGCTACCTTTTAATAAAACCGATTAAAAAGTGCAATAAACTTCAAGTTAGCTAAAAAAAAAATAATAATAATAAGGCGAAAATTGAATGCTTTAAACTTTACGAGTTTACATAAGAAGCGAGGCTGTCTGTGCATTGATAAAGGCAAGCGAATTGTTGTTAATAATGAGATAAGTGTAAGTCAATACCATAGCACATTAAAATACTTGGAAATGAAGTGCCGCTTAATTATTCGTTGCATGTGTCGCTCGTTTTTTGCGTGCATATCGAAAGTGAAGAGGCGGGCCATGAAAATAGGGGATCAGATCGGAGCGGATCGGATCGGAGCGGATCGAAACGATCGATGGACAGACACAACTGCCTCCACTGACATGCACTGACACTGAGCCTGATCGAATGAAAAAGCTTTTAATGCCAAATCGATTGATGAATTGCGTTATTGACGCTCGTGCGTGAAACAAGTTTCAGGCACGTGAAGCCGACGAACAAGAAGCAAAACAGAAACGAATAAAAAATCGCATACAAAATGCGGCTTTTGCTTACTTTTGCGCCGTCTGCTTTATATGGCTATTGACCCAAATCGATAGTTGCAGATTTTAATTGAAATTCAGTTAACAATTAACGGTACTTGGCAGGGCGTACCTTGTGCAATATTTAAGATAAACTTCAGCCGAACGCCTCGTAATTGCAGAGTACAAGGCAAGGGAAATTTCATCAGTACGATGCAATATAAGTACCTTGATTTATGTAATGATATTGCACTTGCTTTCGGAAATTTAATGACATACTACTACTTGTATATGCTAGCATTTGAACATTCTAAAAGTACATTTTTAAATAACAGAAAGTAAAATAATTGCAAGCTCGGTGTATGTTTATTTAATAATTGTTGCTATTTTTTGATAGTCAGCATTATCTTGACTGATCTTTCAGAATGAAATAGTAGCTTATACTAACATTATTTATTAATTGAGCTCAACAAAAATTTCGCTATCTGTTATATCTGCTTCAACCATAAAAAGCGTTCTCACCCCTTATTGAATGGAAATCAAATATATTAAATAATAAAAAATATTCAGATAGTTTGGAATAAAAAACGAAGTCTAGTTAAAGAAAGCTCATTTAAAATTGTGTATTTCGTAGTCGAAGAGAACTTAATTTTGTTATTATAAAATGCAACAAATTGTAGGCATCTGCCAGATTATTCGAAACCCCTTTATACTTGTATATGCTTAAACGAACTTAATATGCGGCGTTTTAGAACTTTTTGATATCATTTGACGAAGAAGTGTTAAATTATTTAGCATGTTCACAAACACAGATTAGCACGAAAAATGGACAGCGCAAACATGACATGGAGGAAAAGTATTTAAATTATAATATCAATACATTTCTAATTGGCATTAAAAAGTCACACATACATACCTATCACTGATGTGGACTTAAATTCAAAACAATATATTAGACAAGTGACGGACATAAATCAAGTCAATGTCCAGTAGAAACTCGTGGACATGATGTCATAAATACATTACTCGAATATAAAGTCAATGAACATGCTGCCCCATTGGTTGTTTCGGCTTTATAAAATTATAGCGAATTGCCCGACAATAAAGATTAGTTTCATTATCTGTATTCACTTTGAAAATACCAATATGTGCTTTAAGAAGTGAAACATTTCTAGAAGCTATTATATAGTCCCTTTCGAACTAGGTAGACTATATTTGTAAATGAGCAATAAGTATGGTAGACCACGCGTTGTAGGTACATATAGTATAGTTTTAATTTAACATTTTTTGTTATTATTTGCGATTTCCTATATATAAATAGTACTCTACGTATCACTACATATTCCACAATTCTAGAACTAAAGTACCAATGACATCGATATTATGTAATGGGCGCAGATAAGAGGTCGTGACTGAATTATATAGCTGCAATATAGAAAGAGTTTTTGCATAAAACACTTGTTGTTTATAAAATATTGAAACCAATTGAATATTGAAAAAGTCATACCTGCATTATTTGTCTGCATTATTTGTGTGCCAAGGATAACCAAAATAGATAGAAAATAGATAGCATAGTACAGTACGCGAAGCATATGTAGTACTCGGTACTCGTATAGCTTTAAAATCTGTGTATTTATAGTTTAAAAAAACATTAACCTTATCCCAAGAATTTACTTTCACTTTAAAGCTATTTAATGTAATCCCTAGTATAAAAAAATGATTCAGGAAAAAGAATCGCCTTCACTGGCACTACACTTCTCATTTACGATCATAATTCATCGTGTAGTCGTTAATTAAATAACTTCTATAACATTCATCGAACAACTCTGATAATAAAGGCATGTCAAATGTAAACCGTTTGTAGACTCAGCACGACACACATTCTGATGTTACCAACTGAGTGGATGTGTGGAAAAGTTGTAAATGGGTTTTATGTTACCTGTTATTGCAAAACATTGTGTTGCTAATCTTATCAGGCTAAGTGGATAACAAATGCTGTGCGATTGCCTTTAATTCGTAGACATTAAATTTATTAACTATTACTTAAGGTAAATAGAAATATCTATAATATGAAATTTGGAAAATCTTTAAAGTTGTTTATTTGTATGATAATTAACGGTAATTAACGAAATTACCCTGAATACTTTTCCACAGCTCTTAGTGAATTTAATAAATTACTTGTGGCGCCTCGTAAATCAATTTGCTTCTTCCACCCCTCTCAGTGATTACCTGGCCATAGCTTTTGAACATTTTCCTTATCAGCGATGGGTATAAGTGATTTTAGAAGCAGCTTTAAGTATTTTATTATTATTGGCATTAAATATTGAGTTGTACTTATGTATCAATTATTGTTGCTGTCGCTCGTCGTGTACTCCTTCCCAATATTTATGTTATCATAAGATACGATTTAGACAAGGCTCGCGCTTGGGGAACTGCGATTGAGGTAAAAAATTTTCAGTTCATTTTTGCCAGTAAGTGTGCGCGGTTCTGTAATAATCGAACTTAAAGAATACAGTTGCTTAATTGGAAAGTAAGTGAAGGATCTATTACGTATAAAGCAAAATGTAATCCAATAAATTAAAATTCAATTAATAATCAACTTTAAATAACCCGTTTCCCGGGCTAAATTTTAAGTGGGCACTTATCCTCTGTCAATTTCTTGAAAAGGAAATGACGCAGCAGTAATTGAAGTGAAATTAAAAGAAATAACAGAACATCAATTTTTTGTAAAAAAAGAAAAAATAATGTATTTAAAAGATTATTGCCCTTTACAATTTTGCTGAAAAAATAGTGCAGTAACATATGAAAAAAACTCTTATAATTGTTAGAATGTATCGAAGTTTAAGTCTAGTACAAAATATTCTGAAAGGATAAACGAATATTATCATTCTTACTTTAAACAAGTTTTGAAAGAAATGTTGAATGGTTTTAAAATAAGTTTTATACGAAGTGAAAGGAAAATCTATTGGGCTGATATAGATCTTAAAACAAATATTTTAAAGTTACCTTTTTTGTAAAGATTAATACCATCCGGCAGACTTATATATAATTAAAATCGATCTTTTTAATTTGAAGCTAAAAAATCAATTACATTCGAATGAAATTAATGATGTTAAATAAAAGGATAAGAGTATAATAAAAGGATAAACAGTTTATTTAATAAATTTTTCTGCAAACTTAACAAAATTGTTTACCATTTAGGAATTGAAAGCAAAACCGTGGATAATTACTCTACTAGAAAGGAAGGAATAGGAAGATTTTTTTTACTTTCCATGACGCAGTTGCAGAACTGTTCAAATTTTTAGTGTGATGTTTTCATTGATGGTTGGCTAAGTCAACCACAAGGTTCTTAATTTAATCATTAAAGTTTAATCGAAGCAATAAATTTTGAATGATTTTACCACCGTGCTAGCCATAAACAATCACCGCATATATCACGATTAGTTAATCAAATGGACGAAGTTCCCTACTCAATCGATTGGCAGAATTGTCGGTGTTAATTGATCCATCACAATTTTGCGTGTACCTGGCGCATATGGTCACAAAGCCTTCTCACCTGCCTTATAGCCTGTTTTATTACACATATATCAATATCATGAATAGTAGCGGATATGGCTGTGAATCGGCGGTGATTTTAAATCCAGTACACCCCGGCACTATCGAACTAATTGCCAAATAGGCCCATAAAATTTATGAATGCACTTGAGGCAAATAAATAAAATACTTAGAACGTACAAATGGTTGATGGCCAGGTTGCCATGCCTTCTTTTGATAACAATCGGACCTCACGCGGAATTTTCTGATAGCAGAGATATATGCTTAATTATGAAGAAGTTTTGGAGCTGATAACATATCAATGGAATGCCCCTGGCAACCCTTGCCGCCGAATTAGTTGCTGTGGATTAGCCTCTGCACCCTGGACAAATGGTTTCAGTGCTTGAATCACGTGCTAGATAAGGTTCCGATAATGGGATATAGAATGGCATTAGAAAGTTTATAAAAAGTTGTTGACAAGTGGGACAATTAGCATTACCATCAATCAACATTAATCCCCGTTGTGGGCGTGCTGCATAATTAGATCCAATACATTTATCAGTAATTTTTGTGCTCCGATAAAGCAGTGGAAAATTTTTATCTTCTTTGTAGATGACGAATAAAGAAGATTCCAATGCCCCGCCCTTGGAACAAAAGAGTGCATCCGTTTTTTCACTAACCGACTTCAACTCCAGGTATATTTCCTTTTTATGGCACAGTTTCATCGAAGTACAAACTAATACTACTTCTTCCACTAAACACCTTGCAGAACAAATTTGACCGACAAAAATCAACTGTCGTTGGCAGAGGATCCCTACAATCCTTTCGAGCATCGCGATGAGAATGGCGCCAGTAGCGGAGGGGCATTGGCCCACTTACTCAAAAGTTCCCTGGGTACCGGTATTTTGGCAATGCCTCTGGCGTTTCGCAACGCCGGCCTGCTATTTGGCATGATCATGACGCTCGTCGTTGGATTCCTCTGCACGCACTGTGTTCACATTTTGGTGGGTAATAAAGCGGATATTGTAAAGTGTTAATTTTAAAATTAACACATTTATTGCTAATATGCTGAAGTGGTTAAGAAAATCACCAGACTTGCCTAGTATTTGCTTAACGACAGAGGCCATCTACGTCAAACAACTGTCTGAAGTAGTTCAAGGCACACATTATATGCCTGTTTCTACCAATGAGCCATGTCAGTATTACGAATACTGTTCGTTTCTAGATAAGGGCCGCGCACGCGTTTTAAATCGCTGCTATGGACGCACGCGTTTTTATCAGTGCCAGGCAGCGATTTAATGCGCTTTAAAGTCGGGGACAGCATTGGACGCTTTTATCAGCTGCAGACATCATTGATAGAATTAGCTAGACAGTTATGGGGGATTTATGTCCATTGATTTAATCAATAAATTTTAATGCTTCAAGTGGTAATCCATATACGATTAGGTAGACGTAGTGTGGCTGGTGCAATGACATGAAATTATTTACAGTACTTGTGTAATTGGGCAAAACCCAAAATAAATTTAATAAAAACAAAAATTTATAAATTAACACCTCAACTAGTGATTCAGACGTACTACATATATGTATGTATGTATACGTATGTATACTAGCGGAAATAATACAAAAGAAACCCATATATGCTATCAGGAGAATCTGTATACCAAGTTTGGTTATTCTAGCTCTTATACTTTCTGAGATCCTTGCGCTCATACAGACAGACGGACAGACGGACAGACAGGCAGACGGACAGACAGACAGGCGGACATGGCTATATCGACTCGGCTGATCAAGAATATATATACTTTGTGGGGTCTACCACGCCTCCTTCTGTGTGTTCCATGTACACTCGCACAAAACTAATATAGGGTATATGTACCCTTTGGGTACAGGGTATAAAAACTCTCTAGTCGTAGTGTAGACATCTGACGTTTGAACATCTGTCACAATCTGTCGTGTAGACATCTGACGTCGCGGTCTGATGCCGAGATGCGGCTCAATATTATTCCAATAGGCTCCTTTTAATGTTGCTGATGATAATTAAAGTCATCTTTTCCCAAAATTCAGGTGAAAACCTCGCACGATATATGCAAAGAAGCGAAAGTGCCCGCATTGGGGTTTGCTGAGACAGCGGAAAAAGTGTTCGAGTATGGGCCGAAGGGCATGAGAAAACATTCCAACTTTGCCAAGTGAGTGACTATACCATGTGCATATATAATAATTGATATATTATTTATTGACAATGGACTTTCGTTGCTCAGACAATTTGTAGATGGTGGATTGATGGCCACTTATTATGCGGCTGCCTGCGTCTACATCGTGTTCATTGCTACCTCATTTCATGATGTCATCAATGCGAACTGCAACCTGAATTGGGATGTGCGCATTTACATTGCGCTGACTGTGATTCCCTGCCTATTTATTGGTCAAATACGGAACCTGAAGTTCTTGGTGCCCTTCTCATTAATGGCAAATGTGTTTATTGTCGTGACCTTTATCATTACACTGTACTATATGTTTGACCGACCTCTGGTCTACTCGGATAAGCCGCTGATAGCAGAAGCGAGTCACATTCCTCTCTTCTTTGCCACCGTCATCTTTGCCATGGAGGGCATAGGCGTAGTCATGCCGGTGGAGAACTCAATGCGCAAGCCGCAACAGTTCCTCGGCTGTCCTGGTGTCCTGAACACAGCCATGATTACAGTGGTCCTTCTTTATGCCATCATCGGCTTCTTTGGCTATGTGCGCTTCGGAGAAGATGTGCGCGGAAGTGTGACTCTTAACTTGCCTGAAGGCTGGCTAGGCGACACGGCTAAGCTGTTGATGGCTGTCGCAATTCTCTTCACCTTCGGCCTGCAGTTCTATGTGCCCAATGAGATCCTCTGGCGCAAAATCAGTCACAAATTCAACGAGGATAAGCACAATACAACGCAAATACTTCTTCGCACGGGCATTATTCTCCTTAGTGGCGGCGTTGCAGCGGCCATTCCCAACCTGGAGCCGTTCATTAGCTTGGTAGGTGCTGTGTTCTTTTCGCTGCTTGGCATCTTCGTGCCCAGCTTCGTGGAGACCGTGTACCTCTGGCCCAACAACCTTGGCTGGGCCAAGTGGAAGCTGTGGAAGAACATCTTCCTCGGCGTCTGTTCCATACTCGCCCTTATAGCGGGCGCAACAGCAAGTATTATAGAGATAATCAATATGTACAGTGGGAGTGATGATTGAGCCGTCCTTCTGACTGGACATGTGGTAGTGTTACACACATACCTATACGTACAATAATGCAGGTACTTGTTGAGTCCACACCCATTTAGCTAGATTCCCATAGTTATAATTTTTTGTTGTTTAGATTTTTCGTTTTTGTGTCGTTTTTTACTCCTTTTTTATGGCCATGTTGAACATGGTAAAGCGACTGCAGGTGCGAGCCTTGCCTGCCGTCGCTGACTGCATGAACATGATGATATTAAGCTATAAGTTTTAACCATGAGCGTATAATCCCTAGAATGTAAAATGCAATGCATAGAATTTATATACCACACATAGCTCATAAGTTCGAAAGCCTACTTACTACTTTCACAAAATAAATAAATATTTAAAAAGTGTATATCTTCTTCTGGATAGTTTTCAACGTCAGGAAGTCTTAGTGGCTTTGATTTTTTACAACCGGCACTTGAACCAGTTGTACTCGGAGGACCTGAAAGGGAAAGGTAAGATCCAAAGGGCACGAATTTCCTTTTGTTCTGTTTTATTCGATGAAATGGTTGGGTTTATATACAAATATACAAAAATGAAGTGTGAACTTCATTGGTATGGGACATAGATGAACACCAACACTTGGTCTGCGGATTAAATACAGCATGAACCAAATACTTGATTCGCTGAGGACCACAGCGCCTCTTCGGCCTCAACTTTAGAAACGAGAGTTAATTCGTCAAAGGAGTATCTCTAAAGGAAGTAATACAAATGCAATTCAATGACTCTTCTGAAAATCTATATATCCGATCTATGTATATGACGATCGTAATTTTCTAACTTGTTCGGTTGAAGAAAATTTATATCCGAAATTTTTAGACATACGATATGGACTGTTGAACTAGCCCGTCTCCTTTCCAGTCGCTTTACTATGAAGCGACATACAAAAGTAAGTACAATGACCACTTTTTAAAAGACAAGTCTAGCTTTACTTTCTGCCTGAACTTTACTTTCTGAAATATATATAACAATGTTTGTTCCGATACAATTCAAATTATGATATTTGTCTGAATGGCTGGAGCTGCTCTTTTCAATATATAGTTTATTAAAAATAATGATTTACGATAATTATGCATAAGTTAAGGCTTAAAACGATACAGATAAGTGGAATAGAATACAGCGGCAACGGCGCACATAATGCGAGTACGAAGGCGTAGTACCTAGTATGTATGTATATATTTGTATGTTTTCTGTATTTAAATTTAAGTAATATAGCAGTAACTAATGCTGTACGTCACGTCCGATAAATGGGGATATTTATTGAATCTCATATAAATGTCGTCGGTGCATATTGTGTCTCTTTATTTCTTCTTCTTTTTGGCATTTGAACTGGTAGCCACCACCTCGTTCTTCCGCTTCTGATTCGCTTTCGGCTGCGGGGGTGCTGCTGGGGTGTTGTTGTTGCCACCTCCGCTGCTGCCGCCTGGAGTCTTGGGTGTCTTCTTTTTCTTCTCGGCTCGTTCCTTTTTCTCCAGCTCCATATTCTCGCGCTCAATTAGTGTAATGAGCGTATTACAACGGCGTTGTAGTTCCAGAGCTGTGCGAGACTTGATGAACCAGTCAAAGCGGAATTGTGGCGAAGCGCTATGATGGGATGGTAGGCAAAAAAGATAGTTTTGCCAAATATGAGGGTTTAATGTAAAGCTACACTCACCGTATGGCCGCACGTAGCTCCTCGTACACATTTTCCTTATCAAAGCCGAGCTTGTGCAGCATGCAGACCAGAAAGCGATCCTCGATTTCCGTGTAGTTCTTGCCCTTGTTGTTGCCGTATTGCAGGCGTAGTTGATGAAAAGGTGCGCGATAGCGTGACATCTGCAAACAAACATAAATAGTGCAGTTATTACGTTTTTGATATCTCTAATGAAATGGTTATTTACCTTTTGATCAAGCGCTTTTTTTATGGACAGGCGACGACGTATTTTGCCCTCACCGCGCTCTATTTGATCCATGATGCGCTCAATATCCTGCAGCTCGGTGCAACGCTCCCAAAAGACGGCATTGTACTCGATAACCTCCTCAGGCGTCTTCCCCTCAACATCCTTGGCAATATTTTCGATATCGTCACGTCCATACTTCTCGTTCGCTTTTATAAACTGATTAAAATCACGCTTGGTCCACGCAGTAAAACCCTGTGAGAGAAGCGTCTCTTTCTCTTGAATCTCCTCTTCGCTAAGTGGCTCGGCCTCATCAATTTTCCGTTGCTCCTCGCGCTGTACCTTTGAAGCGTCGGAGCCCAGTTCTGTGTTCTTGGGGACTTTGTAGCCAACGGTTTTACGGAAGTAGTAAATCTCCTGATCGAGAAGCTCGAACAGACGCGGCGGAAAGAATTGAAAGTCCTGCACAATTGGTTGTTTTGGTGGACGAGGAGCTTTGGGTGCCTTCGGCTCGGATACGCGCAGGGCCTCACGGAAATAGGCATCCACAGCGTAATTTGCTTTACGCTCACGCTTAGGCGGCTCAATCCAATTGCCAAGTGCATTGAGTTTCTGCTTTTCACGCCAATCCTCGCCTTCAAACTGATACACCGATGAAGTGCCTGCTTCACCGTTGGTGTCGACGGTGAATGTGCGTAACGAGCTCTCGCCCATGGAGTCTAACTTGGCCTTGTCCTCGGCGGTCTTAGTCTCGCCTCGCTCCAAAATTGCATCAATATCTTCGTCGGTTATGTCGGTATCCTTAGAGCTAAACACCTGATTGGCTCCAAATCGAATGATATTCAACATTTCATCTTTGTTCAATTGATTAGTGCGATTGTCGACGAGTCTGCCGCCCTGGATGACCATCTTATCCAATCGCAGTTTTATCTCGGCACGCTCCACAATCTTTTCCTCTACAGTGCTCTCTGTAATTAGACGGAACACACGCACTTGTTTCTTCTGGCCGATACGATGCGCACGATCCATGGCCTGCAGATCCATCTGTGGATTCCAATCCGAATCGTATATAATTACCACATCGGCTGTGGCTAAATTGATACCCAGACCGCCGGCACGTGTGGACAACATAAATATAAACTTGGTGCTGTTGTCAGCATTATATTCCTGAATCTGTCTGTTGCGATCTTCGTGCGGAGTGTTGCCGTCGAGCCGGCAGTAGTTGTAGTTACGCCAATGACAGTAATCCTCCAGGATATCCAGCATGCGCGTCATTTGGGAAAAGATTAGCACACGCGAATTCTGTTCCTGTAGCTTGGGCAGAAGCTTATCTAATATTGCCATTTTGCCAGAATTGTACACCAAATGAGTGTCGGTAGTGTAGGGTGGACCCGGCTCGGCGCCATCGAACAAATACGGATGGTTGGTGCACTTGCGCAGCTGCATCAAAATGTTTTGGAGACGCATCTTCTCCACCTTGCCGGCACCATTCACTATGTCAATATCCTTCAGAAGAACTTTGGTATACCAGTCTCGCTGCATCTTGGACAGACCTACAAAGATCTTAAGTTCCTTCTTAGGCTTGAGACGCTTCTCCACTTCGGCTTTAAGACGACGCAGCAGAAAAGGCTTAAGAACAGCATGTAACCGCTTGATGAGCGCGTCATCGCCCAGACACGTGTTAGTGTTAAACCACTCATCAAAATCTTCCGACGAATTAAAGACATCAGGCAGCAAGAAATTCAGCAGCGCCCACAGCTCGTGCAGATTATTCTGCAGTGGTGTACCCGTGATAAGCAGACGATTAGCGGTCTTAAATTCGCGCAAAATCTCCGACAATTTTGACTTTTCGTTCTTGATGCGATGTGCCTCATCAATCACTAGATATCGCCAGTTAAACTTCTTGAAAACGGACTTCTCACGTATGCACATTTCATACGAGGTGACGCATACATCCCATTCGCCTGGCAACAGTACATCGCGTATGAAAGTGTTACGAGTGTCCTGGTCACCAATCAGGCATACGGCACGTAACGAAGGGCACCACTTCTTAAACTCGTTAACCCAATTCTGAAGCGTAGATTTGGGCACAATGACAATGTGTGGTCCTGCTTGGTTTCTACAAAATAAAAAAGCATTTGAACCGATAGCTGATAAAATAGGTGGTGGGATACTCACTTAAAATGTTTGAGATAGCCCAAAAGTGAAATAGTCTGAAGTGTCTTTCCTAAACCCATTTCATCGGCCAGAATACCATTAATGCCATTCTCGTAAAGCGAAATCATCCAGTTCAGACCGCGGATCTGATAGTCTCGCATTTCGCCACCTTTTATATAAGCAGGCGAGCACTCGAAACGAAATATTTCCTTGGCCGTAGAGTCCTCGGCAAGCAGCTCCTCATCCTCCTCCTGTTCGGTCTTGCGATGCCGATGACTGCAAATAACCCGTAAAAATTATATATTTATAGACTTTGAGGCTTCCTTATCACATACTCTGCCACATCCTTCTCCTTATCTTTATCCTTGTCCTTATCCTTGTCTTTCTCCTTCTCCTTTTCCTTAATCTTTTTTGGTCTACCCTTGGGCTTTGTGGGGCTCTTGGCACTGTTTGTCATGAAGTGCGTGAAAATTTCGGTTTGTTTAAGCAAAAAGTCAAAGCGCCTGCTGCGATCAGCTTCTATTTTATTATCAAATTCCGCCTCCTTTTCGCCCGACGAGCTGGTCGCCGCATCCGAAGTTGTCTCATTCTGTGAAAATTGCAAAGAAAACTACAGACGCTACTCATCAGACGCCTGCGGTGACAACAGCAGCGCGTCGCTTGCCGCAGAAAAACTGCTAATGGCTCTGCGCAAATTTTTCACTTACAGAGTTCTCCTCCGTCGGCTCCACGGCGCCAGACTTTTCTTCGGTTTTCGACATAATTGCGGTGCAAATAAATGTCGTTGGTTTGTTTGAACTGTTTTTAATAAATCGGTTCTTCGATTTAAATCCTTTTCCGCAAAAATGTTTTAACTATTTGAGAGAGTGTCGCGTTTATGTATGTGTGTGAGCGGCGCGGCAAAAGTGGCGTGGGGAAAATTTGGGCTGCCCACTTGCTGAGCCAATTACTCCGTTTAACGTTTACAGCACTGGTTTGGTGCTATGCCAACTTATTAGAAAAAAGTGTATGCGCACCACACTGCTTTTTAAGCTAGGTAAACAGCATCACGGTCACAGTAATAAAAACCGCCAGTTTAAACATATGAACATGTATATCAAATTCAATTAAACAGTATTTACAAACAACAATGTGCAAAACAATGTACCTTTTGACCTTTGTACCTTAAAAAATAATTATTTTTGGCAGTAACAGCGCTGATGGGTTCGTAATTTTTTTGGGAGTAAAAACATGCGGCAAATCAAAAACCTTATTAGAGATGTAAATTCCCAATTTGAAAGTCCTATTTTTTGTATGGACTATGTTTAACAAAAAAAAAAAGCAAGTATTTATTCGCCCTCATAATAAAAAGCAAAGCTACAAGTCCAGATTTATAATTTATCTTCACTTTTATCCTACTATTTATATTTTACGAAATATATATTACATACAACATATCATATTACATAAAAAGTTAATTTATACAGTTTGTTTTTTTATGACCAAAAGGTACAAGAGCTATTGCAGTTTATGCTCTTGAGAAGTAAACAGTTGAAATAAGAAAGGTTTATACCATGCAGTGTTCAGCAAAAGTGCCTGAGTTTCTACTTCTTTCAACACACGCGGAATGAAATGCAGCAAAAGGTTTAAGTTGTAACTGCTATTAAAAATTGCTAGGATTGGAATACATATTAGTCCGCTTGCTGGCCCGGTGCAAGCCTCCAACAATCAAATTTAGCGCCTTCTTTATTCATAATTGAGACACGTCCTTTCAATGTTCGACTATGGAGCTCAATTTCTTACAGAGAACAACTGCGCTATCTTGGTGGCATGACATTTTAGAAAATCGTATCCAATTTTCGCTGCGTTCTTCATTGTCTCTGTTTTGTTACCGTTGTGATTACCGGCCGTTGTCGCAGTCACCCCCTCTCCAAATTGCGTAAGCGCTGCCGTGCCCTGTTGAGTACCCGCTGCTGTTCCTGGCGCCAAAGCAACTGCCGTCGTCAACGCCATTTGGTGATGGGGAAACATCTTGCGTAAGACATAATTAAAACCATTCGACGCTTTGTTGCTATTAACTTTAAAACGCTCAATGCCGAAGGCGCGTATAGCACGTGAGAAGCCAAACACCTGTGAGCTTATATAGGCACGACGCACTGCCAGAGTGCGGCCGTCTTTTTGTTCGCTGTAGACGACGATCTCGTCAACTTTCTGCAATATAAGGTAACTGTTTTAATTACAACGACTCAATCCACAACGTTTCCATTAACTTGCCATTATCTTCTTCATTCCAATATTTCGAGTGAATGTGGTCAGTGTCTTCTTAACAGGATCCAGCACTGAGTCCTCAATGATCCTTACAGGTACATTGTTATAAAAACGGGAGCCCCATTTGGGCACTGGGTTTGTTTTCGACAGCAGCCGGCGCGAGTATAATTTACCATCTCGCACCTCTCGCTTGATGGTGTCTTCAGTGAGTACGTGCGTGCTGTCAAGTAGTGCAAACAAGCATATATGTAAGTTAAGAGGCAGCAATAAAATAAGCTGTATGGTGACAAACCTGGATGGATTTGGGTAGCGATTCCAATACGCAACAACCACTTGCCTCCAGCTATAATCGAAAACCGTCTCCGTGCGGCAAGAAGAGGCTGCTACGACCATGACAGGCGCCTCTAACAAGAGCGTTGTGTGCACACTGCCAATTGAAAGTGAAAATCTGCCGCTGCTCACGTTTCCCAGCGTCAATCAATGCATTACCCGTGTCCCTGAACTAAAAGTCAGAGAGCCGAAACTGAAATGAGAAAGACACTTAAATCAATCGCAATCGCATGTTGGTTTATAAATAGCTTAGTGCCACCATTGGGCTTATCTGCGTACCTGCTTTAACGAGCGTACTTTCCGGCTGCTACACGGCTCCAGTGTGGGGGGTGCTCTTCAAATGTGTTTGACGGTGGCACGTGATGTTGTTGTTTTTTTAAAACTATCCGTGCCCCTAACGATGCCGAAGCCTACTCTTTTCGACTGTGAATTTTGTCTTTGCTCTGCGTTACACAACTGCGTTTTACACAAACATAAGCACAGAGAAGGCGCGCATGCCTATGTATGTTTCTCGATTCTCTTATCTAAAGCAGATGCAGTTGTTTATAATCAAGGGTGCCGCACAGACAAAAAATACTTCGTATTGTTTTTACATCGAGTTTTATACAATTTTAACAAACATTGCAGACCAATTGCTATGTCGACCAAAGGCCAACCGGAAACAGCTGACTATTGATTTACTGACAGTGCTGGAGAATGCGCAGCATATCGATATCGATTGGCATTGTCTAGTGTATTGTCATCTCGAATTCTTTTGGCTTGACTTTCTTGACGGCTACGTTGCGCGGCGCACGGCACGAGTTTTTAACGCGACTATATTAACAATAAACCGCACTCAAAATGGCATTCGGTGATGTAAAGACTCCCCAAGGGCTGAAGGAGCTGAACAACTACTTGGCTGATAACAGCTACATTAGCGGGTAAGTGAAAATTGCACACGCTGAAAAAGTGTGGTTATGTGTAAGTCGCCCCACGTCGACAATCATATATACATATGTATGTTAATGCATATGCCTGCATTAATCGTAATTCAATTGTTTTTGCAGCTACACACCCAGCAAGGCCGATGTGTCCGTGTTCGATTCTTTGGGAAAGGCACCAGCAGGAGATTTTCCACACGTTGCACGCTGGTATCGCCAGATTGCTTCGTATGAGCCCAAAGAGCGCAGCGTATGGCCTGGCGCTCCACTGCCACAATTGGCCGGTGGCAAGCCCACAGTTGCCGCTGCCGCGAAGCCAGCTGCCGATGATGACGATGATGTTGATTTGTTCGGCTCGGATGAGGAGGAAGACGCTGAGGCGGAGCGTATCCGTGAGGAACGTCTCGCCGCCTACGCTGCCAAGAAATCCAAGAAACCTGCCCTGATTGCCAAGTCATCGGTGTTGCTCGATGTCAAGCCCTGGGATGATGAGACCGACATGAAGGAAATGGAAAATAATGTCCGTACCATTGAAATGGATGGTCTGTTGTGGGGAGCATCCAAGCTGGTGCCTGTTGGCTATGGTATCAACAAGTTGCAGATCATGTGCGTCATTGAGGATGACAAAGTTTCCATTGACTTGCTCCAGGAAAAGATTGAGGAGTTTGAAGACTTTGTTCAATCCGTCGATATTGCTGCCTTCAACAAAATCTAAACTAAAATCGAACAACTAGATTTTATAACGCCAGTAACCATTTTCAATAAACTCATGTAAAGCAGTACGCATATACTGGTTTTTTTTTCGTGAGGTGTGATGGTATTTAGAGAAAAGGGTATTGGGTAGACCTGACATTTATTAGATTTCTAATCAGTGAATGCGACGGTGGCAATGCTAGGGAGGAAAAATTTGAGTATGCTGAGCTTTCGCGATTATTTAGAACATTTTCATATTCACAAATTTAGGTAAGAGACGAATCTTAACTTTCTTTTTATGCCTTCTGTTAAGTTTATGTAAAGTTCGGATTGAGCGTGAAAAGATCAAGCAGTGTAAAGCAGTTCCAATGCACTGTAAGCTCTGTTTGATTATTCATAATTTTGACTTCGTTTTTTTTTTGTACCGAAAATTGATTTATAATCAAGTGTTGTGTGTGCTGCCAAATATAGGATAATACAGAAAATTGTAATTAAATAGCTGAGGTACAAATAAACCATATTTTATTGTAGATCTTTAAACTCGACTTACAGATAAAAGTTTCTGTACAGAAAGCAAGGATCATTTTTTCATAAATCTTCGACGCCGGATTTTTCGTTAACTTCAATCGTGTTTGTTGCTTTAGTCTTTCGTACAAGCATGAGCTTTGAGCGCGAGCACGCACTAAAGCTTTGACTACAAAAAACGCTCAGCACATTTGAATCCAAGCTCAGTTACTCGCGCAACGCGTAAACGTTCAGTTCCAAGCTTGACGCTCGCTTCGGTTCCAAGTAGAACAGATCCCACCAAAATATCTCGAACGGCGTGTTTTGCATCTATTAAAAATTTGAGTTAAAATCATTTTTGGCCGTTTGCTCATCGATTGTATACCTATTCGTATTTATTATGGCGGCGGCTGATCATAAATTGTGCTGCACTTTGGCGTTCAGCGCTTTATTGTGTTTCGGCTTGGTGGCTATTATTCAGGCTCAAGCGCAGGGTGAGTACCGGAATATAGAACAAACGGTTTTATGGATGACATACAGAAAACTGTTTTTATTGTAGTTTCGTTCTCAGTCATATGTATTGCGGATTTGTTGCTGAAATTGTCACATATTTGTTGATTTGTTTATACATATATACATATGGGAGACACACATACCTGCTTCGTGCATTTCATTAACATTAATTAACTTAATTGTATGTGTTAGTGGTTTCTTTTGTTTACTGGTTAGATATATTGGTTGTTTGGTAATTCCTAGAAGCAAAACGTATAACAAATGTTTCTTTTTCATATATTCAAACACTAATGTTATATATAGCAGTGCTTTGAAATAATTGTTAGAGCACTAAGACATAATTTTAAATTCATTTTTTATTATGTCCATGAGACAAGCGCTTCATACGTGAAGTAGTGCCGCAATGAGCAATTACTTCCGATTTGTATAAATAGGAAACAAGTGCCAAGACAATTAATATGTAATAACAATTTCATAACTAAAAGCTACAGTTTGATTTTCCTAAGCCCCAAACAAATAAGACTATATAGTACTTATAGTAAGCTATGAGGCATCGATTACGAAAAACAACGGGCACTCTACAAAGCGGATGTGGAATAGGATGTTAAATGATATTTTTCAAAAGTCCCCACTGTTTCAAATTAAAGTTATTTGGCGTGTGTGTTATCTCTGCTTCTGGAAAATCCAACATATGTATATATGCATTATTTGTGTTTCCAGAAATATATTACTTTTATTGCGTGTTGTTATTCATTTGGAGCAATTAACAATCAAGCTGGAATAAAATAGATTTTTAAATCAAATTTAGCAATGATCTAACAGCCATATGTAGTATGGTGGCATTAAAATTGATAATTCCAAATGTGACCTAAATTATTTGTCAGTTGTATTGCGGATATGGTTCATTGAACCCGTAAAGCTCAGAATAGGGTGTGTAAAAAATGAGAAGACTTAAGAGATACTATACATGTATATATTGTCATATTTCATGGTTATTTTACATATTTAAATATCAACAGCCTTGCACATAATATACATATACCACAATCTGTTCATCGAGGAACAAGCTTTCAATAAACTGTGCGTATGGAATTTTTTGCTTTCTTGGCCTACTATGAATATAACTTTATATATTGTCGAGAGTAGTTATATATTTTACGTTTTAAATAAAAATTATAACTGTCGTCCCATCCCGTATTAGAGCGATGGAGTTAGTATTCTGTTTGAAAGTTGTAAGAGTTGGAGTAAATTCTCAGAAGTTTACGTAGTTTACCTAGCTTGATTTTTGAGAAAAATGTCAACACTAGCAAAATCTATAGACTTTAATATTTCTTGGTGATAGCTTTTTGTACTACAAACGTATTTTGTTAGCAATATGAGTCTTCGTCATAATTGTTGTAGAGATGATCAGTAAAGGCTATAAGTATATGATAACACAATAAATTTTAATTAACGCAAACAACAAAAATGTGACAAATTCATAATTATATTTTATATGTATGCATGTATGTGTAGTATGTACGTATGTATAGCCTATTATGTGCGACTGTATTTATTTGCATATAAATGAAGAAGATACAAGCTGCATTATTTGTGGCAAGTTTTATGCATTCATTTTTTTCGTTCTTTTTTTCTTGAACTTCCACTTGGTAGCTAGTTCTCTGACATCGTGCAGAGAAGACCTTGGAGAATGAAGGAATATATAAAAAGCACAGCTTGACTACATATAAAAAGAATAATGCAAAGCGCTTTAGGCATGTCGCTTGATAACGAAAAATGGACTCATCCCCGCCTACGGCCAGATCGAATTATAGTGAAGATTCAAAATACAGAAAAATTATACAAGCAGACGTTTAAGCGAAGAATCGTCAATGTTGCCATTGAAAGTTGCAAAACTAGTTCGACGTTGGGCAGGTTCATGGGCGTACGCGTTGGAACTTTTTAAGATCTCATATTATTATTATTATTTTAATTAAACAGGCTGGGATGAGCAGTGCGTTTACATTTAAATGATTATTGTTTGTTTATATTAATTTAGTTCGCATTACTGCTGTGACAAAATAAACGATGACTTGTGCTCGCAAAAATGTCTAATGTATAGTATACGAGTATACTCGTATATAGAAGCTCGTGCACTTGAAATCAGCAAGCAAGTTTCATTTTGAAATCGGAGAAGCTGTTTATAAATCCAAAAGTAATATGTCAATAAAATAAGCATGTGCAAATTGTTCTTTCGTTATCAGCATGGGGTTGCTACAAGCTGAACTGTTCCATTTGATTATTTTGACTTTTTCTTAATCATTGATTACAAGTATACCTAAGCTGTTAGTACTTCGTAGCATTTATATATTATTGATTCTCCTTGTCCTCATTTTACTCTTAATGAGCGGTTGTAGTATTCGACGCTTTGAAAACCGCATTCTCAATCAAGTATTAAGCAACCATTAAGTTTTATTATGATTCAGAATTTACTGATATTATTTACTCTACTATTGAACCATTTCTTTTTATACATTGCATTATTCCTATTAGGGAAGCCCGTTACTGACGTTTGTCTAGGCTGCATTTGTGATGCCATCAGTGGCTGCAATCGCACAAGGTACTGTGGCGGAGGAGTCTGTGGACTGTTTCGCATCACTTGGCCCTACTGGGCAGATGGTGGCAAATTGACTTTGGCCAATGAAAGTCCCCAATCGGAAGAGGGTGAGCTTCTAAATATGACTTTATAAGAGAGAATTTATTCCACATTTTCTGCCAATTACAGCTTTTGCCAACTGTGTGAATGATCCCTACTGTGCGGCCAACACCATTCAGAATTACATGATTAAGTTCGGGCAGGATTGCAATAACGATGGTCAAGTCGATTGCTACGATTATGCTGCTATACATAAGCTGGGCGGCTATGGCTGCTCTGGCGAGCTCAACTATCAGTATCAGAATACTCTGCAAACATGTTTGAATACCTTCCAACAGATTGATGTACGTGCACAGCCCTAATTTAAAGTCTTATTATTTATAAATATTACATCTTTCATCTTAAATTTCGACAATTGTGAATTGTGCAAAATATTTTAATTGTATGAACTTATGCCATTGATATTTCTGCTTAAATAAAATTATGTCTGTTAACAAAATACTATACATATGTACATACTTATATGAGATACAAAGCTGCTAAATAATACAAGTATTCCATCAAATCAGGTTTACGTAGCGCCTTATATTTTCTCGTCTGAACAATGCCTCTAATAGCTTATCACTCATTCACAGCTTTTCGATAGGTTTGTGTCAACGATAAAAGCTTTTTAGTAGAAAAATAAAACTTGGTTGCTCATTTTTGGCGTTATAGTAAAAGAGAGGTAACCTATCTACAAGCTACTGTTTTTATAACAATTTTTAGCTTACGATATGAGAAATCTGTCCCTTTGGACATATCCCAATGGATCTGTCATCCCGCTGCTTTCACAGGTTGTTCCTCCGCCCGCTTCGATGCGATCCAGAAACCGGTATTATTGTTGTTGACCTATAGTTTACAAATATCCGCCGCACGGGCCAATCGGCAGCCATTTGAGTTGCAATTGCGGAAGCTGTTGGTACTTGCTTTGGTGTTGCCATTTATTAAGATGAGATCTGAAATGCGGGTCGTCTGTCTGTGGATGCTGTGCTGCAGTGTTGCTATGTTGTGTCCGACGGTGGGGGCTCAGGGTAAGTAAAATCTCTCTTGTGGCTACACGAGCTCACTCCTGACCACACTTAGGACATCTGCTGGACAAACCCGTCACGGAGCTGTGCCTCAAGTGCATTTGCGAGGCCATAAGCTGCTGTAATGCTACGGCCGTATGTATTAGTCCCGAAAAGGGAGTTTGTGGCATTTTTCGCATCACATGGGCCTATTGGGTAGATGCTGGTAAACTGACTATCGAGGGGGAACAACCCGATTCGGAGAAGGCCTTCATAAATTGTGCCAACGATCCGCTGTGTGCCGCCAACTCAGTGCAGAACTATATGAAGAAGTTCAATCAAGACTGCAATGATGATGGCGAAATGGATTGTCATGACTACGCCCGCATACACAAGTTGGGGGCCTATGGCTGCCACAAAGATATGCCCTACAAGTATCAGAGTGTGTTCGAGGAATGCATCGAGCTATATGAGGAACAGAGTGTAGAGTGATATAAGCTATGCAAAGTAGTTGTAATTAAAGCGTAGAGTCAAGCACGACGTCAGCTCAATACGAGAACAGTTTTACAATAAATATCGCCCACTGGCTTTGGGTATTACTCAGTATATTATAAATAGTCGACCCGATGGGAAGCGTGTATCGTACTATAGGTGCAGTAATTTGAATATGACGGCGTCAACACTTCTCGGACTCGGCTGTGCACTGCTCGTGATCTATTGTGGTGCGGCTGGAGCTGTTGAGAAACCCATCACAGAGATTTGTCTCACTTGTATGTGTGAGGCCCTGAGCGGCTGCAATGCAACTGCGGTTTGTGTGAATGGCGCCTGCGGTATATTTCGCATTACCTGGGATCAATGGGTGGACTCGGGACGGTTGACGGTGGAGGGAGACTCACCCATGTCGGACACTGGTAAGCTTTTTTTTTTGTCATCAGTGGTTGTGCTGAAGTGTTAAAATCCCGTATGCATTCCTACAGCCTTCACGAATTGTGCCAATGATCCTATCTGTGGTGCCGACACACTCCAAAGCTATATGGTCAGGTATGGACAAGACTGTAATGGTGATCAGCAGGAGGATTGTTTTGACTATGGCGCCATTCACTATATGGGACCGTTCAATTGTCAAGCCGATATGCCCTATACCTATGAGAGCATTTTCAAAAAGTGTCTCAAGCGGCAGCAGCAACAGTGGAAGCAACAAATTTAAGCTCACCTATAATACTTGAATAGCGCACTGAAGGTCCTAACATAAAATGAAAATAATTGCTAGCTACATACATACATACATTTAGCAATATTGTGTGGAAATTGAATTGCAAATGATTGCATTTTTCTAGCAAGCGCACTATTTATATGCACTATTTATACTAGATACGGAAATCCCACTACCGGCTCTCAGCTTTGCTCTATAAGCGGAAAAAGCAAGGTAGATAAACATGTTTGAGCCAATTTAAAGCTATCACATTTAATTACGTTAGTTTAGAGTACTGGGAGGGTACTACGCAATTTAATTCTTGGAAAATGTACACCTTCAGTTTTACAACTGCTACATTTTGAATAATAATGAATAATATAAGTATACTGAATAAATAGAATTTATTTCTAAAACAATCTTTTTTTTATCACAAATTAAATGCTTATCTGTAAGTTAGCAATTGAATGAATAAGAACGAATCATTAAGGATCTCTTCGGCATCCGAACTGTTTAATTGTCCCATCCAATGGGTGGGCTAAATCTATATTTCATATACAATTAGTTTGTGTTTCAGATTTAATCAAGCTCAGTACATTTGCGTTGAGCTCAGAATCCTTACAAATTCGTAAGGAAAGAGCATTTGTTATCAATGCTGCCATTAGCCGGCGCAAGTGAACACTATCAAGTTATACTGTATTTTTATTCTCAGACATAAAAAAGCAAATATGTACCACCTTTTTTATCCAGAATTTCGACTAAGAAGGTCTATGTTTTAATTTTACAATTATAGAGTAACATAGTCATACCTGTTTGGGCTTATTATTTATTATTAATGTAATACGCGTTCCTATGAAAAGTATCAGAAAATAATTTTAATTGTTAATACTATGTTTGCATATAAATTTTCTGAATACATCAATGTGTGAAAATTGCATTTCAAATAGATACGTATACATGCATATGTAAGTACATACTATAAAATGGTGCAATGACGTTCTCGACTCTCAGTTGAGTAAAAAGCATAGCTTTATCGAGTGCTCAAGCACGATACCGGAACCATTTTGGAATCGGGTTGCACCAAGCACGGTTAATGGTTGGCGCACAGCGTTCAAAATGTTTTCCAGAATTGGCTTCGTGCTCAGCGTATTGGTGCTGTGGTCTGTTATTAATTGTTTCAGCGAAAGTGTGGATGGTGAGTGAAGGATGTAAGCTTCTGGCTATAGCGATAAACGATGAGGGAATAATCACAACCTGCTTTCGAAAAAGGGTGCATAGGTGGTTTAAAAAATCCACAGTATTCCCATGGACTTAGCATTTTAGTTTATGTATTTTATTTGGAACCGGATTTACTTTGAAATCTAGCAAATATAACTGCAGCTTATTATATACATACTATACATACAAATAATGAAAAAAATTCTTTACACGCTGCCAGTGCCACTCAAGCCCGTCACGGAAGATTGCTTGGAATGCCTCTGCGAAGCGTTGAGTGGTTGCAACGCCTCGGCGGTTTGTGTGAACGGCGCCTGTGGCATTTTTCGCATCACCTGGGGATTCTGGGTTGAGGCTGGACAATTGACTCTGCCCAATGACACGGCTCTCTCGGATAACGGTAAGCAGAGCGGGAATAATTGTTGTTGGACTATTTAGGCACAACTCACTTTGTAGCTTTTACGAACTGTGTGAATGAACCCCACTGTGCAGCCGGGACGATCCAGAAATATATGTACAAACATGGACAAGATTGCAACAACGATCAGAAAATTAACTGCCTGGACTACGGTGCCTTGCACAAAATGGGTCATCTGAAATGTCGTAACGAACTTTCTTACTCCTTCGTCAATACATTTAGCAAATGCCTGAAAATCAAAGGGCGTCAGGCAACGGCAGCTGGTTAAGTTAATTCCTTTCGAAATGCTCCCCAAGATACATTTTGAGTACTAATCACTATAAAATGCTTGTTATTAGGGGCGACAAGAAAAGGAATTTCGTTTTTGAATATAAGTATAATCGTTTACCTATTCCATTAATGAAATATCACAAAATGTAAAATTAACTAAATAACTCTTCTTTATTTGTTGTTTTTAAAACAATAAAACATTCATACATATATCGAAACATTGCTTATGCTTGCTTGAATAGTTTCAAATATAAGTAGGTAATATATAATACAATACATAGTATATATAGGTTGTTCATATATGTATGAAAACTGCTTTTACAATTTCTGGTACATATTTATGTGAATTTTATTTTCAAATATTTCAACTCGTTAAAGATCCTTGTCGATTCCCGAAGGAATTGCCACCTTAAAGATAGTTTGTCACGTAATAATTTGTTGGATGACAAACATACTATTGCAGCTTGACAAATTTAATTTATCACCGTTATATCAACTTGTAGGTATATTCTATGGGTTTTCTATATATTTTTGGTTAAATTGTTGTCTATATGGTCGTTTTTATAGATACATAGGCAAAGTAGGTTTGGTTTCCTATATGTAATCAGAGAATAAGATTATATATTTTCCTTATAGTTTTCCATTTTTTATTTTTATTGAATTACTTAATAATCTGTACATGAGAGTTGAGGGGAGCTCAATAGGATGATGGAAACAAAAAAACCAAGTTATGCGACAGAAATCAGATTTAATCTTTAAGTCAATTTTTTGAAGAAACGATTTATTTTGTTATATTATCTGCTCGTGTAAACTAACCTTAAGCTTAGTTTCTAATTATTGACTTGTTGTAAATGTTGAAGCTTAACTTTAGTATTTGGTATTTCCTTGCAATTCATTATAAATAATTTTTCAACAACCTTTAACTATGAGATACATGAAATCTGAGATGTAGTTGTATACAGAAGGGAAGCAACTCTGCAACAGAAAAATGGCAGTATATGTTGAAACAAGTCATCAAGTTAATAATACAATTCATCTAAAACAAAAGCACATTACTTGTATAAACAACTTATGTTGCAGTTCTGTTCCTGCAGAGCTGCAAAAGTTGGCGGCCCTTTAAAGAATTAAGCAGCAAAAAATGATTAAATAATAAGTAAAGAAACAAAAAATTTGTTCTTTAAAACTGTTGCCATAAAAAACAAATTTTGTTCACAATTCATTGTTTAATTAAAACAGTTTTCTTAAATTTCAATCAAGCTCTTAATAAGTGATGTGGATGTTTCTGAAATATTTGATATTTAATGATGCTCTTAATACTAACTTGTAGCTAATAATTTGTTCCCAAATGGGCACATTATTAACTTTACTTTTTATTATTGCCATCATTTGCCAATAATAGTTTTTTTGCCTCCTTCTTGCCACGTTTCTTCTCTTCCTTGGCTAGACGCTCCTCCTCCTTCGCCAGTCGCTTCTCCTCCTACAAAAAACGAATTTGTTTAAAGCGGTTATGGAAATGAGCCGTTTCTTTGTTTACATGCACTGAAAAACATGAAAGCACCGCCTATTATGCACTGGGGCTGCTGAGGCTTAGAAGGACGAACTGTGGAACGCAAAGTTGTTGTTCAGTAGCACAAAAATAGCATCGAAAAGCTGCACAGTTAATGAAAATGTTACAGCGGCTACAGCAGCGAATGAGGCCAATTACGAACAAAGACCGCTAACCTTTTCTATTTCCAGCCCCAACGTCGCCATAACAATAAAAACCATGCACAATGCAACAAAATTACGAAATTGAAGCAGCGTTGGAAGTGAAATAACTTCAACACAGTATTGCCAAGCTACATTCTCAAATAACTTAGATTATATCTTAATTTTACTTTATGTGTTTCCAGCCTGCCTTGTAGCATTTGTGAAGACTTTCTACTCAATTAAAATGTCTGCCTATAATATGCAAAACCGATTTCGATTTCCTGTTCGTTTAAGGCAGCAAGAGACTTAGCTTATAGGTCATCTGACATTTTTGCGCTACGGTCAGACTAGCAAGTAATTTGCAAGAATTTTAGTTTTAGTTGAAGAGTTTTCTGCTTTCTTTTCTAAGCAACTAGAAGGATTCGCTAATAGACGAATGAACGACTGTTGCCTAGCCAAAAGCTTTTCCACATTTATATATTTATTTATTTGTCTTTTACTTAGGAAAAATTATAATGATGGCTTCCTTTTATGTGTCACAATTATATTACCCTTCCAGTACAGAGTATAAGAATTTACTTAAATTATTAAATTATAAAGGGTATCCAAAAGTCAAACAAGAACTAATGTATGGGCAAATAGTTGACATTGCTCCATAGCCAATTTGCATAAAAGTATAATATTGTTACGCCTTACTATTCAATTCCTTTCCACAATTTTCCTGTAGCTTATTAATATGAAGTGAGCGCGAGTGAAAACTGCGCAGCTGACTGCATTATTAGCCAAGTTGAAAGTGTTGGCAACTCTGTTGTCGGCCCACTCACCTTCCTTGCTTCCTTTTCCGCCTTCAGCTTGAGTTTCTCTTCTTTTTTCTTGCGCTCAACGGATTCGTTCTTTTTATTGTCAGCTTTTTCCTCTGAAATCGGTTGGCGGAACTTAATTAATTTGCACACAATGAGCAATTGCGAAATAGCGTCTGCAGTGACAGCAATGGCACACATTGCACATACGCCGTGTGGGTCGCAAAGGAGGGGGAGATAGAAAGAAACTTACTATGGTTGCTGCTGCTGCTGCTATTGCTGGAGAATAGTGGAAAACTGCGACTGGAAGCGCTGTTGTGTGGCTTGCCGTTGCTGCCATTGCTGCTACTTGTAGCTTGACTTCCACTGGCAGTGGAGAGGGATGTGGAGCTGCTCTTGGAGCCGCTGCTAGTCGAGGGGGCGCTTTTGCTGGCCAATTTTCCATTTACAGTTGGTGTCTTGTTTGGGAGCGCGGCACTAGCTGTATGTGGTTTCTTGTCCTTCGGCATTTGATATGCATTCTTGGGCAATGCATTTTTAGAGGTTAGAGGACAAATTTTGGCACCACCGGCTTTTAGTGGTGGCGGCGCAAGTGCTGAGCAGCTAACTTGTATGTTCATGGGGCGACGAGGTGGTGAAGGCGGCTCACGAAGCAGCGGTGCCAGTTCGTGAGCGCTTGTCTTTGTGTATGAAGCGTAGCTGCAGCGAAGGAGAAAGGAAAGTAAGAATGGTGTGAGTTTCCAAAGGTTTGTGAAGTTCTGCATACACACCGAAAACGTGGATTGCTGACGTGCACCGGTGAGGGATGTGGTACTTTGGCTGGACTGCGAAACTCCTTTATGGGTGGCAGTCTATTTTGCAGATCCAAAAGGCGACTCTTTACATGGCGTCGACCTGGATAGGTGCCAATAGCAGGCGTCATGCTGCCGTTTCCACCACTGCCACTGCTGCAGGACCCACCGCTGGATGACGAGCTGGAGGCGCAGTTGCTAAGGGTGTGTAGCGGCTTGCGTGGCACAGCTCCCGAACAACCACTAGGACAGCCGCCATGATGTGAGTGATGCCCTCCATCGCGTGGTGATAGCGAACTGGCAGATGAACCTGAACCCGAACCAGATACAGAGCCCAAGGGCGACAATAAGTTTGACTGCTGCAGCTGATGATGTGTAGTGGGTGATGGAGGCGCCAGATGATTGTTTAGCACTGTTACTGTATTGGCAACTGCCGGCGAAAGCGGTGAAGCCGGCGAGCACGGGCCACTGCTCGATATGGAAGACGTCTTTGAGTAGCCGGAGGCGTGCGAATAGCCTGACAGCGTTGAGCCAGCAGACCCAGTCGAGCTCATGGAATAGAGACTATCCGATTGGGAAACACGTGCCCGCGCTCCCCGTGGATAATGTCGTCCAACTGCTGTATGCAGTGTTGGCTGATGAAACGCATGATGACCACTGTGGGCATCGTTCATGGAATAGCTGCTGGCAGAGGCAACAACACCGCCAGCTGCAACGCCGGCCGAAGCCCAGCTTTTGGCACCCATTGAATAGCTGCTCGCCGACTCCTGTATGCGCCAGCTGCCTGACGAGGAGGTCAGTCGATTGACCCGCGCTCGACAAATGACGCAGCGCAAGGGCAGCAGACGCTGTGCTACTGCGCTCTGAATGGTTTTGACGAAACAGCGACGGCAGACGACCCGGTGGCCACAGGGCGAGGTCTGCATGGTGGCACGTGCATTGATACAAATAACGCATTCATCCTCCTGCGATGTGGGTGGATCTGGTTCACTCTCCTCCAACTTGCTTAGCAGCTTGTCCTGCAATAGAAATAAAATAGTTAGTTTATTGTGCTGCCTAAAAGTATGCAATTAAATTTTATTAAAGGTGTGCTAAGAGAATTGTTTGTTTGAATACTTCTCTTTATTAGGCGCCAATTGATTAGCTGACGTTTAGGTTGGTCTTTGTTTGAGCCCAGTTTACAGCTGTTGTGACCGTGGCAAGGCCACAAACGGAAGTCAGTTAGCATGAGCATAAAAATCACAACGACATCAATTGACATACAAAAGAGCGCCATAAATTCAAACTTTAGACATACCTATGTACTATACGAGTATGCATATGCTGCTGAGATATACTAATTACTTATAAATGAAATCACTTATTGGCTAACTATAACTGTGGTCGCATGCCTGTAATTTAGGCACCACATACATTTGTTTAAGCAATGTATTATTTATTATATTTTTAATTAGCAGATATAAGAAAGGCTTATATTCAAAGATTGTTTAAACAATGTGCCACAAAATTAAACATACCCCAATCATATTTAACTGCCCCTTTAATTTGCTCATTCAGCTGGGTGTGATTGTTTAGTGTTTATTTTTAACATTTTAAGAATTGTTGAGCTCGTTCGGCCCGCATTGTCGTTGACTTGCTGTCATTGCCATTAATTATGTGATTCAGCATTTATTTTTTGGGGCGTATTGATTGGCAAAGTGAAGAGAATAATCATAAACTTACCAGTGCTTAACTATTTATTAATAACCGTTGGCTATTTTTGGCACTTCCTTTGTATATAATACCCTACAAAATCATCAACAATACGATATTGTGATGTGTGTATATCGGTATTGTACGTTGACTTTAATGATGTGCAATGCACTTTAAAGTGGCTCTGTCAAGGCTCAAGGAAGTCATTCACAAAGGTGTGGACTGAAGATGAAGCTATTAAGTCTGATTTTACTTCAGCTTCTTCTCCTTTATATGAATAATAATTATTTGTTGTTCCGTTCAACACTACATAATACATTTTTGGTATTAACGTATATTTATATTTTATATCGCTTATAAAATAAAGTAAACAGAAAATAAACAAAGGATGAAATTCGAAAGTGTTAAGCAGATGGGAATTACCTCTTTCTGGGAGTCAAGAATTTGTGGGGACTCCCTAGCAGTTGCTTTCATTAAATGTGGCAACTGTGCGCTTTGTTCGCACTCAAAAGGTGTCAAAGTAGCAAAAGGTCCAGTAATTAAAGCACCCAGCCGGAAGAACATTTACTTATTAATTTTTTGTTCGCTAATACCGCATGACCTTTTTATAAGACTGTGGTAAAGACCCGCAGAATAACTATGAAACACAAATGCTCGTTTTAAATATTTTGATATGAATGTAATAGTCAATTCAATTTTTTTTAGCCGATCTGCATAAAGAAAATATTGCAAAATTCCAATAATTCGAGAAAGGTGTTGAATGGTGACGCTTTATTTTATGCAGCTATAGCATTTGCCTTTTAAATAAAATATGTACTTAAATTTACGAGTGATGGAAAATTGAAACGTTTAGATCGTATATAATATTTACAAAACATACAGAAATAAACCTATTCTCATATTCTGATTATAAAAACTGCAACAAAAAATAGGGCACCATGTGCTATTTATACTAGCAATTCATGGCCTTCATTGAATTTTCAAAACATTCCCCTTTTATTGGTGGTTATCCGTGGACTTGGTGGTTTTCACTGCCAATTGTAAGTGCATGCATTATTGATTGCAAAAATCGTGGGGAAAAGCTCAAGGCATAAAATAATTGGTTATTGAACAATTGTATGGATGAAATGTTTGAAAACACAGACAAATTGCAAAAAGTATGCATAATTGGGTAGCAATTTCATAGCGAATCAATAAGTTTTCAATGACGACCACAAATACGTAAAATTTAATGCCAAGTGCATTTGCTGCTGCCATTTGCTGGACAGTCAATAAATATTTTGTGAATTATGCAAAAGTAAGCAATTCAAATTTATGTTTAAATAAACGCATGCTACTGTTGTTTGTAATCCAATACATCGCATAAGTCAATAACAGGTTGCCATAAACGCTTGAAATATGAGCACCTGACGGAAATAAGATAAAAGCACATAATTCAATACGCCGAAGATAGGCAATGACCAAAGCCGTGAAATCGCACGCCCGCAACTATAGGTGGAGCAACAAAAATGTTATGTTATGTCGATGATTAATGCAAAATAAATTTAACTTCAACTCCTAATAGCAAATGAAAAAAAAATGAATAAAAAGGGTAGAAAAAATGCGTGAAGTTGGGCAGAACATAATGTTGCTGCTGTGTGGCGGTCAACGAAAGGCGATAAGTATCGCAGCTTGAAAACCATCTTATTGGTATAATAAAAACAAAAGTCAGTCGCTGGTCAAGGTAAACTGGCTGTTTGGAATCATCACTTCGCAAGGCGTTCGATGAGCCGCTCAAAAGAATCAGTCAACAAAAAAAACAAGCTCAAGTAAAACGCAATCAGCGCAATTGCCGGCTGGCAGCAACACGTGAACTTTGGCTTTGTAATTGCTGTAATTGGCCTATTGAGCATTGTTTCAGCCCTATTTTAAATGCGCAGCACGTTGTGCATGCGACATCAGGAAATTAAAATCAATTCAAACAGCCTATTTAGTTTGTAGTCAGACTTTGTTGGTGCGTACGCGAAAATTGCACATTTGAATATTTGGCAAATGCTTAATGCGGAACAATTAAATTGACAATACGAAGCACTTTCAGATAAATTTTCTCGTAAACTTTACAAGTCTTCAACTTGACATCTTAAGTCTTTAACTTTGATTGCTGCTTCCGAGTTCGTTGTTTTAGTCTTTTGTTTGCTTACAACATTTTAGTGCCGTGCGAATTTGTTTATCAACAAAAGCATGCTGTGACGTTAAACAATTAAACAAATCACGTCAAGCATCGGCTAGCGTCTACCCCTCTAGCTGCCGCCGCCCTCCAGCAGCGGCAGGCCAAGCCAACGGGCTAGCTGGTCAGCTAGCGTCTCAAGCAACGCTCAGTTTAGCTTAAAACTCGCCCAGAACAACACGTCGTACGGCAAATCAGCGCGTTGCCTTCTCCGCCATCAACTTCGTCTCCGCGCCAACTCATGTTTGTTGATTTAACAGTGATGTGTAGCTATAAATATTTACCAATCTAAATGAGTTCACAAGTTAGTGCGGAAATAGACAACGCCTTCTAAATTCTTTGCAATTGTCGCTAAAAATTTTGGCCAACCAAATTGTTTGATTAACAACATCGAAAACAAATATTGGGGACCAACTAATTAAAACATAAAATAAACAAGCAAGCGACAACACACACGCACCCATAAATATTTATCATGGTTTTGCCTGCTGCATCAACATTGTGCAATGTTTTCACATTTTTGCTCGGTAAGTGAGAGAGATAGAGAGACCATCAATTGGACAACGATGTTGCTTTATTAGCACCCGTTCGATTTATGAATATTGGGGTGTATGTGCTTGGGTATCTACATGTGTGTGTACTCAGCCGTGCGGGTTTTCTTCAATGTCAGCGGAAAATTGTGTATGTGTCCATGTGTATGGCGTTCTTTGTGCTTTGTTGTTTGCACACTTTATTAGGCAAAATTTTATGGCATGTTTATACATCCATCCCCCCAGCCATCCATATTTATGTCTGTACTCGTATGTATGGATGCGTGTACATGTTAAGTTCAAGGTGGAATGGGCTGTAAATTAATGTAGTTATAAGAATTAAGTAGGCGTATGTACAAAAGCTTGGCTCACAGTCATTGTTATCATGAGATGAGCTTCATGTATCGTTCAATATGAATGCTTGAATTGCCTTAGGTCAGTGTTGCTTGATGGCGTAGCTGTTCAGTAGAACAGTGGAAAATGATTGAATGGAATGAAAAACACACTCCAACATTTTTGAAAGATTTTTTTTTTAATAAAAATTTATTAGTATAGTATAGAAGCACCATTCTTGTACTTACGCGCAATCCTTTTTGAATGTGCTAAATTAGTATTATACATTTTTTTGGCTTGTTTCTTTATGAAATTTTTAATAGCTTTGCGTTTAGGACTTCGATTTATGCTGTCAACATTATATAATATAAGAAAAAAAACAATTTAAAATCAATTTAACCACAAAATTTGAACTACAATAATATCTAATACCGGCTCTGGTTTTTTGGGGGATTTTTATTTACCCGTCTAGCCAGTTATGCCCCAATTAACAGCAGAGATTTTTTAAAAGCAGGTTTTAGAATAAAAATCTTTAATGAGGAAACTTATAGTTTTATTTCATTTAAATTCTTTAAAAGGAAAGTGCAATGCGAAGTTGTTTTTTTATTAAATAGGGGCAAAAGCAGCACAAGAGCTGAATGCATATTTAGGGCTGTTTCGCCCATATTTCTAAATTGCGAACCACAACAGCAGTATAGAATACTAAAGTGATCTTACTAATTTAAAAAACCTTTAATGAACTAGACCGATTTGCGAAAGAAAAGGACGCAACTTTCAAATAACCTCGAATGCCGATAAACGTTATAAAATTATAAGGTAAAATCATGTTTATTTTAATTTAATTCGCAATGTACTTACTAAGTTTTGAAGTACATAAATATTATATTAGTTCATTTACTTTTTCTTACAGACTTAATTGCATAAGGACACAAAAACAATCTGGTAGATTAGTCATTTTTTAAACGCAAAGTGGATTTTATTTAAACATGTGGATTTTTGTGAACAGTCAACTGCAGGCCATACTCATATTAAATCATTTATTTCCCGAATTGATATATAAGAATAAAGAATATATTTACGACCCTGCACATCAACAGCTGTAAAATACTTAACTTTTTTTGCACATACAAATGTAACTATTTTCAATGCTAGCGTGTTAAGAATTCAGAATCTACAAGTAGAACCATTAAGCTTCTCTCTTGGGTGCCACACACAGTGTTCAACGTTTTGTACAATAACAACAATATCAAAAACAATAATAACATTTCTGTGCTTTTGGTAAGACGTTGTTAATTAGCTGCCAGCCAAATGAACACTTTAATAAGCCGTAGTACAATAATAATAAAAATGCACGACACGATGCCACCGTAGTAGCTATAAAGAAGCGAAACAGCAAAAAATGAAATAAGAAATAAATAAAAATATGTGCGCCAAAGTCTTCCGCTCTGCACAAAGAAAAAAACGTGCAGCTACAAACATGGCAAAAACTTGAAACTAATATACATAAATACATAATTTAAACTACATGCATAAAATTTAGACCAAAAACAAAGTAACGGAAGGCACTGACAAACTTGCAAAAACAAAACACACACAACACATATACAAGTACATAGTGGCGTCGAGTTCGAGAAGGTTAAGATGCATCCGATGTTGTTGCTGTCGCTATTGTTGTTAAGCTTTGAACGAATTTAAATGCAAAATTAAAGTGGAATCGAATCAAACGCTGATAAATGCGTGTAGCAAAACAAAACAAACGTGCAAAAGGCGTTAATGAAAGAAGGGGGTAAAGGGTACGTGAGGGTCATTCACAAGCTACGTCATTGTTGAGCATGGCATGCATATAGCTCATTGAACGAAGTTTTATCTTTTAAACTTGTTTGACTCTCCGTACAATGTGGCGTATGAGTCACGTGCTTAGCCGCTGCGGTTTGTGCCTTCGCTGCGCTCAGCTGTTGCCATTGATTGTTGTTGTTGCTGCTACTGCTTCCGACGCTACTACATACTTGCTTGACTTGAGATGTAGTTGTTGTTGTCATTGCTGCGACCGCGGCAACCGCTTCAGTAGCTTATAAATTCAAGTTCACGGTTGTTTCAATTTCTAAAAAATGCCATTGTCTGTTTTTGCCTGCTTCGTTATGGCGCCTATTTGCAAAGTATTGTTTTCTGTCACTTGTTGGTTTGTTAATGAATCAATTAACATTTAGTTTTTGGTTTTAAACAATTGCAGCTATTTGTCTCGACATTGTTTTGTTAATGTTTTGCGCATTTTGTAGAATACTTAATCAATAGTAAGTGTTTAAGTAAATCAAGACGTTTTTGCAAAAATAATGCAATTCAATTTTCGGAATCTTCGGGGAAAAATATAGAAAAGAAATTTGTGATATGTTACATTTTTATCAATATTCTCAGTAAGCGGTTTGTGGTTATAGCAGAAGATTAACTAAATCAATAGTACATTGCATCAAAAAGGCCAGCATTTCATTGTTAGCTTTTTGTTAAACAACTTTATCGTTAAATTGCATTGTGTACTGATATCGATTTAGATAATTAATGACTAGCGTTTGATTTTCGAATTGAATAGATATATCCAGCATTACTTTGATAGAAGCGATAAATCAATCAAGACTTTTCTTTTATGCAAACATTTATCAGTAAGCAAGAATGTTGGATGAATAAATTTAAGATTTGTTTGATATTTTTTATACTTTACATTTTCTTAAATGTGCTGTTTCGCACTTGCAACCGTTTAAGGCCTCTTTTTTATAGACAACATTGGAAATTGTCTGCGATAGCGCACAGAGTGATTGAATGAGAGAACATGAGTTCATATTTGTATCATATGTTGAAAATTGGGAATATTTCCTTCAAGTTGGCCCTTCAGCGGGTTTTTCTTATATACTATATTTTTTCAGTTTTTTTTTTCAACTCTTTTATCTGGTAAGGAAATGTTCCCATTAAGTGCCATAGTTCGCAACATTTTCACTTTTTATAATTACAGATAATTTTGAAAAAGTACAATAACATACAATTTTCCATCCCGCAATATATAATTTATCCTTCAATCTGCAGCTGGTTCGCCAATTTTCTATAGTGCCGCACCACGAGGCGGCTGTGCTAGTTGTTGTGCCATACGCGAACGCGAGGACATTCAATTTCTGTTGTATACCAGGTATATATAGCCACGAGCAGCCTTACATGGCCCTGGTGTAATGCACGTTGGGTTTTTCAGGAAAAATCGTCAGTCTGCGCAGCCGCTAGAATTGAACGACAGTACGCGCCTGGCTCAAAGCAATTTCAATTTCAATTACCCCTTGGCCATCTATTTGCATGGCTTCTCAGAGTCAGCAACGGGTGAGCAGCAGAGTAGCCAGCAGCTAAAGGATGGTGAGTGAGCCCACTTCCTTAACTATCCTGACCTGTATGATATTGTGTTCATGGCCTTGCCTTGCAGCGTTTTTGCGAAGCGGAAATTACAATGTCATACTCATCGATTGGAGCGCCATGACCGCCGTACCCTGGTATGCCAATGCAGTTGAGAATCTGCCCGTGACAGCGCGTTATATAGCCCGATTCTTGCAATTTTTGGTGCGTCGTGGCTATGCGGCCAAACATATACATCTCATTGGCTTCAGTCTGGGAGCCGAAGTAGCTGGTTTTGCGGGCAAGCAGCTTCAGGAATGGGGCATCAAATTAACGCGCATCACAGCTCTGGATCCTGCACTACCCATGTTTGAGGGCGAGAGTTCCCATAGATGCCTTAATCCAGGCGTTGCTCGTTTTGTCGATGTTATACACACAGATGGCGGTATCCTTGGCAATCCCACGGCCATGGGTCATGTGGACTTCTATCCCAATGGTGGCCGCCCTTTGCAACCAGGATGTGCGCGCCAGGAAATTGCCAATAATCGTTGGTTGGGCATAATAAGTGAGTACAGAGTGGAAAGCAAAGGTATAACTCGATTTCTGATGCACTGCGCATCCTTTTTAGTTGGCTGCAGTCATCAGCGCGCTTGGGAATATTTTGTTGAGTCCGTGCACCAGCCACTTGCATTTCATGCCAAACGCTGTGAACCCTCCCAAACATTTGGAGTGTGCCGCGATGGCAACGGACGTGCATACATGGGCATGGGCGCCGACTACAGGTAAGCTTCACATGCATAATTCTCCATGTTTTCGATTCACTCAACTTTACTTGATAGATTGCGCGGCAAGTTCTATCTGGAGACGAATGATGCCAAGCCATTTGGGCGTAACAGCAAGCCAAAGGATATTGTGCGCACCATGCTGCCCATCGCCTACAAACTGCCTGCAAATCTCACCGCGGACAATGGCAGCAATGGTCTTGCTTTCGAGGATAACAACACACTGAGCAATAACATTGACAGCATTGCCAGCCACTCGCTGACGTGATAAAATGTCAAAGTGTCAGTCTGCCGGCTGTTATTTTGTCTAAGCACATCGCGCATCTTGAATTGCTTCACGACCCTTTCCTCGACAGCTCTACTTGTAATAGACGTGCCTGTCTACGCTTAGCTCGAGATTTATGTAAGCTGCGTGATTTTGTCGCCATCACTGCGATTAGATGTAGATACTCGTAGTAGCATAGCATAAAATATAGAATATGTTTAGTTTAAGCAGCATTTTGTGATTTTTAGCGTAAGCATTGCTAGAACGTAGTTTGTCTTTGTTATCAATATAGACATAAAGTAAGCTATGTGTGGAAATGTGTTTTAGCTCTGGAAGCATAGAAACGAATGCATTAGGGGAGAATTTTTTGCATTACACTCTCTCGTATGCATTTCAAATTGGGGAAATGCACTTGAATGAAATGCAAAGGTTCTCAATGCTTTTTAAACTATTTTTAAACTAACAAGTATTTTGTGATGAAAGAGATGCAAAAGTTTCAAAGAACAAATTCATTGCATTTCCTTGTTGATCATTATAAATTAATGGCCAGTTATAATAAGCAGGCATTTCCACGAAATTTAAGTTTTTTGAGCCAGAACTGGGCCGAGGGTTCTAAATTTAAAAGAAGAAAAGAACAAGCACATAAACAATTTAAATTTGAGATAATTTGCGAATCACAAAAATAGTCTATATTAAAATTGAATACATAAGTAATGCTTTAAACCTTATCCCACGCCCACCCCACAACGTTACATTTACAAATGACCTACTTCTTAAGCTTTCGTCAGGTAACAAACTAAATTTACAAATCGTTGCTCAAAGCCAAATCGGGCACATAATGCCTCAACCCATTGCTATTTCCCTCAAAAACCCATAAGCGGCCACGTACTGCCCTGCTGTTCAATGCGCATTTTCTATGCAGCCATCGAGAAGGTGAAGCTTGAGCTCGTTCGCTCATTAATAATGCAACTTGTGTGCAACTTACACACACACCCACACACAGATAGGTATACACACTCAAATAGGTATACTTATATGTAGAGTTTGTTGTTCACATGCTATTCGGCAATTGCGACAAGTGGCTCAGTCCCCTAGCCCATACGATTTTCCTTCCGGCAACACCAACTTGGTAAGCTTCCGCTTGTTAAGCGCTTCGTTTGCCTACGAAATGAGTTGAGAATGAAAATCAGGCACTGCCACAGTTTCGGTGGTCGTCGCCGCCATCAGCTCATTGCACATTATGGTGTCGCACATCCGGAAGCCGCCATTTTTTTCTCGCTAGCATAATTATAGGCGGCTGCATTTTAAAGAGCTGTTGGCGCCGGTGCCGATTTAATAAACAATTTGCCGCCATTACAGTACATATACCACGAATGGCGGGCCTGGCTGGCACATTATTTATTAATTACTTTTTAATTACGCAGGCAATTGCTCATTTTTCGGACGCCATTTTCTAGGGCCTCCCATGGCATGGCCCTGTGTTTCATTTTTGGCTCACCCGAATATGCAGGTAAACATTTCGTTTTAAGCTCAAGTTCGTGCAATTTTTCGGACATGTCTATGCGTGTACGATATACATATGTATATACATCCATACTATATGCGAGCTTACATATAAGGATCTGTGTGTACATGTTTGTCTTTCTTGGCTTTGCCAAAACGTTATTGTTGCTCTTGCTGTTGCCATGACAAATATTTTTTTGGCAGCCTTGGGGTGTATACCGAATTTTTTATATTTTATTTTTTGCTTCGTGAGCTTTGTAAGTAGTTTAGACGCCCGTTCGTCGTCCTAAGGCTTCCCGTTGCGTCATGGCATTTAATATGCGTTTCGGTACGAAATTAAATTACTTAAAGCACATCATGCGAGAGGTGCGTCAACGGTCGCCGGTCGTCGGTCGTCACTGGTCACCTTCCTTAGCGTTCCTTACTGTTTTCATGACTCATGAGTAATTTAATATCCTCTTTGGGATGGCCTTCTTTTTGTAACAAGCATGGGTTTCAGATAAAGAAGCGCAAATTTTAAAGCTACATTAGTTTTAAGTTTAATGCAATAAGTAGCAAAGTAAAATGAAATTTGTAAGTGTTTAGGTAACTTTTCACCATGTTTCGGATCAAAAAAAGCCATTTTACAGAACATAAAAGAATGTCAAATTAAGCTCGAATTTAAACAATATAGGCAAGATTTGAATTAAACATCGATAATTAGGTCTCATCGTTTGCAATTCTATATTCCAGTTGGAGTTTCTGCCCAAGGAAGAGCCTCTCTTTTGTTTGGTTTTTCTCTCCCATTCAAACAAAATTCCGTTGGCTGTCTAAGATGCCCATTCCCCAATCCACTTCTCTGCAATTATCTGAACATTTTATGATAATATAGGTTTGTGCAGAGAGAGAACAAACTTCTCCGATCCTAAAAAGTATATATTTCCTTAATCCTCACGACGAGCGTAATCGATCTAGACATGTCCGTCTGTCTGGATGAACGTCTGCGTATCGAAGACGACTGAGCCCACATTCACCAAACTTGGTATGTAGATTCTCATAACGAGTCTATTTAATTTTGTTGATTTGCTTTTCTTTCCCCTCTACATAATTACGTCAATACTGTCGAAATTTTAAAAGCTTCATAAATTAAATTTTGCTCACATAATCATTATGTAAATTTCTACTCTAAATTGACCAAATTGGTCTATTCTTAGGAAAGTTATTAGCCACAAAATTCTCTATTACGACACCCATATAATGCAGGAGGAGATGTTTTCTTCTTCATGCTGCTTCTGCTACGGCCGCCTATAACACAGCGCCGGAAGTTTGGCTGAATCGGCCTCTCCGATTGTTTTTTCCTTTCTTTTTTGTAGTACCTGTAGGTCGAGCTATTCTATTAAGTAAGTACCACTGTTAAATATTACTCAGTCAATTACCCTTTTGGAATGGCTTTTATTAAAAAAGTAAGTGAAGTAACTTGAGTAATATAGAATGTATCGACCAGCTATGATTGCACAACAATCAACAAAAGAACTTACGCTATTTACGAGTACATGAGTTTCTATTGAGAAATCAAATTAATTTGTCTTGGCCCGGCATTTCGACAGGTTTGCCTAGGAATTTCTATCGTTAGCTAACGGCATTTCAATTATATGCGTTCCACTAAGAGTGGCAGCCGCGAGTGGGGCCATAAAGACCCCATCATTAGGGTGGGTCATTCACGAGGAGAATAAATTGTGGGGGAATTGTAGCCAACGAGCGTCTGGCGTTAGGCGTTGGCGTTGGCGTTGGACGATTGCGTAGCGAAGCCACTGAACATGACAAAAACTAATAAACATGGCACACATATAAATGAAGTGACTGATAAATACTAGGAATGTATAGCCCGCACACAAACATGCATGCATGCACGCACGTTTGTAAAAATGGCTGACTCATGAACGGGCTCACAGATACCCCTAGTGTAATGAGAGCGTGTGAAGACATCGCCTGCCACTTTACAGTTGCAAATGTTGAGCTGATTGACTGACTGATTGATAGATGGAATGCCTGAATGACTTGCTGTTCGATTTGATTATCAAAAGTGCTGTCTCGTTTTATTTGCTGCTACGTGCATATTATTTATGACTTTTGGACGCGCTGTCTGTGCTATGCCTAGACAGGGTAATAAATGAAATTTAATACATTTCCTACATTTTTCAAAATGGGGTCACATCATGTTGCAGGTAACACGTTGTTGACACCCTAAAGTAGGCAATGCCACTAAACGAACTCAGTCGGCTAGCCAGTCAGCCAGTCAGCATTTGGCGCCTAGGTTGAGCGACGTTGACGGCATTCTGTTAGCGATTCCTCAGATTGTGTTGCTGCCTACATAGCGGCAACCGAACTGAAGTTTAAATGCAGCAGTGGTGCTAAAAATACTCAATGTTATAGCAAAAATTAATTAAATCGATAAGCTCGCAATATACATAGTTGCCGACTATTTTTTTCTAGCTATATAGCAACAACTCTTTCACAATACACTTCACAGCGAAAGGGCATTATGCTTCTGGGAATCAATGTTTCAGGTGAAGGAAGCATTATAGACTAAATTGTACGTAAAGTTCAATATGTTGGTCATTGGCATTCAGCCATTTGCATACTGCTTATATCAAAAATAGACTTTGTTCAACTATCATTTCCATAAGCTTTGCTCATCATCTGTTGGGTAAAAGTACTACCTAAAGATAATACCGCAGCTTTTTACGCTATTCAAGGTACACAGAACACATTCGTCTTAAAATTGTAATCGATTTACAAGTAAAATAGGCTCATCGTGTCCAGGTATAAGAATATTGTTCTCGTTTCCGAAATCCATGCATTTGTTACAAATATAATCGCGATGGCATTTAATGTTGCTCTTTGTTATCTGCTAGTTATATATTTATTTATTCAATCAAGCACCATATAGCATAGAGTATACCAGTTTTGCTTTTGATTCTAGTTCTTTTTCTCCCTTTTGTCGTTGCATTTTCATGAATTTCAGCCAAGCTGCTAGCTCTTCTGAACCGTGCAGGTAGAGAGATTTTACACACACGACGCCTACCAACAATTCCATTAAGTTCCCCCTTGGAAAGAATGTGTGTGTATGTGTTGGTGGCTGGGTGTTTTATTGTAACATTTTGATGGCAACATTGTCATAAAAATTGCATTTATATCAGCGCGGCGTTAGTAACTGTATGTGTATGTGTATGTGTGTGTAGCTGTATGGGTGTCACATTGTCGTTAAGTAAATTTATTGCTTTTAATATGCTTTTCATGTCACTTCAAACAGCGCGTGGGTCTTGACATCGTCCTCGATATCGAGGCATCTAGGGCTTACCCAAGTTGTGCCTTACGCAACACATAAGTAAAGAATTTCTACAATACAAACCTTATTAGCTGTTTGAGGAGGTACATACTCGTACATATGAGGAAAGGTAGGGCAGTATTTCGGTAGCACCACCATTTGAGAACTTAATTGCCACTCACATTAAAAACTA